GAAGTCTAATAAAGAATTATTATTAAGAGTCTCGATAGAGACTTCTTAAGAGGAGTTCTTAGAAGAATTAAGAGAAATCTCTACTATTAATATTTTCAAACTATTATATTAAATAAAAGATATTTATAATTATAACGATATCGCTTAGAAAATTATTTAATTAAAGATATCTAAATAGAGAAAGCTATTACTTAAAATAATTAAGAATAATCTTAAGCTAAAACTAGATAATTATTACTTTTACGACAAATTATTATATATTAATAATAGATTATATATATTAAATATTTCTAAATTACGAATTAAAATTATTAGAGATATTTATAATTCTTTACTCGAAGATTACGTTAATAGATTATTAATTTATAATAGAGTAAATAAACTTTACTATTAATTAAAAATAATAAATTTTATTACTTACTATATTAAGAGCTATTATATCTATAAAAGATTTAAGACCTATAGAAAGAATAAATAAGATCTACTTAAACTTCTTTCTATTTTCAAATAATACTAATAAGATATTTTTATTAACTTTATTATATTACTATCTATTTATCTTAAATATAAATATCTCTATTAATATATTATAATAATTATAGATAAACTTAATAAGAAGAAGAAATTCGTTTTCTTAAACTCTCTAAAAGTAAAAATAATAGTTTAGATCTTTATCGAATTCATATAGCGAGAGAAAGAATATCTATTTATTATTATCTTCGACCGAGATACTTAATTTACGATATATTTCTAAAGAAGACTATACGAAAGAATTAGAATTAAACTTAAACTCTCTACTACGTTTTACTCGAAAATTAATAAATAGATAAAGAACGCTAACGCTATTCTAAAATAATATCTTAAAGTTTATATTAATTATAATTAAGATAATTAAATAGATTTATTATTAATAGTAGAGTTCGAAGCTAACTTCGATAAGAACGCCTTATCAAGAGTATTATTATTTCTTCTTATTAAAGAATATATTCCCCGCTTAAGAATAGAATCTCTAATCCCTTAGAATTAATTCGTTAATTAAAGAGCGAAGAGAGATATTAAGTTAGCTAGTAATAAATTTATCGAGAAGATAAATATTATAAGAAATTATCTAAGAAGTTAGTTTAAATAATTATAAACTTTATAGAAGAAGTAAACTAATTATTATTAACTTCTAATATTAAAATTTAGAGTTAAAGATATAATTATATTTAATAGAAAAAATATTAAAATTATACGCCTTAGTAAATTACTAGACTATAAAAATTTCGAATTATTTAAAATTACTAAAGCTTTAAATAATTTCGCTTATAAATTAGAACTCTCGACTTTTATAAATAGTATTTACTTTATCTTTTATTTATAACTATTATATCTCGATAATAATAACCTGTTATTAGAATAGATTAAGTCTTTACTATTATCTATCGACATCGATAAAGAAGATAAAATCTATGATATTAAAGAAATAGTTTAATTTAAACTAGATAAATAAAAGAATAATTTCTTAACTAGTAAGAGGGGATATCTAATATATAAAATTAGATATAGAGACTCTAAGAACGAGGAAAATCTATTTTAATAATTATTTATGAATATAGTAGGATATCTAGATCTAATAGTAGACTTTTATTATTACCACCTCGAGGTTATTAACTCTTATTTATTATTTAAAAGATCTTTAGAATAGTCTTCTCTATTAGCGCTACTAATCTATAATAGCGATATTAACTTATAAGAAGATCTTAACTCTATAATGAAATACTAAGTTAATACACTTAAGGATATTACTTTATATACGTCTAGATATATTTCTTATAAGATCGATATCTACTATATAGTAGTTATCGCCGAAGCTTCGAATTAAAAAAGAGGGTAATATTACGATTTTAATAATCTTACGATCTTACTTATATTATGGCCTAATTAGGCTTAGCGTATTAAGACCTTTCGATCTTTCTATCTTACTATAAAGTTTATATACTTATAATAATTCTATATAGATAGTATTCTCTTTATACTATAATATAGAGTTATTATATATATTATTAAGTCTCTAATAGCTAGATAGTCGAATAGTCTTAATTAGATATATATTATTTAATTTTAAAATAACTTTTTTATTTTCTATTAAAATTTTAGAATTTCTTTTTTTAAATTATAGAATAAAATATAGACTTTTAGATAAAAAAAGAATTATTAGATTTAGTTCTATAATTATTAAAGTATAAGAAATTTAAATATCGCTTATTAAAGTTTTCTTATTAAAGTTCGCTTACCTACTTACTCGATAGCTCTAATTAAAAAAAAATTATAAATTTAATTTATAGATCTTTACTCGTTATAGATTTAATAGAGTTAAGAATATTAGATATATTAGATATATAGAATAGATAAATTTTATTAAATCTCTTCGAGACTAGATTTTAAGTATAGTATAAAATTAAATAACTAGAAAAAACGATAGTTAGAAAGTATAAGAGTAAAATTTTAATAGAGTATAATTAATTTAAATAACTTTAAATAACTATTATTAAATTAGTATATATAAAAGAATAAGATAGAATTAATTTAAGAAGTCTTAAATTTATATATATAGCTAATTATAAATTTAAAGTTACTACGCTCTTTAATTAGACCGACTAAGTTAGCCCGCTAACCCTCTCGAGGCCCCTTATTAAAAAAACAGGTGTACGTTACTTACAATAGAAATAACTTTTTTGTTTTCTATTGAAATTTTGAGATTTTTTTTTAAAATTGTGGAGCGTTGTTTGCGCTTTCCAAATTTTTAAGAATTTTAAAATTTGATCCTATAATTATTAATAAGCAAGGAATCTAAATATCGCCTATCAAAGTTCGCTCATCAAAGTTCGCTCATTAAAGATCGCTTATTAAATTTAATTAAAAACGAGTAAAGGCCTATAAATTAAATTCATAACCATTTTTTTTGATTAGGGCTGTCGAGTAAATTTTGGTAAGCGAACTTTGATGAGCGATATTTGAATTCCTTGCGCTTTAATAATTATAAGACCAAATTTTGAAATTTTCTCGTTTTTGAAAAACGCAAGTTCTAGACTATAATTTAAGAAAAGAATCTTAAAATTTTAATAGAAAATAGTAAAGTTATTAAAGGGTTAAAAGTAGAGGGAGAGATTTTTAATAGTTACGGACGCTAATTTATTTATCCGCGATGAGTTAGCCGATCTAGCCAAAAAGCGTAGAGGACTCGAATTAATAATTGACTGTATATATAAATTCAAGATTTTCAAGCTTAGTTCTATCTTATTCTTTTATATATACTAATAAGTTATTATTTAATCGAGTTATTAAAAATATATATTATTACGTTAATAATCTTTATAGAGAATTCTTTTTATCTAATTAAAGTTATTACGATTAATAACTTAAGAGAAATCTTTTAAATATACTTCTATAGCTTCTATTTATATAGTAATATATATATATCTATAAGCTATTTAAAATAGTTACTCTTATAAAGTTAGCGAATAAATAACTTAAAGAATAAATCGAGAATAACGTATTAAGATATAATAATAGCGAGATATAATAATAGAAGAAGATATAATAAATATATATAATAAAATAAAATAGAGCTAAGCTAAAAGATCTTAAATTTATATATATAGTTAATTATAAATTTAAGATTATTACGTCTTTTAACTAGATAGTTTAAGTTAACTCGCTAGCTCTTTCGAGATCTTATCGTTATCTCTTATTAAAAAGTAGATATAAGTTATTTATAAATAGAATAACTTTTTTATTTTCTATTAAAATTTTAAGATTATTTCTTTTAATTATAGAGCGTAGTTTAAGCTCTTTAATTTTAAAAAAATATAAAATTTAATCTTATAAATATTTAAAGATAAGAATTTCAAATATCGCTTATTAAAAGTTTTATTAAGAAATAGTTCTAAGTGAAATTATATATATAAATAATATATATATTATATAATAATTAATAAATTAAAGAAGATTTATAGTAGAAGAAGTTTTTATAATATTATAGTATTAAGATATTAAGCTTAATTGAAACGTCTAGTAAAGAAATTCGTAATAAGTTCGCTTATTAAATTTACTCGATAGTCGATAGCCTTAATAAAAAAAATAGATGTATATTATTTAATTTTACAATTACTTTTCTATTTTCTATTAAAATCTTTCGATTTTTTTTTAAATTATAGAGCGTAATTTAGATATTTTAATAATTTAAGAATTCTAAAATTTAGTCTTATAATTATTTAAAGATAAAGAATTTAAATATCGCTTATTAAAGTTCGCTTATTAAATTTACTCGATAGCTTTAATTAAAAAAATAGATTATAAATTTAATTTATAGATTTAAACTCGTAATAAGATAATATAATAATAATAAGATATAATAATAACGTTAAAATCGAGAATATAATCTATTAAAACTATTTAAAAAGAATAGAATAATTTCTTTAAATCTCTCTAATATTAGATTTAAAGTATAGTAAAAAATTAGATAATTAGAAAATATAATAACTAAAAAGCGTAGAGGTTAAATTTCGATAAAAACTACTATTAGAGATATGAAATAACTTTTTAATTATATATAATATAGATAAACAACGATAAGATAAGCGAGTCTTAAAGGATTTATATAATTATAAGCTATACAAAATAGCTATATATAATTATTTTACGTATTAGAAAGAGCTTTTGAAAGCAATATCACATATATATCGATTTTTGGTGGGGAATGCCAAAACATTTTGAATCTCAGGCGTTCGATGATGGCGTAAGGCTGTGGGACGGATTTCAGAACTCATAGCACGCTCTTACATAGGGTGAAGAAGGATATGATTCTAAACATAGGAAAGACTACCACTTATCTCCGCTATTCTTTGAGAGCAGACATCGTTATGAAAAGTCCATGCCTCCAGTTCACTTGTTATTCGCTCCCAGATCCAGTTCCTCGCCGCGAAAACAACATCACCAGCCATCGCCCAGGTTTCGGCTCAAATGACATTCCCCTGCTGCCACATCTCACACGCAACGTGAACCAACCCGGGCTCCCTAACCTCCACCGCACGTTCCATATCGTACATAGCGAACGTATCCACGGTCCCCAGCCCCCCTCCATTCTCCCACCCTTTCCGCAAAACCGGAACCTCCGGCGCCTTCGATCCATTCTGCTGCACCTTCGAATACGGTGACCGAGTCCCGGTCCCAGCTTTTGACGCCTGCGACCGCAATGAGCTGAACGAGACCGCAGTGCGGATGCTGGCGGCGAAGGGCTGTAGGGATTTCTCCGTGACTAGAAAGTGTAGGGAGGGGAGGTTGGTGGCGATGAGGGAGATGCCGGCTTCGAGCATTCCCCAGTAGAGAAGCGTTGTCACTCCTTCTGAGGGTGGGAGCAGTGTTAGCTGGATGGGGTTTCGGGACCAAGAGGAAGGGAGAGGGAGGTACCGTCGACGTCGGTTGGTTTTGCGAGGCCAGCGGCTTGGATTTGAAACCCGTAGACTATTCGGACTATTGACGCTACGATAGACCTGCGATTCGTCAGTTTGGGCGACGGTTGTGCGTTGGTTTGTAGTAACGCACATGGTGCCCAGTAACAGGACGCCGATGATTCCAATTCTTCGCTGCATCGTCATATGAAGTTGTAGAACCTGTAGACGATTAGCGAAACTGATGTCTTGTATCATCACAGGGCGGAGGGTTGACAATTGGTATTGGCAGACATATCACCAAAAGATCTGTAATGAGATCGCTGATGAACAAGGCATCGGTATACTGAAAGCTGTCCAAACACCGTGACGCATCGATTATAGGCCCCCACTGGGAGTCGATATTCTTCCCACACTGAAGTAGCTGTATGAGGAAGAAAGCAATCGTCCAAGCTGAGGTGATCCAAATAGCGACCTTACTGACAATGTCGAACTTGGCAGAGGCGCCTTTGACGAAGATGCGACGGTAGAAAAACAGGACGCTGAGTTTTATAAAGCCATAGGCAGCAACGGAAAGGAGAAAGAACACGAATTTCATCTAATCACGGATGAATGAGATGAGAGACGATATATTCAGGGACTGAGGGGGAGCCAACCTTTTCCACCAGTTCTTGTGGGGCTGTGATTTGATACAACTGGGCATCCTTGTTGGCGGCGTCGGGGTCTGGAGGGGTGGTGTGGGCTATGACATTCTTTGCGATACCTGCAAGGTGTTCATTAAGAGATGAGTTGAGGCTGAAGATAGGGACTCACCAACGAGCAGGGTGATGCCTAGGCCAATAACGCAGAGCTCATTCGCAGAAAGTGAGCAATTCCCCAGTTTTTCCAGTGTTTACTATCTCACAAAGAGGAGACTCACCAGTGCTGGAACAATAAACGCATCATCAAGTCCAAGGCCAGTCCGCCTGTGAAGTCTGGACCAGAAGCGCAATACCACGCATATCAGTCCTAGTGCTGGGAGAACGGTTGCAGCTGCAATAGTCTGTCCCCTTGTATTCCACTTGAACGATGTCCCATTTGTATAGCCCACTGGCACTTTCTCCGCACTCATGATGACGTTGTCGTGATGTCAAGACTGCGTATGTTGATCGCACGGAGAGAATTTCCACGAATATCTTCAGGATAAGTCTGAAAGCTTTTTTCAAAAAGGCGGACGCAGGATGATGGGGTCGAATAAAATGAAAGAGAACATGAAGAGACGACATGCTAAGTACTGTTTTCCATTCCTCATTGCGGTACCCATCGATTGAATTGGCCCTGCGGGATTTTTAACGCAGGGGCCACGTCGATAGGTCCCACTCCACCAAAGTCGTACAATGTCATGTCCCAGCCAGCGTGATGCGGGATAGCACTAGGACCTAAGGATACCGGTAAGTGGGATTTTACGGGAAATGCCTTGGCGCAGGGTTCAAACCTCTCCCAATGACGCTGCAAGGGTTTTTTCGACCGGCATAAATTCGATGTCAGCGGTAAAGAGGTCCAGCACGTGAGTACAAGTGGGGTCTTGAAAGTAATATGGAGCCGAAAGAGAATGGCTAAGGTGTTGATCCTGGCAAACCCATCAGCAACATCCATGATTTCGTTCTCAAAGGTGCGCCGGAAAGGTGATGCTTAGCACTGAAAGGAATGCCAACATTCGATCGGGGAAACAGGGTAGGGTGACGCGCTTTGAGAAGGGACCTTGCATTACCGGCCAACAGGACGCTTCAAGAGAGGGTGGCCGACGATCATGGGACACTTTGGTCTGCTTGGTCGATAAGTAGAAGGACGGAATCATGCATATGCGAGTCACTGAGAACGAAAATGCATATGCACGGCACGGACGAGGAAAATGCGGGTTACCGACGAGTGTCGCTGTAGCAGTTAAAACAAGCATGGAGCTAAAGGCTCGTACGGCCGAGAAGCCCACCTTCTTGACACGAAGAAACCCAACAGTTGACGCCGGTTCTAGATCCTTCCGTGAACAAACAAGTGGTGAGCACCTATAAGAAGACAGACTTATCGGCCGAAGGCAGCCCGTCCCAGCGGAGCGGAACGGGCCTAGTCCGTCGACGATCTCAAGGTTAAAGCAGTATCAGGCGCACTTTATTCTTACAACTTGAGGTTGTAAGTGATCAAGAGCGCCCTTGGGGGGGATCCTTAGCGAGCCAGTCTTGATCTTGACTGCCAACATGGTAAGGCTGCCTTTCTAGTTCAACAGTCGATGTATCAGGGAAGGCTTTGAAGGTGGAGGCGAGTCACCCAAAGCGGATCGCGGCCGTAGTGCTGGAATTGATCGATTCCCTACTAAATTTGTGAGAATCGGCTTTCCCTCTTCAATAGCTACCTAAAGCATAAGTCACCTGGATAGAAAATTTTGATACGCAGCAGAACTTTGACCCTTCATCATAGAACCCTTCCGCAGCGTTAACTCTTGAAGCAGTCGGATCCGGTTTCCGCAGAATAGCCTTAAGACCCAGTAACTTTGACCTGCATCGAAAACCCTCATCGCCTGAGTGTGGAAGCAGTCGGAGCGGTTTCCTGCAGCAGTACCTCCATACACCGCAGCATTGGCGTGCATCAAGAAAATTATCTCCTCCTTTGCATGTGTCCGGAGACTAATGTCTTGCCATGTCGATTTGCATGACCAACTCACAGAAAATGGGGAAGCCTTTCCGTGTACTGCAGCTAGCAGAAATTTTTCGCACATGCCGCCTGGGTTGTTAGTTTTTTTGGTCTAGAAATCGCGGAAGCAGGATGCCAGCGTGCAGGTGCAGGCGATCATCGGACGTATAAGGCCAGGGCAGGGTTTTCAACTCGACAACAATAACCCCCACACCGCCTCCACGAACATCTACAGCACAAGACCCATGCGAACAAGCTTCAACGAAATCCACGTCGATTACCAAATCCCGGTATACCCACCAGGCACGGAGATTGACAACCCATGCTGACGAGTTAAATCATGTGCAAGCCACCAACATGCGTTTCTTCACCTACACCTCCATCGTCGTATTGGGCCTTGTTGGCTTGGTATTGAGTTTTCCACCATCGCTAGAGGCAAAAGGTGCTTCCGTCGAAGAAGACTTCGAGCCTCCAATGCCTGGCCACGATCTTCGAGTATAGATACTCTGTATTTCATGAGAACAAGCTGATTTGGTTGTTTGCGGCTGACTCATTTGCACATTTGAAAGATAGTGGAATGGCTGAAAAGTACTAGATCTACTATCACCTCAGAGGCTTTCATATCACATCAGCTCCATGGTCTCCAATTGTCGACTTTTGAGACTAGAATGAGTGGTGCACAAGGAGCTTGTTCTCCTGCTTCATTCCGTTTCTCGCGGCCTTCATTCAGTGAGCATTCTAAGTCATTGTTAATTCACGTGTGAGCCTCCATGATGACTTAAGATGCGAGTAGAATCCTAGTTACTACCCCAAGATCGATAATGCAACAGTAATGCAACAGTCAACAAATTACGAAAGACGAGTCTCAGCCTCAGCCTCAGCCTCAGATATGTGAGAAATGGATCCGGATTCTTGACGTGAGTGTTTGGACTCGAGAAAAGGCCACCTCAGCAGAATCTCAATTCCCGAAGCCCGGCAAAGCTCGCAGCTGCTTCATTGCTTTACAAGATGCGCACAGAAAGGGCTCACAGTTGGCAAGAAAACAATCATACACGAGCCCACAAAAAATGTCAACCTTCGGGAAGTGGAAGAAGAATCTGTGACTATGCCTGCAAATGTCGCTGGAGAGCTTTATTTTCACTGGGCGCTATATTGGTGCATTGGCACTAATTACAAGCATCAATGAAACACCAGAAAGGATCGTGCTTTTGCTGCATCCTTCACTATTTATTGCGTATGGAATAAGGGCTGTGACTTCCATCTAGAAGAGATTTTTTGGCTTTAGCGCAAGGAAAGATTCCCACTAGTGACTGAGTCATTCCTTCCAAGATATGCAATATAGAAATATTACATTTAATGTTGCAGAGTTATTCGCGTTTGTAAGTGTCTACAATTCATCTATCCCAACTTCCGTCTCCCCACATCATTGCTTTTTGATAGCTCTTGACGTCAAGTTCGCCTCTCACGGAGTTCTCTGCCTCGAACAAGCTCCTCTCCGTCCCCACCCAGACCTCTTGACCCTTACCACACTCTTCAAGGTCTACAAGGTTCTATGCACCTGCAACAAATTATTCCGGCCGTCTCAAAGTCGAATCGATCTTTGGTCGCCATGTCTGAAGAATCTAAACGAGATTATTCAGGCGCTTCGCACTCGACAACGCTGTTGGAAGGGAGAGTAAGAACCCTCTCATTTGCACCATTCTTGCGTCCTCCTTCATCCACATTTCAACGTCTGACCGACGCACAGCAACATGAGCCCAAAACACCTTCACCATCGCAGTCGGAGCAGCTCAGCGACATCCTAAGAGACTTAATCGGTCCGTCATCCCAACGACCTCGAGCTTCGCTGAGAGAATGAATCGGGCAAAGGCCAGGGCGAACGAATGGCCAGATTATAGGACTATCGGACTGGGTTCCTGCGGCAGCGTTTTTGAGATCCCAGGAACGGAGTTCGCAGTCAAGAAGGGAAAAAACACTCATGCCCTATGGAATGATTTCTGTCTGACGAACAAAGTTCACAACGCTGTTGCAGATACCCGAGACATGATTCAAGATGCGTTTCCGGAGAACACAATACCTAAGAGTCCTTCTTGCAACTTCTTTCGCACACCAGGCTCGGATCTTTACTGGAAAGCGAACATCAACAAGTTCCCCGCGTCGCACAGAGAAATCGGCGCTGCCTTTCAAGTTGATCGTATTCACCCACTCCCACACTCTGTACGAGAGGCCTTGATCAAGCAGTACTTTGACGACGAGGTAAGAGAAGAGGCCAGAAATGACAAAGAAAATGAAGCATGCTTGATCCGCATCTACCTGGGCGAAAATGAGACTGGAAACGAAGATTACGACTCGCTGCGCAACTTTCCGATGCGGTTGAGCATGGTAAAGAAACTTGACCTGGACAAGACACTGCTCGCAGACGAGATGGCAATCGCATTAGCAATGATTCACTGGCAAGCTCAGGTCGACGCCATGGATGCAGAATTCGTGCTTGGGAGTGCTCGAGCAACGCCGTAGGAACGAGACGGCCATACGACCTTTTGAGAAGCCGCACGAGGTGGATGTGCTCCCGCTCGACTTCAACAAGAGATCGATTCATGTCTGGGTTCTGGACTTCGACAAGTCGAGTCGCATCGAGCTCACGTCTAATGACGTAGACAAGTACCTGGTTCCCGCTTTCATCGGCAATGACCCCTACTATCCACGGCCGGACGTTGACACAGAGTTGTGGACGCGGTTCAGCAAGACGTATCTCAAAGCCAGTCGGCTTGTTCTTCGGAACAAGCAAGTCAGCAGCCAGGCCATGGGGCTACCTGAGATATTCCTCGACAGGGTAGCTTCGAAGATCAAAGAGCACGAGGATTGGGATCCGGAAGGACACATTATGTTCGGGTAATGATGGCACGAGGCGACAAGGAAGTGGAGGCATTCAGTTCTCACGAACAATGGAGAGAGACTCACAGGATGCTTTCTGCGCATTATGCGTCGGAGAGTCTGAATTACACTTTGCAGGGTTAGGAGAGGACGTTATGGGAAGTGGAGTTTTCTTTTCGTGTATTATACAGTGCTGCAAGAACGTCAATGAGTTGCAGGATCGAGGGAGGACTTGCTGGGAAGCGGAGGCTTCTTGTTATATACTATGCTGTGCTGCAACACCGTCAACACTCGCTGATTTGACTCTTGAATCATGTGCCTGAGCCCCCGAGCAGCGTATTCAATCCGTGAATTCTCCATCGGTGCATATTTGGCCATCCCAGACTTAAACACTGCAATGCCAGGGCGCCAACCGGAGTATGTGTTGCTGGAGGTCAAATGCATCTGTTCAAGCTGACATCTATATTGGGTGATCCTTGGACCTCAAGTCACGACTGCCACCACGATGATGCGTGCATTTTACGAAACCCTTGGATTTTGAGGGGACCTTGAGCGAGAATAGTCGAAACTATCATAGGTTGAAAGACGCCGAGGACCACGTTAAAGGAACGGCTTATATTGGGCAATTAGCATAACCTCAATAGGTCTTACTGACACAAGAACCTATCTCTTCCAGACTTTGCTGCGCAAAGACAAAGCGGGTTGTGGAGAAGTACTTGATGCAGTACTGTTCTTGTAGTCTAAATCACGTGATCCCTGGCGCTTGCCCCAAGCCTCATGCTCAACCTTGTCGCTGACACAATTGACGTGTTCCTCTTCCGGCATCTCAGATAGATGAATTAGCAGATGACTTAATATGAGAGAGCCGTCATTTGCGCGCGGGTACGTATTGAGGTCGACCATTTCCACTCCCTGCAAAAGCACACCGAGAGAACTCTACAACAAGCCACTTCAAGGGCGCACAGGCATTTGGTGACACGTATCTGGAAATCGGATCCGAGTCTTATTGTTCGATAAGCTTTCGTCCTGTTTCCGGCAGATCTCGGATTGGTTTGGCCCTCCTACAACGACACCGACATGGCGGAGCTGTCGCATACCAAGATGGGTGGTGATACGCTTGGTGTTCCTGTTCCCAATCTACCTGTTGGCACGGCCGGCGGCTGGGAGCGCGTAACGTTGCTGAAGGACGAGGCGTATAATGATGGAGAAGCTAATGGTTATTATGCGCTGGGCGGTTGGCTGATCTTGGTTGGGTACATGGTAGATGAGAATGGCGGATTGTGTCGACTGGGTGAGGAAATTCGTGAATTCTCGATTCTGAGAGAAGGGGTTACGGTTTGCGGAACAAGAACGAGACGGAAAGAAGATGTTGATACCTTGTTTGTACTTACTCAAAGAAAGTAGACTTCGTCATGGTGCCCATATAGAACGAATACGCAAATTCGATCTAGGCTAAGGGCGCTGATGATAGGATTAAATAGGTGTTGGTCTATTGAAAGGGTTCACATTCCCAAAAGGGAACAAAGCCGGCCCCTAAAATTAATCAGAATGGGACCCGAAGGGACAGACCCAGATTACACTGCACGAGCTTGTTGGAGCCGCAATGCAGTTGCGTTACAAGTGTTTCATCAAGCTGGCATCTATTCTCTCACTAATGCGGGAAGGAGCGACAGTGGTTGCACCTTCAAACAACCAACACTCGAATTGATGCCTCGAATGGTTCTGCTCCCGTATGCAATCACACATTCTCATCTCCATGACGCTCCCCCGAGCTACCTCTCTCGCCGATGTCAACAGAGCTACCAATCTTGTCTGCCGTCACCTTCTTCTGGTCCAAATGCCCGTGAGTGTTCAGAGCGCAGTGACTACCGCAGTCGGTAAGCGCTCGCTCTCCGGATTGAGGGATAGGAAAGCTTACGAGTTATAATCGTAATCCTTTTCATCCCAGGACTTCAAGGTGTCTGTATTCTCTGAACCAGATTGCACCCCCAATGAATTCGAGCCACTCTCCACGGCTGTTTTTCCTGACTTCTTACCCGACGAACCGGAGCCACTTCCCACTGCGGTCGTGGAGCCTTCCGGTGATTTTGGTTCCTCGGCACCAGTGATGGTTCGGATGGCAACGCTGCGCAGATTTCGCATGAAGCCTCTCGTGGACGTTCCTGTGAAAAGTGGTCGCAATAGAGGCAAGCATGCGCCCACAATACCAAGAGCCGACTCCACAAACGTCCAAACCACAGCTGGTGTCTCGTACCATGTTATGTCGAAGTCTCCTCCGTCGGCCAAGGCTATGATGTGGTAGAAGACAATGAGCTTTGCAATCCCGGAAAGCACCGTCAGAAGCCCAAGAAGGAAGATAGCGGTGACACCGATTTTGTGCCTTGCCGGCATTTGGAGTGCCCAGATGCAAGGGATCGGCAGTGAAAGAATGATTATATCAGTGAGCACGTCCGTCCACGCCTGTGCTAGGTACATCGTGTTCGTTTGAATGCATGAATTAGCCTGGGCTCCGGAGGCCTCCCAATTATACCATATTGGATAGCATTGAAGTAAGTTCGCAAAGAAGAAGGCAACGGACCAGACTCCAATCATACTGATCATTGTCCACACCGCCGTATTGAAGGTATCGCCTCGAAAGACTCGTTTGTAGAACAGCAGCACCGATAATTTCGTCAGGCCGAAAGTCAACGTGGTACTCAGCTGCTGCGCAAAGTTGATTTCCAAGAACACTACGTCGCGATGAGTCCAGACTGCGTTGCCTTGTGCGTCCAGTTCCACGTGTCTTGCAAGGTCTCCGTCTACAGCTCCAACATAAATGCATACAGCGGAAGCGATGGTGAAAAGCTGCATCAGGGTCATTCATTGGCTTCTGACCGAGGTCAAAACACGCAGGGACGTAACAACAGACTGACCATGGCTAACACAATTGTGTAATCATCCCAGCCAAGCCCCACCTTCTTCAAACGCCTGGCACAGAAACGCAGCACGATAGCTAGCAAGGCCAGCACGGTCAAGAAGGTCGTCACACCAACTGATTGGCCTGGAGATTGTATCATGGTGACAGGTTTTTAACGACGATTTCTGCAGGCAGAAGCAGATCAGAGACTACCAACTACCAAATTCTTTTGAAATCAATCAACAACGGTATTGGGCACTCGTTGAAAGAATTTGGTTTACCCCAAGATAAGTTTTGGGTATGAAGTCACAACTCAAGAATGAAAATGCGGAGAAAAATGGCTAAATGGTACAGGACCCTCTTTCTTTGGTGCCCGCAGTGGCATCCTAAATTTGGATAGAGCTCTGTTGCGTCCTCTTGACCAGGGCCAATGCCAGCAGAAGCAACCATTTTCCTGTGAATTTACGCTTCACCTGCGCAAGAGTATGCGGGTCTCCTTAGCCTGGAGAGGCTCTGAGAGACCAATTGCGAAACGCGGTCCAACCACACTCACCAGACCGTTCGAGCTGTTTTTGACTAGGTACCATGGATCTTCCCGTCCGATTTCCGAACGAGTATGTCTCCAGCGCATGACGATAGTCCACAGTCTTACCGCGCTTATTTTTGGTGCAGTCAATTTATTCAAGGTCAGAATCATCCTTTTTACTCTTTCATTTATTTTGAAGACGCCAAGTCGATTTGTGTGGCTGGACGGGCTTTCGCAGACTTGCAGCAAAGATCGTCAACCTCGCAGCTTCTTTCCCTCCGCATTTCGCCATGCATGATCTTAGTCTTCAACTGGTGCCATTATGAAACGCGACGGAAGCACCAGAAACGTTGATTTGTTTCAGCCAATGACGGATGAGCGACTAGGGATATAACCGACAGGCGCTCCACTTATACGCGCTCAGCTCAACGACCATCGAACTCCTGCGACTCCACCTTCTCCACATTGTGATCAAAATCGTTCTAAATCACCCGAAGAACCAATTGGGAGGTTGGAACTATGCAACCCTCGAGTGGGGGCCTCATCTACTGAAGCCACCGTAGTTTTTGATAGGTGGTTGCTTGTATGCACTTTCTCCGCGGTGATGGAATCCGGCCAGGCAAGGGTCTGCTAATCGTCATGTCGTCGAATATAACGCCCAATGCATCATTGTGCATCGGAGAACTTGAGTCATACATTTCCCCAAGAGCAGGTTTCATTTTGTCATACAGCCAGCTCAATAAGTCTTTGCAAGAGGATTTGGAAATGCCGACAGCGCACTACCACTGGGCTACGAACGTCGAGCCCTGCCCTGTCATAGCACTTGCGCACCGTGGCAAAATCAGCGCAGCGTCGACCGGTCTATATTGGTCTTCATTCCGCATACGAAATCGGTCGTGCACATGCGGCCCTCGTTGCCGTGTTACTATTCATGTTTGCCCAGGGCCTCAATGCCAAGAGCCTGTAAATATTACCGCGCCCCCGAAAGAACTTGGTGCTGTCTCTCATCAACTCTGTCGGTCCTCAATTTCGCATGGAAGGTCACTGACGCATTTCCTGCCGTGTTCCTGAGTTTGATAAACCCGATCTTCTTCAACCGAGAAGCCTGATATATTGCCGCAGTACCGCACGAATGACGCGCGCCGATGGAAAACGGGGACACATGGCTAGGAGAATATGAAGTGTAGATACCGAGAGGATCCGATTGCTGCACAACGTTCCGTGATAATGCCAAGGTGCTACTTCATGCATTAGCCTTGGCAGTGGTCAAAACCCTCTGCACGATCGTTCAACGTGCCGCATGCACCAAACACGGCACGCTCTTGGCAATAACGCCGTGCAGCGGAGAAAGCGTTTAGTGCGTTTCAAATCGATGCCAATGACTGATCGATTCTTGAAAGGAATAGACTAGAAGTACTCACCCCACTCAAACATCGTTCCCGAGCCGGCAGATCAGCCTCCTGAGATATCCTTTGGATATCAGCTACTGTGTACCTGCATCACCCCCTCTTCTCGTTCTTGCCGCCCGACTTATTATTCATTGTTCGAATAACTCTCGGTTTAACTACTGCGCCATCCACGTAAACATTCCGCCAATGAGATGAAATGGCGCACTTAGCTCCAATTCTGGTTTTCTCTATAAAACATCACGGCATGCCCAACTTTGACACGCCCTCCCCAACAGAGCTACTAGTCTCCCAGAAGCCCTCATCATTTGAAACCTGTCCTCAAACCCATCATTCCAAGATCTACGACAATGCGCGCCACAACTTTCATGTCCGCCCTCCTCCTCCTCCTTATCTCACCTGCCTTCGCAGCTCCCCTTGTCAAACGTCAGGGTAAATCTCGTTCTCCTCTTTTGACCAGCCCTGAATCAACCTAGCAATACTAACCTCACCCAGGGGGGGTAAGCGCCATTTTGGATGCTGTGCAGCAGCCCGATACCGAGGCTTGCACCAACGGACGTCGGAGCTTGATACCGTTCTGGCCCCGACAGTACAAAGCCGTCAACGACTGCAGCTTCGAGATTGGCTCCGGTTCGGCCGTCGGTGCAACATGGAGGTTCGATGAAGGGTAGGGGGTTTAGCGAGTTTGGCTGAGGAATGGCCCAATCTGCTCGGAACTCCCAACCGCGCGAGATGTCGTGCGAGCCGGGCCGGTTGAGGGATACTCGAGTTCTCTGCGTGGTTGACCGCTGCGTCGTATCCATCAGACACGACACCTTTTCTTTGACGACAGAGGTGGGGTCGATGTGGCCTTGTTACATTTCTTCTTCGTGCTCGGTCTCGAGATTTGTGGTGATGGGACGGTTTTGTGCATGTCACCACCACCTTTTAAGACGAGCTAGTATAGTAATGACTTTCTTGGAGATGGCGATTCAAAACCTATGAAGCATGAACTGAACAGTGCCCAATTGTGACCTGTGGTGAAGGCTGGTTGAGCAAAGCCTTTTATAAGAACTGAACTGAACTGTACGGCAGGTAAGTGCTCGACATGTGTGGGACAAGGAAATATGAGACTCGCAACGTTTTGCGGTAATATGGCCCGAGAGTCGTGGGGTGCTTGACACGGGGTTGGTCAACAGTGGGTTTTCAGTAACAAAATACGCGCTACCTGCTAGGCATTCATACTGTAAATCGCAGGGAAATAAGTTCAGTACATCATACGCGCTTCATAACATTGTGCATGCACATCTTGCAGGGGGCCATGTTCCAATGTAAAATAGTGTTCGCTTATTTACACAAAACCTCGTTCTTCCCCTGACGAAATATTCGAACCCCGGCAGCACCCAATCCATGCAGCAAGTATCCCGCATTTTATCATGTGACTCGCCAAAGCCTCGCGGCCAAGTAACCTTTACACTTCAGAAAGCCCTGACATATTTTCCGCTCATCCCAGCCTTAGCAAATCCATAATCCCCTCCCCCTTCCCCTTCCCCTTCCCCTTCCCCATCCCACCCACCACCACCACTCCTACCAATCCCCCCTCTCCCCCCTCCAGGATAATTCACCTCACCCCAACCCACCCCTAATCGCCCTCAACTTCCCCTCAATCTCTTCCCCCACCTGGTTCAGCTCCGTGATCAAAAGCGCCAAGTCGTTCTCATCGCCGCCTCTGCGGAGGAGGTTGTAGATGAAGGCGGCGACGATGGCGATTTCGACGTCGTGTTGCGCGATGGGGGTGTGGGGTTGGTTCGCCTGGGGGGAGAGAAGGGGGGTTAGTGGGTCGGGGTGGAGCCGGATATTGGAAATAGGGGAAGGGGGGGGTACTCACGAGTGCGGAGATGGATTGGCGGAGGCTGGAGATGAGATCTGGGTCTTTGGCCGAGCGCTGTGATGGGATTGTGACGGGGAAGGGTTCGGGGGATAAGGGCATGGTGGGTGAAGAAAGGGTTTGGTTCGGTTTGATGATCAGAGGAAGTTTTTAGACCATGAGGCATTCACGTTTGAGGAGGGAGTAGATGATGATGTTTGAAGAGCTTCTGTGATCGCGAACGCAGACATCAACTGATGAGTGCACGTGGCAGTGAAACCGGGCAACTGAAACGGAAGTCGATGAGATCGATCTGACCTACTGAATCAGGATGCGCTGGCCGAGATCTGTATCTGGTGCCAGCTGCTAACACTCTAATCTGCAGTTGCCAGATCTTGGAAAACTTCACACACGTGCTGCAAATTCTTTGTTTGCATTTTGGATTCTGCGAAGAGCGCACTTTCCAGATCAGATTTTTACCACCTACCAGAAAAGACGGCGAGCCGATCTCTTCCTCTCCCCTTCCCACCACTACCGCTCTGAAGCTTCTCGCGCTAGAAAAGCGACAATGTCATCCTGACCCTGCGGTTCGCTGATCCAACATCGCCCATCCCGATACTCCTTCCACTCAACCTCCCGTCCCGACCCCTTCAGCGCAGCGCAAGCCTGCCGATATCCAACCACCTCATCCTCCACCGAACGGCAGAGCAACACAGACGCATCCACAAACGGGTCAGCCCACACATGAGACGTCGGGCCGTCTTCAAAACCGATCGTCCACTCGGACAATCCCTCCGACCCCTGCCCGCATGGCAGGCTCCATCGATCCTTTCGTACCGATCTCTTCGATCTGCGCCCGGAAAGGCATCCACCCGCTCAGGCCGCCTAGCTTGCACTGCCCCTTCAGCATGGTGATTAAACCCGTCGCGCATCCTTGGCTGATACCCGTTAAGATAATGCGGCTTGCGTCGCCGTTGAGGCGTTTGGTCTCATCATGGATTACACTTAGCAAAAAGCCCACATCCGCCTGCAACTCCTCTCTCGTGCTCGGGTAGATATCGTCCATTTCTAAGGAGCAGCGCTCGTGAGACGAGGGGAATGCACATTTGTAACCTGGTGAGAGCTCCTGGAGAGTCTTTCCGGCCGAGGTTTGTCCGTCGAAGAGATCTTCTCTGGTGTTTTGAGGTGGGTGGACCGTTTTCTCTCTCTCTCTGGATAAATTTGCCAGAAGGATTTTCAGACTCAGGCAAGGCGCCCGATGGTCTAGGGCTGTTTAGCGGACTACTGCTCCGGACCGGTCTACTGAACCAGTAGTCTAGACCGGTTTAATCATTTCATTAATGGTCCTAGAGCGGCTCAGGTGTGTGACAGGACCGGTCTGAACTACTAATTTACGATTTCAAATCTCTTCTTAATGTTGTTACTCATCTACATTTAGATAGAGCGTTTCAAGTGAGGATGAAGATCCAAGTCAGGTTCTCGGTAGAAAAATATCCGCTGAGCTCTTCCAAGTGGCGTAGAGTACCCACCACTTTCATATCAGCTTTCTAGACTATCGGTCTGGATGGGTCTAAACTGATCCGGACCGGTTCAGTATCTGGACGGACTACCTTACGGACCATGTGTATACCTTCAATTTAGCCCTATTCAACCCTCTAGACCGGGTATTCCGGACCATCGGGCGCCTTGAAAGGAAGCAACGATATGAACATATTCTGTTACGCCAAAAGACTGGCGACCTACAATAGTAGGCTATGTGATGCAGAGTGCAAAAAGAATTCCGTATCACTCCCACCCGTCGACGTCCAAGAGTCAGAATCGCCACGAACATGCCACCCAGAATGCCAAAAAAACTTCACCGTTGCCGACTCCATCCCTCCCAGAAGCTCGCTCTCAATCTTCCAACGCCACGTCTCCCAGGTCGATCGGCTGCTCTCGGACCGGATAGACACGTCGATACAGACGACCGACATCCTCATCGCTCCGTCCCGGCCACATATAAGATACCGATCGGTCGACCGATGGTATACGCTGCCATGTACCGGCAAATTTGGGCGATGCACCGTTGCGAGTCGGTCCTGGCCAAGACTCGAGCTCGGCAAGAGACCAGCCCTGGTTTCGGCGCAACGCTGTGACATGGTGGGGAAGAGCAGCGTAAGGGTCTCCGGGCTCTCAATTCTCTTGTTTTCCGCGAGGGTTTCTCTTCATTGGTCTGCTGTAGCTCGTGAGTGTGCTGAGATTGCGAAGCTGAGGGTGACCACGCCTGCGCACGGAAAGGCTTGAATGCCCCCTTTTTGGATCTGTGTTGTGAAGGTTCAGGAGAGGGATGGGCCCTAAGCGAAAATTTCCTTTGGGGTCGTCCGGGATAGAGTCCGTAGCTCTTCGACGTGGAATACCGGTCACGTGGTTCTCGTCTAAACGTAGGTAGGCTCCTCAGACTAGATCTCCCATCTCCTACGTCGACTTGAAGCTCGGTGCGCCTGAGAGAATGAGCGAAACCAGGAAGCCCTTCCCGTTCATTCATCACTGATATTCGAATCTTTTCGAGTTTGACTAACCCCCTTTTCCACCTTCCCAGGCGACTCCTCCCTCGACCATCCTCTCTTTTCAATTTTCGCGCACCCCACACAGCCCGAAGGCAGCGACACTGCCCATTCTCATCCCACAGCTCCATGCACTTCCAGCACAACCCGGCCCCGCAGATACAATCCACCCTTTCGCAGCCGCCGGTCTTCTCGATCAGATTCCTGCACCGCGGGCACTTCCTGATATCCGTGTTGAGATTCCAGGTCTGGAATTCCGCCGTCCCCACGCGCTGGTACATCAGGCAGGTCGTGCCGCTGTGGGAAGGGGCCCGGCAGGTGGTGCAGATGGGCGTGGCGCACTTGAGGCAAGTTATCACGGAGCCGTCGGTGGAAGTGCGATAGGTTTGGTCGCAGTGAAAAAGTCGGGCATTCTTGGATCGTTTCGATCGTTTGGAGGTAGATTGCGAAGGACTTTTCGAGGAGTTGTTCGAAAGTTTCGGACTGGAGAGCGAGTTTGAGTTCGGGGAGCAGGAAGGTCCGTGAACACTTTCCTGAATCGCCGAAACACCGAATCGGGATTCCTTCTTTGCGGGCGGAAACGCATTGGACAGCGAAACAGGCTCGACAGTACCGATGGCCGCAAGCGGTAAGGTAGGCGTCTTCGGCCTCGGTCAGACAAACGGCACACTCGGGCACTGCAGGATCCTCCTCGATTCTCAACCTCGCCAGGTGGTCTCGCAGAAGGTGGCGTTTGATATCCGTCATACACAGCGGATTGGCAGACGCTTCGTACTTGATCTCAACGGGGACCAGTCTTACATCGATCTTGGTTCGCGGGAGACACTTCGAATACCTCTCAAACTTGCGCCCGATGCGTGCAGCGAAACCCGGATCCTTGACCTGAACGTGCGCGACGACGGGACACGCGTCTGGGCCGGTGGTGACGTGTACGCACGACAAGCCCACCGGTTCTCGGAAAAAGGCAAACATGTATATCGCGAGATCGCCGGCGGTGCGGTTCGGCACGTTGCAGGAAAGTTGGATCGCGCTGTAGTCGGAGGGATGCTTGATGCTCAGAACGCTCGCTCCGGGCCCGAAATCGACGAGGACTCCCCTGAGGATGCGGGACTCCACCTGGCCCTCTGAGATGTCGGAGGTCATTGCTGGTCTTGGTGTTGTGGTGCTGGTCAACGATGCGGACTGGGAGGTTTGGTGGCATTGCTAAACGGGCCAGTATTGAGGTCGATCTTCGAGGGTGATAGGGTCATCGGAGATGGGGTTGATTGAGGTTTGATTGAAGGTTTGAAGGTATTGCAGTGGAAGGTGATGGCAAGTGACACATCCATCCAGACCTTGAGGAACCAGATTGCGGTAGCCGAGGCGTGTAGCCAAATAATTGTCAAGAGGAAAGACGTATATGTATAATGAAAAATGCTATGTGTCAAACGCAAGCATGGAAAGCGACAGCTGAGGGTTGAGAGCTAATAGGATTCGCAAGGGTGGGTGATCGTTGTCAAAAGTGACGGCGAACATACCGCCATCTCCAGCCAATCGTAGCCATTTTTGATGGAATGAATGTATCACGACACTACTTCCCCGCTCGCCAAGCCTCCTCCATAACACTTTCCATTGTCGGCTTCTGTGTCACGACTGACCCCTCACCCAAGACACTATGAATGACGACCGAATGCATAGGCTATATAACACAGATGGTGACTAAAGAAAAAGATCAGTTTCACACATAGAATAATCGCAATGGAGAGAAGAGAACGAGACTGTCTCCTATTCTATCCTCAAATCGCTCATGCCCCCGTTCATACCATGATGGGGCGAGACAGCGTTGAGTCAAAAAGGCAAAGGGATTGTCTTCGGGATGGGGAAGCTGTGTTTGTGTCCCAGCGGGCTTAGCTTCCGGCTGGCTGTCGTGTTTTGAGTGGGTAAGGTAGCCGCAAATCTTAGGGGACAGAGTTTGCGTGGCGAGCAGCTGGTGCGGCGAAACGAGATCCTGCTCGATAAAGGGCTGCTGTATGACCTGTATCCTCCAAGCTCATTCTCTCCCCCGGTTCCAGAGAACCGCTCACACCCGTCGTTTCGGACCCCAGCACGAGATCGAGAGCCCCTGGCGTCCCTGCTTCACCCTTGAGCCGTGGCATAGGTAGACGCTCGAGGACGCTTCGAGAGTGGGATTCACAGGGTTACTCAGATGGTGGCGTCGAAAACGCCCGGGGGGGGGGGGGTGGAAGCAGCGCATCTGATATAGCCTGAATGACTTAGGAGACCGTGTCGGAATAGGTGGATTCTTGTTTATACAATGAGCTCACTACTCATAAAGAGTCCCGTGCACCTCCTGCATATGCGCATAGCATTTCACCCCCTGGTCAAACGTCTCCAAACAAACCCAACAGATATGCGTCTTGCAATTCCTGCATTCCATATGATTGCAGCCGTAGGATTTCTCGATCGGCACTGTGCACACGGGACAATCCTTGACGTCGTTCTCCCGCTTCCAAATCCGAAACTCCTCGTTCCCTTCCGTCCCGATGCGCTTGTAGGCTTCACACGTCAGACCGTCATGGCTGGTGATCTGACAGGTGGTGCAGATGGGGGTCAGGCAGGCGGGACAGGTGAAGGTGGCGCCGTCGGGGGAGATGCGGTAGATCTGTTGGCAGTCCGGGGTGGGACAGTATTGGAAGCTTTGGGGATTGGTCCGTACGTGTGTGGTGAATGAGTCTTCGAGCAATTGTTCGAAAGCTTCGGCGGGTAGTGCGTTCTTGATTTCGGGCATCTCAAACACTCGTAAACAGTTTCCCGAATCGCCGAAACATCGCACTGGCAGGTCTCCCGCGCCAGCTGAGGAACACTGACTGGCAAAGCAGCTTCCACAGTAGACATGGCCGCAGGGCGTACGATAGGCATCTTCTGCTTCCGTCCAACATACCGCACAGTCAGACTGATCGATATCCTTGTCAAGGGCCAAATCCTCGAGATCACTCGCGACGTCTTGGTCGAGGAGCGCCCGTGCTGTCTCCAAATCACGAGCCGAGCCAGTGATAGTAATGATCTGCGGTCGTTGCCGGATATCAAGACTGGCTTTTTGCTTGCCGAGTGTCGCTACAATGCGGCGAAAACCCCCGTGCAGCGCTTTCGTGAGGTCTTCGGCGCTCAACGAAATGTAGTGGGTCATCTCCGTGAGGTTATTCAGCTTTTCAATCAGCGCGCTTCGGATATGTTCTTTGCTGCCAGCCGATCCGTAAAGAGAAAGACGATGCTTCCTCATGTCCCTGTAGATATACCCTTGATGGGTGTGACTCAATTCTTTGAGGTACGCCAGGCCCCCAGGCTGGGTAAAAAGGTCATCCCATATCCCGAAATCTCCATTCATTGCCACATCACCAGCCAGAATCTTCTCGAAAGCAGTCTTTGCTTTTGCAACGGCCTTTGCATCCTCTCCGTACAATCGAAGCGCTATGAGCTTCTGCGTGGGGTCTACGGGCGGATAGGCTTTGATATGCACATGTCCAGCGTCCCAGATTTGAGATTTGAGGTGGTCAACGTCTCCTCGAATCGCACTGTACATAGCTTTTGGGACATTGAATTTGACAGATATCAGGGGATGAATGAAGAGTCTGGAATTGGCCAGTTGGGGCATTTTCTGCCCACTCAATTGATTGACAGCTTTCCGCGCATGTTCTGCTGTCTGGAAACGTGCGATCGCTTTTACCTGCGTAGCGCTCATGGTAGAAGTAGGCTCCCAGGCCGCCAAAGGGCCGACACTATTGAGTAGAGCTTTGACAGAATCTTCAGCTTCGTGTGATGACGTCGAATATGAAACTTTGCCCATGACCACGTTCACCGGTGTAAGATGGCCGGGTATGTGTCGTTCGATCATAGGCTGTGACGTGGAGGCGTCTAGATTTCCAAGTTGCACAGAGATAATGGTAGATTCACGATGTCGAAAGTCATGTTCGGGGATTTGGAGAGTGGCCTGGATCTTGCGTCCTGCAATTTTAAAATCTCTGCCCGCAATGAATTTTTCAGCAGCTCTAGCTTTGCCGGTGTTGTTGTAGTGCAGCCAAGCGGTTCGGGAAGGCTTGTACCAGGTGCAGCTTACAGTGTTCATCTGGAGCCGGTTTGCGGATGACTCAGATTTGATCCCAACCTGCAGTATACTGACAGAGATTTCAGAGGTACGATTTTCCTCGACACCGCCGTCGGCCTTCATTTTCAGTCTCTGTGCAAATCCTGGGTCCTTGAGTCTAACACTGGCAACAGTCGAAGGAGGTTTGGTCACAGCCTTTACACGTATGCATGAGGGAGGGACAGTCTCTCCAAGCGCAGCCATGAAGCCTTGAAAAAATTCTGCGTCACAACCCGGCTGCAGAGAAGTCACCTGGACAGCGGAAAATTCTGATGGAAACTCCAACTCATGAATCTGGGCTCCGGGACCGAACATGGCGGATGCACCTTGTAGATTGCGTGCTTCGAATTCCCGCGAAGACTGTTCAGCCGCAGCGATGGCGGAATTCTCAATCTTCGTGTCTCGAACGTGAATCGGCTCGGGTGGCGCATTAATGGCTTCGGGTTGCGCCTTTTGTTTGTCACTCGAGGTCAATATGTTCTCGTCCGAGTGTTCGTAAAGACACTCAATGCCCTTGTTACAACGCCCAAGCAAATGGAAGCGGCACGGAATCCCAATGGTCTCAGCAGGCGAGATTGGCGAAGCGGTAAAAGGTGGCGAAAGTACAAAGGGCGCAGCTCCTGGTCGAAGACTGCCAGGAGAGGTGACTTCATGGCTGTATGTGCAGGCCTGCCCACGGGTACAAGTACCCAGAGCGAAAAACTTGCACACCTTTTTCCCCATGGTAGAAGTAATTTATAGCTTAAGCTGCTGCAGACCGGCGTCTGGCAATGAAAAATGATGGAAGCAAGTCCGAGGGAGAGGACAAAACGGCTAAGAGTCGGTGTGTTGAATGACTAGAGGATGTACATGCAGGGTCTTGAACCTCGTGACAGCTTCAACCAATCACAGTCAGGGAAAACGCTGGACACCTGCAGCTCTTCTTACACGGTTGGGGTCTGGCGACGTGGAAGGGAAGCGTCCATCTCGCCCGGTTCCGGTTGATGCCACTCTGAGCTTTACCTTGCAAAGAAAATACCAGTCATGAAGATCTTGCTCTTCAGAATGTCCACTTCAGAAGGTGTTTACGGCTAAGGGGAGATTTCACACTTTTGGCGATAAACCATGAATCATATCGAGATCCTTTCACATGTGTTGCACCAGCTTGGGCCTGCTTAATGCACGAGTAGAACTGACACATAATCAGGAGTCATTGTCTGAAGATTTCTCTCATATTGGCCACAGAAGATATAGGCATCGCCCCGAAGAAGCGGGCCCGGGGCCTGACGGTAAACACATTCAATTGCTTGATATAAACTGTGCCAGTCCTTGGGCGTATCGTGCTTCTATCAGACGCCACAATCAAATATCCCTATCGCTTTAGTTCAGATCTCAAGATTTCAGCGTCTCATTCACAGGAGGGACCTGCAAAATGTGGTCGCGACCGTCAACCTTCCTGCGCCGGGATCAACCGCCAAAGGCCGTACAAGCCGACATGGCATGTCGATACAGAACAGCTCAAAAAACCACCCGGAAGTCTTAGGAAAGGAATAACTCTGCTGTCTATTGGCAGAAAAAGAGTCGTAGAGGCCGTAGTACAAATCACTGGGTATAATGCATCACAACAAGATCAGGTAGTTGGAGGGCGCGATACCTATTGCGTAATTAGCGTTAACTCATGAGAACCATGAGAGACGCTCACCTGTCTCGCCAGTCTCCTTCTTCGCTTGCCACCATCGTCCACTCACATCCGAAACCTCCAGGATCTCGTGCTTCGAAAAGCTAATCTCGTTTGCATCGTCTGGGTTAGCTTCGTAGGAGTATATTGCCTTTGCACGGTATGGGTATTCTGTAGGAGATGTGACGTCGTTTCTTGGGTCGTGGTGATCCACGGCCATTCCGCCTAGAGGTGGAGCTGTGGTTGGTGTCTGATTTGTTGGTGATACAGATCGTGCGCCTTGTCCAAAGCGTTGTTGTGAGCTCTGTTGGCCGGCCAGACCACCTGGGTAGCCTGATACGGGCGACGAGGTCTCAAAGCCGTTCAATTGCGCTGAAGTATACATTTGTGGCGCTTGGTTGCCCATATGGGTTGTTTCTTGTGGACCAGGGGCATAGTGTGGGCTTATAGGTCTGCTGTTGCGCGTTGAGCCGCGTTGCTGTTCTTTGTGCAAGGCAAAGGAGTCGATGTAGCCTCGGTGCGTGGCTTGAGGCGTTGAGCCAAAGTAGAAGATCCATACAATCTGGGGAATCTTAGAAGCCGTCATGACATGGGCAAGGGGGTGACTGACCATGACCATGGAGAGTAATATGAACCCAGCTGCTGCTGCTTCCTTGTCACCGTCTGGAGAGTACACCAAGTCATTGATGATGGACGTGGAATACGTGAGACCAGCTGCTAGAAATCCAACAATCTGTCCAGAATCAGCAGTCTGCGGGCATTGGATGAAATGGATTGCGCACAGCAACATGGTATGTGTGTGTCGCGTCCGACCCCACTACCACGAATACGCCCACAATGACGCAGAACAGGTATGCTATTGCCCACCATGCAAAATTCGGGAATCCTCCTTTGACAGCGGATATGATGGAAGCGATGAAGGTGATGAGCCAAGCAAGCTGTCGTAATTGTTTGTCAGCTTTGTTCTCGTCCCATGCGGCCAGCTGGAAGCGTAAAGGAAACATACATATGCTATCGATATAGTCGCCAGCGCGAACGGGTCACCAACGATATGTCCTAAAAACCTTCAGCACCTGCTTCGTCTCCCATTGGACACAGCGCATTACCAAAGCTAAATCTCCGTAACCCTCCTCTGCCGGCGTTGGCTTCCAGATTGCCATTCATCTTGTGAAGTGATGGCGAGTGATAGCTGCTGTATGACGATGGCATAGAGAATCCAGATCAAATGTCAAGTATCCTCCTCGCATCCGCCGACTTTGCTGCACAACTATGTGCCGAGGTCGCGCAATATCTTAAACGTGGTATTAGATCAATGGATCACGTCGCCTTGTTGAGATTTTGGAGAAGGAGTGTGATTGTTGGAAAGCGTTGTTGCGGATCTGCGGCGTGGTGAGGGAGTTGATTAGGAAGTTATTTCTCGCACTGGCCAAGGAAGTGCGAAGTGAGGTATTGGCCGACTGGGTTGCAAGAAGCAGTATTAGTAGTGTAAGATACAGTGAAGGAGCGTAATGGGTGGAGAGCAGTGGTTGGAGGTGATGTGTTTAAAAGTTGTCGAAGTTGCGACAAGAGGAGTCGTCGGCTGCCGTTTCAAGTTGGGTTGGTTTTGGCAGCCAGGCGCTTTCCTAAATTTAAATCTTAGGACTTAAAAGTAAGAGACGTCCCAGGACTCCACTGGAATCGCTGTCCAATGAGTGGACCCGTCGAATTAGACGCTGAGAGTGAGTCGCAACTTTTGCTGGAGAGTAGAGTAAAAGTAATCGTTTGTGTTTCGAGGAAGCTGACAGGATCATTGTCTCGTTGTCTGTCCTCAGTCCTCACCTCCCCGCAAAAAACGCGACCTCGTAAATGAGTGGGTGGTGGAGATTGCAGGGCTGAGAGTACATACCCGTATCTAATCTTTAGGCCGCGACAACGCTAATCTCAGGAACGAGTGGAGACTGGAGAGTGTGGAGAGGGGAAGAAGTTCCAGACTCTCCAAGCCAAACAGGACCCACTCTCGCCACTCAACGTCCTCTTGTTAAAGTACAATGCGCACACAAATCAACACATTTTGTAATGTAGGCATTGTCTTCAAAAAGCCATAATCGTAGTGATTTACCATTAGCAGCTATCTCCCTCTATTCTTTGTTCTAAATCTATTCCAACAGCACAGCCGGACTGGGCACTTTGGAACTTCCCAACTGCGTAATTCTTCCGAGCGGAACCGTATTTATGCATGCGCTGCGGTCGTGTCGAGCGCCCTGAATCAGTGAACACGAGCGCGAATCATTGTACGCGCCCACTTGAAGTCCTCATGCGAGCAAGGCCTCTGTCTCTGTCTCGCATATGACCCAACAATCTCTTTGCGGTAGATAGTCAATGGCTGTTCTGCTCTGTTCCTTGGGCCTTGAATGGAAAAGTGGACATACTGGTAAAGCCGCACAATTCAAACGTAGTTGGCCTGCCTGATGAAAAAGCAACACAGCCCTGATTTCGCATCCCTTGACCCCTAAGTTCAGCCTTCTCCGTCGTAGAGGACACCCATCAATCTCCGTAGGCCTCATCCTCCTCCGTCTCTTTCGCCATCCGGCCCTCTTCCCTCCTAACCCTCTTCTCCACCTCCACAACTCTCCCCTCCCACTCGGTCCAGCAGTCGCTTTCTCCCAGCACACCCAGCTCATACCACCTCTGGATCGCCCTCGCACTTCTCTTTCTCAAACCTGCCATATCCCTTGCCTGTTCATTTTGTAAAAGCTCCAGCTTCGATAGCCGTGGTTGTAACGCGACCAATGAAGCAGAAGCTGCGGCCGGAGGGATTGGCAGGTCTTTGATGGCGTTGAGACGTGAGGCAGTGGTCTGGTAGGAAGGAGCGCAGGAGTTAACGATTGCTAGTATTTCCGGTGTAGACAGGGTCGTGGGGACGTCGGTGGTTGTCGGGTGGAAGAAATCAGGATGCGAAGCATCTTTTCATTGTTCCTTATTAGCTGAGAAGTCTGATTGAAGGAGGGACACGAACGAAGCTTGAGTAAATCTCGTACAACCGGCGATCTGGAAGAGAGCTTGCCCAGGTTGTTTTCCAGTCGAGCCAGTCGAGCCTGAACTGTGTCGTCCCGCCCTTGCGCTGCTACTTGCTTAAGGGTATCCTCCACTTCTTCGCTGCCGCTGAGATACCAGTGAACCTTCTGTAGGCGGGCTTCGAGAGAATCGAGGGTAGCAAGAGCGGTCTTGATAGCAGTATCGCTCATTCTGAACTCAGAGACTTGGCGGTTATTAACATGGGTGAAAGAATGCACATGCTATTCCGGCTGAAGGTAAACAATATCGAAGACCAGTACTCTAGACCGCATGGACACTAGACTAGCGTTTAGCGCTCCCGATTTAGAGAAGCAACGCCGGAACCAAGACTCTTTACCTCTCATACTGCTAAGCAATAGATGCTAAAAGACCATTCACATGGACCAATCTTTGCCATAAGAGACTGTCGCACCTGAGCATCATGCTTTGGCACAAAGTGGATTTTTCTTGGAAGAGTGACCGTCTGCTTGAGGGAACATGCTGTAGACGGTTGTTCTGTGTCTGAGTCTTGAGCAGTATATCCATCCGCTTGTAATCACAGGCTTCCCATGATGTAGAGGAAATCAAATGGGAGAAATTTTATGTAAGTTTACTCTACTAAGCAACCAAGCTTTCTCTGCAACCTCTTTACGCCGACACACTTCAGTCCTTCTCACAGTGTGAACTTTCTAGCATCATCCCAGTGCAGGATCACTTCGCTGTAGACCTCAGCCAGTTCTCTTTGCAACTACTTTCTCTTGTACCTATCATACACTGTGTTTCAGAAGCCTGTTCCCCCAACATAGCAGACTAGATCATAGCACATCACGATGGCATCAGAATCTTCTGCAGTAGTCACTGACCCCCAAAGCGCGCCTATGCGGGCCTTGTGCGCGAATCCTATCAATGAAGGGTCGACGCCCTCCGAATGTGAAACCCCAGCCGTCAAAATACTGTGGCTCATGCCTACTGGTGAATTACTGTGGAGTTGCGTGCCAGAAGTTGCACCGAGCCAAGCACAAGCTCGATCTTAAGTCTGAGTCAAGGAAGGACAATTGGCAGCCTACATGGGACAAGCAAAGTCGACGGCCCGCATTCCTTTATAGAAGAAGAGCTCGGATTCGAAGTTTCCACGCGGTAACTATGGGGGAACGTGCCCCGCCTACGAAATCCCGAACCGCGAGAGACACGAGGGCAAGGACGACGACCAAGACCTCGCGCTGTGTCGGGCTTCATCTTGAAAGAGGCATCATTCCTACCCATGCCTGACGTTGACCCAGCAGGCACATTCAACGCTCCAGACGTGCCGTTCGTTGCGCCGACGAAGATCGTGAGGGATTGCGAGACGCCTTGTGAGCGTTACGTGGACAAGTCGGAGACGCTGCGGGGACGGAAATGTCGAAGGTGAATACCGTCGTCGAGGCATGGATGACAAGAGTGAAGAAGCACGCTTTTGAGGAAAGGGGCACGGAGAGCTTTTGATTTGGAGTTGCGATGGGAGACGATGGGGTGTGAGCGATCTGTGGGGTGGGCGAGGAGGCAATGAGTTTGGAAGCTCGAGGTATACAGGCGCCCGGAGAAACATCAGCCTGTTCCCTAACAGCAAACAAGCTACTCTCAAATCTGGCGCAGAAGATCGTCTTTGAGTGAGATCCTACGGTTCACCACATCGGTCACATCACCGAGTCAAGAAGGCGTGTTCCATTAAATGCCAATAGATGGTACAGCCGACACGACACAAGCATGACCTCCCCAGCTCAAACAGAACCATTTCCACCCCCCCCTTTTATCATCACATTCGCCACCACGTTATAAACATTAAAACTCAGCTAACGAACGGAAAGTGTACAATCGCCGATGCGCCGACCAGAAAGCGAACCCCCCCCCAAAATGTTCAACAAAAAGGTATATAGACAGGCAAACATGTAAGAAAAATGGTATACCTCATCATTCACGATGCTCCCACAGACCCTCGGTTCCCGATCCGGTTTCGATGCAATGCGATATCGCAGCGCGCAAAAAGCCTATCAGAACCCCTTTTTACCTGATTCAGATTTCCCCGCTCGCCACGCCAAAGATTTCCCATATTCCCAAAGCCATTGTTGATACGACCGTTTTCGTATCAGCCCATTACGGGTACGTACATCATCTTGATGAGGCCCGAAGCCCTCAAGAACTCATCCTTGTCTACATCCCGTCAGCGAATCCCTCCGCCCCGACGGAGGATACTTCCCGTCCACTCACGTTCGGTATTTGCAAAAGTCAGCGTCGTCCTCCAGCGCCTCCGGCTCGTCGCCTGCGCGCCGAGCGGTCCGCGCGTCGTCGCGGTCATGTACTTGGTGTCGACCTCGACGCCGCGCTGGAGCAGCAGGGCCTGGAACTCGACGTTGTAGCTCATGGTGGAGTGCTCGCTGCGGCAGTGCGCTTCGAAGAGCGAGGCGGTGATCCAGGGGTCCTTGATCTCCTCCCCGAGCCGGACGGCCAGCTGGATCTGAGGCTGGCCTTCTTCCGCCGCTTTCTCCCAGAGGTGGACGCAGACGCCTTTGTGTTGTTCTTTGGGGTTCATGATGAGGTGACCCGTCTCGACGAGGAGTAGTTTCGATAGGGGCCGGAAGAATTTGAGGGTCCAGCCCGTCAGGCCATGCATGAATCTCTTCAAGTCATGATCACAGCCCAATTCAAAGCGAGCTGCTTTGAATGTCTCCACCACGTGGCTAAAATCCGGGGTAGGGTCACTTGCGTTGGGCTTGTACTGCAGCCTGGGTATTGTGGAGACGTAGTGTGAGGTTTGAAGACTTGGGAAATGTATGATGGTCGGCGCACCATTCCTGGTGCTGAAGACCCAATCAAGATCCCTGTAGACGTAATAAATTTCTGTCATATGTGGGCCTCTGGGATTCTTCTTGCTCAAAGCGATTGAGTGATATTGCCGGTCCGGTTCATCAACATCGAACAGTCGATAAATCCTGATGTCCTGGAAAGCGGATGGTATGTCGACTTTGGTGGTAACCTGCGGTGGCATTTCTGTTGGGAGAAGGATACACTTTTCAAATCTTTGAGCTTCTGAAGCGCTGCCGAATTCCAGATAAATCTTCCGGTTGGGTTCATCTGCTTTGTAGATATACGAGTACTGGTAAGCAAAGTCGCCCAGCTCTTTCCTCCTCAATTGCTCACAGTCTGACCATTTGACCGTTACTTTAGTCCCTTCAACTACGATCTTTATTTGGTCCACTGGCAGCCAATGGGATACGCATTCAGGTTTGGTACTATCTGGAGGAGTGCTGACCACAAGGCGGCGTGTGGTCTTCCAGCATTTGTCGGGCATCGACTCGTAAACTCTCAACCCACAAGAGGAAGCCTTGCTTGATGCCAGAGTCCTGGCTCTCTCAATCCCGGAAACTGCCCCCGGACTGGAATCACCGTAAGTAGACAGGGATGCCTGGTAAATTGCAAGTTCTCCTGAACGCGGCTTGATTTTCTTTAAGGCGGCGAAGAATATCCGTGGCTGGGTAAAGAACCCAACGGCGTCTTCGTGGCTCAAAAACTTGATCTCCGCTTCTTGCGTTGGAAACTTGATCGAGAAGAGCGTAGTGTCGTCACCGGCCTCGTAATCCTCAAGATCTTCAGCCGCCAATTTCCGAGAAAGATTTACAGACCCTCGATGGTTGCATAAAGAGACGAATATGTCGCAATCATCGGCTGCTGTCCAAACTAAGAGCATGTATGGAGCACTGGGGGACTTTGATCGATCGTACCTGCTGCCAAGCTGCGCATTGGCGAAGGTTCGGAACAGCACCTTTTCATGTTGCATTCCAGCATTATCTTGATCTATTTCAAACCACCGAAGTGCACTGACGGGGTCATCCATCGCGGCCGGAATACTCTCTTCGGCCTCTATCGTTTGCTCAAAGCTCTCAAGAAGGTGGAGGTCGTTCTTCAGAAGAGCATTCCCTTCAACGACCTCGAAATTTCGATCGAAAGTTCTGCTTTCCAGGAGATCATTATGGAGAGAAGCAGACAGGTCCTTGATCATTTTCCTGACAGAGACATACGAAAGTTCTTCGTCCGCTGCTCCAACAAGGATGACTTCCTCCAATATCCAGGAACTTTTGAGCAGATCTGTATATGCTTGCTCGGCTGACACGGTACTGTGCCATCGATTTTGGTGTTGTGAAGCGTCCGTTCCCCTTCGTTTGATTTCCTCTGGAGCCAGTATATGGGAAATGATGCGGGACTTCACGAGCCACCAGATCGCCAGCCGAAGCCACCTTTCAACGGAAGTAGGATCTTTGACAGACTCGACGCTATCCCTGAAAAGTTTTTGGACATCCGAAACGACATTGTGCTTCTCTCTGTCCCGCAAAAGTACCAATGGCTGTTTAGTCTTGGTTTGGAGAGGCCCTTGGTCGGGAACTGGGGGCTCTTCCTCTGACAAAGCGTGGCATTCATTTGATGATTTTTCAAAGCTAGGTGCAATGTGACACTCACCTATACCAAGACCGCCCGACTGTACTCGATCATGACAGCTACAGCAGCTGGTCTTGGCCGTAGAAGCACTGTAAGACCGCGATTTTAGCGTTAAGCTCTCCAAGGCTTCTTGTGCATTTGATCCTGTACTACTGAGTGTTCTCTCGCGGAACGGTTGATAGCCAAATTGCACTGCTTTAGGCGATTGAGTTGACAGACTTTCTCTGGGGTTGTTCAGCGTCGCTGAACCTGTAGTTGTTGCCGTGGTCGTCCTCTTGATAGGCGAAACCCCACAGGTACAAGCTACGTCAACTTCGGGCTCACGTATCCTTACAGGAGGCTTTTCGTCGTCGTCTATAGGAGTCTGTTTGGTTTCCTCACTCAATTGCTTCCTGAAAATAACTAAGCGAGGTTTTCAATTATTCAGCGGACCAGTCGTCATTTACCTGCCTTTCGACGTCAAGACGATCTGGAGGAGCTGCTGGTGTTCTTTAAATTTCTCTCGAAATTCTTTGATTGCATCCTGGTCTTTGGCCCAAGAGATGCGCTTAAAGAAAACGCCGCGGTCGCTCCATGCTTTAAGTCGTCAGCGAACCAAGACATGCGTGAAGCTAGCAAAGTCGTATTCACCCAAGTTCTCATACTTTGTTGTCAGGTCTCGGAGCCCGTATAGGGTGCTGAAGCAACGTTCGAGGACAGCTTGCACAGCAACGCTATATGACGGATCACCGCCGTGATCTGTTTGGGATCTGATTCGGTATAAGACTCCTTTGTATATGTCAAGGTCTCGCAGCAATGCTTCAAATTGCTCTGGTGCATCACGTGCGACGACGACGACTCTAGAGTAGAGAGCATATGCAAGCTTCGTCAAAGCTATGGTATCGCCGATTGGGGAATAAGACATTGTGAAACCTTCCGTCGAGATCGGAATCAAATCAGTAATCGTGACAGCCTTGTGGCTAACCGAGCTACTCCAAGAAAAGCGGGTCAAAGGAGGTGGACATTCAGCGCGTATATGAGGTCAAATGGCAGACTCACTCTGGTGCAGGGGTTAGCCCGACACGTCATCCCTTATCGCGTGTCCGTTCAGGTTGGCCGAGGCCTGCACGAGTGTGGCATCTATCAACGCAAGAAATCAGGCAAAGGGAGTAAGGCGTTCTCAGCCTTGCAATGGCTGCAAGGCAGACACGCAAATCATATCAAAAATAGGGGAATTAAGCGAAAGAGCTGAGCTAGATGCCTCAGAAATTGGTCATAGAATGTGACTCTGCGCGCCCGTCGGGATGGTACCAGCTGATGCAGGAAAGGGCGGGGAAGGAATAATTGGTAGCCTTGCGTCTCAGCTTCTGTTTTCATACTAGTAAGTATCGTGCGGGCGGGTAGGGTTTCATGGCGTGCATACAAGTAGCCGAAAATTTGGCGACGATGGAAGCCTTGTAGCCTTGCGAGTTGCACAGCCTTGCAATAAGCAACCTCGAATGCTTTCCTCATGCATTAAATTTTTATATAAGCAGGCTCCTCCCAAACGCTGAGGCTTGGACCTCAGAATCGTGAATCCGTTAGTCTCTTGCCGCTTCGTTCTCTTGGAGTCAATCGAGAGTCTGGACATCAACTTTGCACACATTACAAACACGCTCACTTTCTGGAAGTATGGCTACATCAGAAAAGACCGAGGGTGGGTACTTCACCTCAGAGGATGTGGATGCAGCTCCTGCAAACATCAACAGCGTCTTGGTCAATCCCTTCATTGGAATGCGACACGAGAAAATGGACGAGCTCATAGAAGCATTCATAAATAAAACAAAGATCGAAGATATATACCATGAAGTGATACGAAAAGGAGCGTACTTGGCTCAGGACGGTGAGGCATTCGGAGGGCCGCGCACAGATAGCCTTCGTCTCAAGCCAGAAGAGATTGAAGCCCTCAGACGAGAAGACCCCAAGACCGGAAACAAATGGGATCAGCCGTGGATACTATACGCACTGGTCGGTACGTACTTTTGGAGTCCGCTTCGAGTCCTGACATATGTCTTGGGGGGCAGTTACCCTTCAGACATCTTCGAGTCTTGAAACCCTCACAAAAGCAGATGACACTGACACCAAAATAGGATGTTGCTCCCTCGGAGCAGCTGTGCAGGGCTGGGATGAGACCGCAGTGAATGGCGCTCAGTTGGTAAGTTTGCTTCACGGCCTGACTAGTAATTTGTCCGTATCTCCCGCATCTGGGGCATGATTTGACCACCCTTTGCCTGTCGAGGTCGTCTTGCGATCCATTAGCATCTCGAAGAAGGCGTGCTAATCGAGGATTTGTAGTTTTATTCGTACGCATTCGGAATAGGACCCAAGGATGGGAAAGATACAGGGAAGGACGCAGGCCTCAGGGGCCTTGTAAACGCCGCCCCGTACTTATGCTGTGCTGTCCTGGGTTGCTGGCTCACAGAACCTTTGAATCGAGTATTGGGAAGGCGAGGAACAATCTTCGTGACCTGCCTCATCTCCAGTGCGACCTGTGTAGCACAAGCGTTTACATCACAATGGTGGCATCTATTCCTCGCCAGGTTCTGCTTGGGCCTTGGAATTGGACCGAAGAGCGCAACTATTCCGATATATTCTGCTGAATGTGTTCCGGCAAATATAAGAGGTGGGCTTGTCATGATGTGGCAAATGTGGACGTGAGCTCCGCTTCTCTAGTTGCTGGCCATGGATAACCTCCATTGACGTATAACAGGGCATTTGGTATCATGTTGGGATACATAGCCGGCGTCATCTTTCGCAACGTTCTTCAGGGAGATTCAGGCACATGCGACAAACACTTAAGCACGGAGACGCTTCTAAGTCTTCAGTGTAGCTTGAACTGGAGGTTGATGCTCGCCTCTCCCATGCTACTACCTCTCATAGCGGCTGCCTACGTCTTCACCCTCCCGGAGTCACCGCGATGGCTGCTCCTCAAGGCTCGGCAGGGAAAGACTGCCTATTACGAAAAGGCTTTCCGCTCCCTTTGCAGACTCCGTCATTCCCGGCTCCAGGCCGCACGGGACCTCTTTCTTATGCATCATCTCCTCGACGGCGAAGAAAAGATCAAGCAAAACCGTAATCGATTTGTGGAATTATGGAGTGTTGACCGCAATCGCAGAGCTCTGGTGGCATCTTTGACCGTCATGTTCCTGCAACAGATCTGTGGAGTGAACGTCATGGCCTTCTACTCATCGGAGATTCTGAGTCCTGTACTTGGCGACAAAGCTGGCCTTCTGGCTTCGATGGGGTTCGGAATCCTGAATTTCTTGTTTGCTCTGCCTGCGGTATACACAATAGATACTTTCGGACGCAGGAATCTGCTTCTTTGCACGTACCCATTCTTGGCTTTCTTCCAGCTTCTGACTGCCATGGGATTTTTGCTTCCATCTGGGAGTCACAGCCGAACGGGGCTAGTGTTGACCGGGATGTACCTCTTCAGCGTTTTCTACAGCCCAGGGCAAGGTCCCGTACCATTCGTGTACTCTGCCGAATCAATGCCATTGTACGTCAGAGATCTAGGTATGTCAATGGCCACCGCGACTCTTTGGTTTTTCAACTTCCTACTGGCCGTCACATTCCCGAGGTTCCAGTATTCCTTTGGCAACACGGGTGCTTTTGGCTATTATGCAGCTTGGTGTGTTGTAGGATGGTTCATGATATTATTTCTTGTGCCCGAGACGAAGAATTTGACTCTCGAACAATTGGACGCACGATTCAACATTCCGACCAAGACGCATGCACGCTGGGCTGTGAAAGAGGTGGTCTTTGTCGTCGAGCACTATCTCCTTGGGCGGAAAGGGGCAAGCAGACCAGTCCTGAGTGTGCCGACGGAAAGTGAGGCCGAAATGGACAAGCGCAGGCTTCCACCGCGAAAATTGTCGATGGAAATCGAACAACGAGAGATTCCGGATACCGAGGCTTGATGTGTATAGGTGTCGGCTGTTAGTAGCGAAGAAGATCCCCAACGCTAATATGTTAATAGATAAGTAGATGTCTATTTGATAGGGGCGCATCTTCCAGTAGCTGTTTGTAGATCCGCCATCATACCCCACGGCGCAAGACATGCCGAGGCCCCAGTATCATCAGACGGGGCTCAACGCGGAGGCGAGATCTTCTGGGTAGGTGGTCGGGTATGGGCTGAATATATAAGGCGATAGCTGCTGCTTTCTTCCAAACATCATCTGCAATTCAAGCTCTGCCGCAAACATGCTTATCCTTTCAAGCATCGCTCTCGCAGTCTTTGCTATCTCTCCAGCATCTGCATCAATCACGTGTCTGAAAGTTGGGGCGGCAGCCACCGCTAGATGGACAAATGCCGCCGACCAGAATTGTACTTGGACCGGGATTGTGGGATCGAATTTTGGCATTGATCCAGTGAATATGGGAAAGTAGGTGCAAAAACCGCTGAAGAGTGAGAAGTTTTCCTTGCTAACGTCGGCCGTGCTGTCGAATAGCTATGCATGTAATGGACGGTAGAGGCATCCGCCCTGTGTCTGGAGAGCGTATTGACTCACTGACATGTAATCAGATGCGGTGCTGACTGCACGGGAGCGGCTCTCGGGAACGTATAGTAAGCCACTTGCAGTCTATCGAATTAAAGACTGGGTTTTGCTAAAGCTGATGTTGTGCCATGAAGTACCCAGGATTGTTTTTCCCACGATATCTGCTCTTTCTTCAACAACGCCGCTGGTGGAGCAAGGTGAGATGCACTTAGATGATCGAAGATTGTTTGGAGGAAATAGGTACTGATCATACGCTGCCGGTAGTGATCCAAACTGTGGCGGCGCATTCGATGCAGCTGTTGACGATACGGCTTTTGGATTTGCGTATGGTTGTTCACAGACCAACCCAACAAATCCCGTAGTAGCGCCGACGATCATGCCGGCATGCGGCTGATCGATTGAAGGTGTTGCCTGTCAGAATGTCTTACAGGAGGCGTGCCTGCAAACACGCACACCGTGTTGGGGTATTAGGTTGAAAACCATCAGGTTTGGGGGGTCCGGATTTATGAAGCGAATACTCCGTTGTACTCCGGCGGTTCTCCATGTTCAGCTTTTGCTACTTTTGTAATGCTTGTCTCCTCGATATATGAGTGAGCTTTTTGAAGCTATCAAGCGATAGGAGCTTTTAACTCTCTTTCGAACGCAATGCAAGAACCCTGATTGAATTGACTCAGAGGACGTCCATATCGTCTTCCACTTCTGCAAAACCTCGCCTATGCTGGATCAAGGACCCTTGAAACAGCCATATGCTGCCCCAACTTAAAGTACAAACTTTCTCTTGTGCTCCTTCAGCCGATTAGCCCTCCCATAATATATTCTTAACGCCACACAAACTACCGAGATTGCCAACATGAACCCAGCATTGATCCAGTTACCACTCTTATACCCGTTCTTGGCCTCTCCAGCCGGGAAGATCCATGTACCCAAGATCAGGCCAGCTCCACCACCGATAGAGACGTTGAGGGCGACAGCAAGGTCCGTCGAAGCGGTCGTATGGGTGTTTGATGCAAGGAAGGAGAGCAGAGAGGGAACGGGTGAAAAGACGAATGTAGTGGAGATGACGAGGCAGATGTAGCGGGCCTATGGCATTGTCAGCGAGTAGTAATAGGTGGATGCTGGCGAAGGGAAGATAGGTGGACTCGGAAAGATAGGAGCCTTCCCCACATGGTAAGATCACTTACCACGTAAGCGTCAGGCGAGAGAGTTGCAGAGGCAATAAATCCTGCCGCACAGAAGAGAGCACATACTGCTGCGTGGAGGGAACGACTATGAATAAGCGTGTTGTGAGTAAGAGGTCCATCATCAAGAAATGGCGATGCCAGGTACGATTGGAGTTTCCACTCACGAATTGAACCGGTCTGCAGACCAGGACACAACGAGCGACACAACGTACGCAACAGCGTAAGGCGGAATTGTCATTAATTCTGCAGACAGTGACGTGTAGCCGAGACCAGCGACCCTTGTTGGTGCGAAGAGTGAAAGGCTGGAAAATGGTGTCGAGATGAGAAAATGGAGCTTCAAAAGGCTGGATTAGCTACCATAGACATTGAACCAATAGTGGTATAGGACGAAACTTACCAAGTAGTGAAAATATAGCCGCCACTCCGTCAAAGTCTCCTTCGCATCTACCCATGTTATAGCCATGTCGTCCGCGCTCGAGCCACAGAACCTCACTCTTTCTCTTGCCAACTCCTTTTCCTCGTCAATAAGCCACCGAGCCGATTCTGGATAATCAGGCAGTATAAGCAGGACGACAAGACCCGCTGCGCATGCGGGTATGCCTTCCAGTATGACAAGCCATTGCCATCCCGACAGTCCGTTAATGCCATTCATTCGTCCAACACCATACGCAATGGCACCTCCGAAGGCACCGGCTAAGGCGGCAGAGGGTAGGAAAAAAGCGATGCGTAGAGAGCGTTCCTCAGATCGATACCAAAATGTCAGGTAAAATTCCACACCAGGATAGAGACCTTTGTTGGAAGTAGGTCAGCTTTGCGGCCATCACATGAGTCGTGTAGTCGAACAAGGAGTGCTCACCAGCTTCAAATACACCGAGAAGAAACCTTACGCCTGAAAGCCGAGGCGGCGATTTTTACACCACCAATACCTATAGTGGTAACTCCCCAAGAGAACATTAGGAAAGCGATCCATCGCTTAGTACCCCATATTAGCGGATCCTCTCTTGTATGCATGTAGAAAGCATCAGGCGGAGAACGGCAGGAAGATTATGCGAACGGTCATACATTGGGGCTCAGCTTCTTCAGCAGATAATTTGACGGCACTTCAAACAGAGCGTAGCTGGTATAGAACGACGTCAACGCGAAGCTAGTAACATTCGCACGGCATTAGCAATTGGAACACGATTCGACTCTGCTTATATTAGATAAGGGGGATCCGGATGGCCTTCCTATACTGATAGGAACTCGTGCCTGTTTTCTGCAATAGATCGTCACCGGTCTCACTGTTCAAGATTCTGGCATTACCTGCAGCACATCAGCGCGGAGACTCAGCAATCGATGGGAAATTTGTCAGACGTAAGGGAAATATGAGAGAATGCGAAAGTCTGCTCTATACCAATATTCGACCGGTCCAGAAAAATAGTAGGTAGACCACGGCACATAGTGGAATTATCCTCCAGTCCTGCTTCCGGACCAAGGATTTGTCTTCCACCGATCCACTTCCCGTATACATATCAAAAGAAGAATTGCTGTTGCCAGGGCCGCCCTCGGGAGCCTGTGATACAGCAGTCTCAAGACTGTTGGTCATATGATTCACGAAGCTCATGTGCAGGGATCTTATGATGCCATACCATCTTTCAAGTGTCCATATCACCCATCTCGGCGAGTGCTTTTATATCAAATCCGCAAAATTGTTCAAATGCAATAAAATAGACTTGAGGATAAAGACACCACCACAGTGAATGCCGGAGAATACATCTTTATATCATCGACATCACCGGTATCCAGGATGTCGTATAGTCTATCATTCTTGGGTGGGAGTGGTTCGATCTATTGGTTAGTTACATTTTCAGCCGAGCATGTGCGCGCCACAAGTCTGAATACTTGCAACACTCCAATATGCCAAAGAAAGATGCCCGCCTCGCACGACGAAAGCCTACTCCGTAAACCATTCAATAGCAGATTGCGAGATGAAACGCGATCGATTCTCTGACCTCTGATATCGGCGAATAGTTCCTCCATCAACTGTCTTTGAGAAACCCCAAGGCGGCGAGTTCCCAATGGAATACAGAGCCTACAGATTGCGACACTCCCCACTAGAATTTTCACCGATAGCCTCGGATATGTAGAGTAGAAGGCCCTAAAGGAGTCGCTCCCATCTCTCGTAAGGATTTGCAACAGATTGCGACCTCTTGGCTCGATCTCCTTCAGAAGGATCTTCAAAGCGGAGATGTTATCAAACAGGACTGCATTGTCTCCATACGATATGGCGGAGGCTTCTTGAAGTACCAGCGGGCAATTTCCTGCACCAGTCCATTCGAACTGGCGGATAGCGATGGCGATAGTAACTATAGCCACCTGCCTGATTAACACCCTCTCATATGTCAATTTGCGAGTCTCTGCCGGCAAGAGATGAAGCTTCCGGGAAAGCGTGCCTCTATTGATTCGTTGCCCCAGAAGGATTGGGACCAAAATTGGTCTTACACACACAAACACACAAAAGGGGACAGAAAAAGGAGAGACATAGAGCGATGAGCTGGAGGGTAAAGCCGCAAGTCTTCCGCTAGCCTTATATCTCTTGGCACCTTTCAATCAACAATGTCTGCCTCGTCTGCCGTTTACTGTTGCACGCACTGTACGTTTTCACCTCGGAACCCGACTTAGCATCAGATATGGAAGGGATAAGATAGTATTCATAAAGGCGCAGATGCCTCGATATCCATCTACTCCTGCGCACCCTCGCATAGCTTCCTCTGCCGCCGTTCTAGAGCAACAATGAGGCTGGCCCTGCGCTTCGCCCTGAGTGCCTCCGTCTTCCTGATCACCCTACTTCTAATCGTCAAAATAAAACTCGAGGACGTCTGGGACCAATATGGCGTCTCGAATTACATCGCTCATTCGTGGAAGAATACATTCCAGCATGGCCCCGTGCAGAACATACCAACGTTCGACGGCGAGGCCAGCCATAAGGTCGTCATCATGGCCAAGACGGAAAAGGAGAATACGGACTGGGTAGCAGAGAACTTGCCAGAGTATGCCCTGCTCCATTTCATCTCCAGCCTTACTTTGCTAACAAATGGTATAGCTGGCAGGCGGCGATTTACACCGTCAACCCCTCCCCCAACACCACGGATACTACCCTCACGACCCCAATGAACAAAGGCAGAGAGTCCATGGCCTACCTCTCCTACGTAATCGACAACTACGCCAACCTCCCTTCGACCCTCGTATTCCTCCACTCCCACCGCTCAGGCTTCTTCTCGGCCTGGCACACCGACACACCTCTCCACGACAACGTGGACGCCCTACGATCTCTTCAAATACCCTTTGTACAAAAAAACGGCTACGTGAATCTGCGCTGCAACTGGAACCCGGGGTGTCTGGAAGCACATAGACACAACGCGCATGTTACTCCGGAAGTGTGGAAAGACGTGTTTGCGGGGACGAGTAAAGAGGAGAAGGCGCAATTGGATACGAATGGGCAGGCGCCGACGTTGGTAGGGGCTGCGTGCTGTGCGCAGTTCGCGGTGTCGAAGGATCAGGTGCTGGCGAGGCCTTTGAGTGATTATGAACGGTTCAGGGAATGGATCATAGATACGGAGAAGAGTGATGCAAAGAGCGGAAGGGTGCTGGAATTTCTATGGCATGTGATTTTTGGGAAGGATGCTGTGTAGTAAGTCCCGCTTCCCCTTTGGCATGGTGAATGGATGAGGGAAGCAAAGGAAGTCGATTTGCTAATTCAGACCTCACAGCTGTCCTGCCGAAGAGAAATGCTACTGCGATGTCTACGGTCATTGCTAGAAAATGGTTGGAGTTCGTTTTGGATTACGATACCCATACTCTGTTAGATGAATGAAACCTCAGTCGTTTCACTCTGCCCCAATTGCAAGACTCAGCGCTTTGTGGAGACTAGAGGCCTCTCGCCCAATGCTTTGAAAGCACAAGGCCGGGATATGCAGATGATTCGACACCACATGAGGAACCATAATCATCGTTGGCTACTCTTTTGCTTCTGGGTATCATACACGTCTAGCGTTTATCTCTTTTTTTGATCTCATTTCACTGCATTCCAAAGCGAGATTCTTCAATGTTCATGTAGTGACATTCTTCGTCAATACCACAGCCTTTACAGCAACACACTCATCATTTCTGCTCGAGGAATTCTTCCACTCGCTCCAGCAAATCGGCCTTCTTGCCGCTAACACTTATACTCTTTCCATGCAGCCAAGCTTTCAGTTGCGATACTGTCATCTAGAAAGAGTGGCACAAGTTAGCTTTTCTGGTGGGAAATCTCCCGAACTGAGTGCATACCTTCTTGTGCTCTTGTTTCATATAAGCATGCTGCATCTGTGCGTCGGTAGGACCGTCATCGGGTGTCGCAGTTTTCGCTTTCTTGCTTCGGTCCGGAATATCATCTTTCCCAGAAGGTGCGGGGCGTTTCGCTGGAACAGAGGTCGTTGTTTCATTATCCTTTCGCCACTCCTCGTATTCCTTGTGGAGCTCGTGACCCCAGTCGATGACATAAGGCCCAGCTCGCTTGTCGATTTGCTTATACTTTGGGACTGTCTTATCTTCTGGCTTCTCCGGAAGGTCTTCTTCCAAAGCCATGGCTTGCAATATTCGGTAATGCCATTGCAGAGCAGGATTGGGATACTTTCGAGGGTCGTACATGGCTTTGGGAAGTTGCAGCTGCTGAACCACCTCCCTCATGCGATCTATGAGTCCTTCAGGTGCGCGAATGAGGTTCGTCTCCGGATTCTGCCTGATATCGTCTGCAAATGGCAAAGGTGTGAGCCACATGCCAGGTGGAATTACTTGGGCGCCATTTTCATCTAGCTTTTCTGCTCCTGGGAGAACAGCAGCAATCACGGGCGTAGCATTTTTCCTCGCGACGAACCAAGCTATCCCAATTTTCTGGTCTTTCAAAAGCTTTTGCTGCAACGCGGAGAAAACACGCGTTGAACCGACATAGTCATCTTCCGAAGGATAGATGAATGTGGAAAGCCTGATGTTGGCCCAAATAGGTAGCATTGACAGAGGCTTGAAACCTATGATCCGGATTCCTGGATCGCCAAAGTGACGAAGACTTGATACTTCTTCCGGAGTGAACGTGATCTGCTCTCCGCCGAATTTGTACGCTTTCTTGATCTCTAATTTCTCTACTGTTCTGGCGGTATCATCGGCCATTTGAGTTGTCACTCCAGTAGCAATTTGTGGCTTCTCGCCCTCAAGCCAGACGAAGCAGCTGCGTTTAGGTTCTTGGCGTTTGAAGATGATGTACCCTTTTACGGAGATCCTGAAACCGGGGCCTATCTCAAAAGGTATTGAAGAGAACAAAGCTCTCTTCGCGACGGCTTTGGAGTTGATGGACGAGAGGAGTGATGTCAGTAGAGAGATACCATCGCTTGTTAGCGATGGAGCGACTCCGCCAGAAACAGGTGCAGGAGCTTCTGGGTCTGTTGGTGAAGCATTATAAATGATGTCCTGCACCAATTCAGTTTCGGCAGGAAGCATATAAAGACTGGGCGCATACATCGTAGAATCTCGACCTATCAAATGCATGATCTGGCTTAGAAATGGGAAACAGCTCGATAATAACGCCCAGGTCATACAAGTCTTTGGCTCGGACTGCTGCTGAAGACTTTAGCGCCTTGTCCTTCGCATGTGGGTCATCGTTATCCGTGACGATGAAAAGCCGCCTCGATGTGAAATTGGGTGCCTTGGTAGTGAAAATCTGATTTGCACAGAACAAGACGTTGGCCATGGAGACTGGTTCTGTAGACGGTACGAGAAGCTTTTTCGACTCCTCGTCGTCTTCGACTAGATCTTTCAGAGCCTTAACATCACCTGCAGCAGGGATATCAAGGTCCGTGAGAAGGTAGCAGTTCGGGTAACCTAGCCCTCCACGAGCGTCTTCTTCGTCTTGGAATTTGGTTTCTTCCGTGCCGTAAAGGAGAACACCCATCATATCGTTCGGATTAGAGATGATGCGCTGTTGCATTAATGCATACGCGCACTTCACTGCTGCTAAAGTAGGAGTATCTCGTTCCTGCTTCTTCGCATCCGTTGGAGGTGGGGCCGTAAGCATTGATGGGCTGACTTCGATCACGAAAAGCACAGCATCTTTAGCGGACTTGTAGGCCTACAAAATATGAGACAAGATCTATATTATGAGCCAACCAATGATATTACTTACGGCCTCATCGACTTCTTCCTCCTCATCCTCTTCGTCGCCAGGAGGCTTCCATTTGTTCTCTTCTGCCATGCTGCATCAATTTTCTGAGCTTTACTCAGCTACACACACCCTCATCGATGAGAAAATTGTATGTTCGTAAGCAAAGTTAATGGTCGAAGGGCTGAGAAATGGATATGTTGAAGTCAAGGCAGACGCGACTAGCGCGAACCACTTTACGCCGTTGCACGTGACGAGATATTTCTCGGCGTCATCAAGAGCGACTTGAGGATCCACCACAATCAGAATAACTCTATTCTCCAGGTTGCATGGGTCTCCATGATTGCCGGAGATTGTTTTAATCCAACGCCTGCAGTGTTCACACAGTATGGCGCTCCGGAATCCAATGTCCCAGCTCTACAAGCATGTCTCGACGTCTTGTATACCAAAAGTCGCCGCCACATGCACACAGCATGCAACGTCAAAACATCCACGATGCCAAATGCGATCAATGGCAACGGTCGTCCCCCCAGTCACCCAAGACGCGACGTCGTCCAAGGGTCCTACAGCAATGGTCTTCATGAACATGGGCGGCCCCTCCACAACAGACGAAGTTGGCGACTTCCTGAGCAGGTTATTCGTAAGCCGGATAATCACCACCTGAGACTCTTTGTACTCCTCAAAGGATTTATGGCTGACTCCCGAATCCACAGGCAGATGCAGACCTCATCCCACTCGGCCGTCTCCAATCTTATATCGGGCCTCTCATTTCCAGCCGCCGTACTCCCAAAATCAAGAAGCAATATGCAGCCATAGGTGGCGGCTCTCCGATACGCAAATGGTCCGAATACCAGTCCTCCGAGATGTGCAAGCTACTAGACCAAATCTCTCCGGAAACCGCACCTCATAAACCCTACGTCGCATTTCGCTACGCCAACCCATTGACGGAGGAGATGTACACGAATTTGCTGAAAGACGGCTTCGGAGGCGGTAAAGGAGGACGCGCAGTAGCCTTCACACAATACCCGCAGTACTCGTGCTCGACAACTGGAAGCTCACTGAACGAGTTGTGGAAGTGGCGAAATCGATTAGAAGGAAAAGGCGCCACCGGTTTGGACTCAGCGGGCTCAATAACATGGAGTGTCATAGACCGATGGCCTGTCCACCCAGGTCTCGTGGAAGCTTTTGCACAGAATGTGGAGACGCAACTGGCCACATACCCTGAGGAGTCTCGGAAAGATGTGGTTCTGCTGTTCTCCGCGCACAGCTTACCCATGAGCGTCGTCAATAGAGGCGACACTTATCCTGCCGAAGTCGGCGCTACGGTCTACGCTGTAATGCAAAGGCTAGGCTTCAGCAATCCATACCGCTTATGCTGGCAATCGCAGGTTGGGCCGTCCGCGTGGCTGGGCGCGCAGACAAGTGATACGGTGCAACAATATGTGAAGAAAGGGCAGACGGATCTTATTCTCATACCCATTGCGTTCACGAGCGATCATATCGAAACGCTGTTCGAACTTGATCAGGAGGTTATACATGAGGCAGGACACCCGGGGGTTAAGCGGGCAGAAAGTCTGAATGATAGCAGGGTGTTTATTGAAGCTTTGGCGGATGTTGCAGTCAACCATCTGAGGAGTGGGGAGAGTTGCTCGAGGCAGATGGGGCTACGGTGCCAGGGTTGCAAAAGCGAACGGTGTCTGTGAGTACAAACCCCCTGAGCGTTCTCCACTACTTACTGACCTTTAACCAGGGAGCAGAAGAAGTTCTTCGTTAGTCAGGAAAACCTGCTTTCGGTCAGATAATGGAAAATCAATAGCTAAAAGTTGTTACGATTCATGACGGTCTCACCTACTGTAATTGTTTTCTTGTCTATATACAGCGCTGTGCTTGTAGGTAGAATGCCTTAACCATTCTCCTCGCCGCCCTCTTCATCTTCCTCTGACACTTCCTCGCCAGCCTCCTTTGCTTTTTCTCTTTTCTTCCTCGCTCTCTCCCGCTTTCTGTCCAGAATCTTCTTTAAATTCTTCGCCCCATTGAAAACCCCACCAGTCCCAGCCCCACAAGCCGCGCAACTCGGATTCTTCCTATACCTCTGCAGCGCGCACGCTTCGCAGAAGTAGTGCCCACATTTCGTAACAATCGGATTCGTATAAGCCTTCTTGCATATGATACACGCGAACGGTATCCCCTCCAACGCCGCATCTTCTTCTTCCGAGTCCTCTGCCTCTGCAAGGCTCTTCACTGCTTTCCCACCTTTTTTGCCCTTGTCTCCGACCTTCTCCCAGTCCTTGTCAAGCTCCCAGCCTTGCTTGTAGTCTTCTCTTGCGTGTAAGAATTTGCAACTGTCCCCGAAGCCGCACCAACCGGTCTGCTTGTAGTCCTTGCACACATCTGGCGCGAAGTCTGTGACCGTAATTGTGCGTATATTGGTAGGAGCCTTTACTGGCCCCACGGTGCGCGTAGGAGCGTTTGGATTTTTTTGGATGAAGGATTGGTAGCCGGCGGCGCCTTTGTAGGTTCCATCATTCGTCGGCTCAGCCTCTCTGTCTGGTTTTACGTGCCCGTTTCGAGTTGTGCCGAGTAGAGATTTCGCATCAGGTGTAGATTCATCGAACCAATTCGAGGTCTTTGTCGCATCGTTCGTTTCCGATATCTGGGCGGAACGGTCGGCGGCGAATTTGGTGGCGGAGAGGTCTTCTGTGCTTGTCTTAGGTGCGTTGTTTGAACTTGCGGTAACGATGGCGGTCTTCTTGCGCCGCTTGACCCTTCGTCCCTCATCCTCTGTGGAGGTGTAGCCAGATTCGGAGTCAGATGCTGCTGGAGGTGGTGTTGCAGGGCGTTTGCGGATGTTCTTTGCGCCGCGCTTCTTAAACAGAGGTTGGGTATCTGTGGGTGTCCGCTCTTGAAGTACGGTAGTGTCCATAATTGGGGGGCCTGTTGCTTTCTTGGGATATTGAGAGCAAGATGGCTCCAGAGACTAGTGGGCGGAAAATGGTACAGCTCGGGCGCATATTCTATTTGTAAGCAACGCTTTTCGGTCCTCAGAAAGTGATGGATGGTACCCTGAGCAAACAGTCCGATGACGTTTGTATCGTCAGTTTCACTACATTAATGATAACTGATGCATTGCAAATTCTCCAGGAATGAGCAACGGACGGTTCTGAGACCGAGAGACAGGATATTTTGATAGGGCTGACTCAGTCAACGCTAATCATGGGTCTAATGCACGACATAATGTAAGGTATGCAAAACAAGACAGGGCTTTTATGAAGAAATCTCATATATTTCTGCCCCCAAATCGATACATGTACACCCCTCGCATCGGTTTAATGTTCGCGATCAAGAGAGTAATATATGCTCGCTGAGAAAGAGGTGGGAGATATCTATTAAAGATGGACTGAAGTCAAGATCTCTTCATACCTCCGTAGAGTATTGTGCATTGCCTCGATTGGTATATCATACCTACTTGTTCTTGCTTGATGAGAAACCCTTCGGTGATATGATCCACGAACATGTACAAAGTTGTATGCATTCCTTAATGTACGTTGAATCTTGTAGAAAAAGCTGCGACTACTTTGATAGTTAAAGGTATGAAGAATATCATATTCCAGCTCTTGTCAGCCGCCCATAATCCACCCAGTGCATCTATTTTCATCTTCGGTCTCGACAACAAGCCATCACAGTGTCACAATGGTGGACGAGCTCCCCAGCCCCAGTCTTGAAGATCGAAACAATCTCGATGAACGCAACACCGACGAAGACCCTTCCCCCACCGAACTTCCTTCCTTTAACATCTACCTCTCCAAAAAAGGGCGACGCAAGCAACCACTTCCGCACCCAGAACGACTCCTCAAAGGCCTAGCAATGAGCCAACTACATCGAACGCAAAGGTGCCGTCGACATCCGCTGCCCCTATCTCGACGTAGTACTGGCGGTTTTCCCGCTTTGGGCGACTTGTATGCCACACTGATCGTGTTGTAATTCCGGTTCGACTGGCGAGACCGTTTTGATCTGTCGACATTGAGCTAGAATCCTAAGGCATGAAAGTCGAAGAGAACAGCCGAGATGGTCTTTGCAATCTCCTCCGATGGGAGGATGGACTTGAATGCCGACGACGTAGCATGATAATATAGCATGAAATATAAATCTACAATCGGGTGGAGCGGCGCCCGTCGGAGATATAACAACAACAGGGACAGTAGGCCGGGAGAATCGCGCTGGTAGGGGTACGAGCGATGAAATGATTGTAATAGGTTTCATTGATATGAAGGGGATGAATTACGTGCTATTAAACTGTATGTGTTAGACTTTGTTGGAGGATAAAACTTCTCAAATAGGGGTCCCTAAGTCGATGCGGACAGCGATAGTGTTAGAATGACAAGGATAAAGGTCCTTTTCAATGCATGGTCAAGATTAACGCTAAGATTGATATTAGGAGTACTCTTGAACGAGTGTTCGGGAGGGTACCAAGAGATGGTCCCGTGTTGTATCGATTCTGAGTTGGGCTTGACGAAAAATTTGCAGAACTACACCGAGAAGGAAGTGGGGCACTTCGAGTTGGAGAACGTTTGATAAGTAGTATTCGAGAGTTTCCTTAGCGGGGTCATGAAGAATAAGGAGAATAGTCTTCTCAATGGCTAACACATGCAAAGAATCAAATCTAACCTCTGAACTTCAAATTTCAAGAACCTGCTCAACTTTGGAGCTTCCCTCGAAGCGGCAGTCACGCTACAAGACTTGAGACCATTGCACCTCGCAGCTCGACATGGACACGCAGAAGTTGTCAGGGTTTTGCTCAAGAAGAAGGCCAGGTTTACAAAATGGGTAGGATGGCCATCCAAGTTGCGGCGGCGCGAAGCATAGAAAATTTTGAGTCGATTCTTGGATCTGTGGCGGACGTTGAAGTGGCAGATAAGATGGGTAGAACGGCACTCCATTGGGCTTCTGTTGGTGGTATTGATTATGTTGTTAATCACATCATATGTTTATCGAGAGACTTGGTGGATCAGGGTGATATTGATCGATGGATTTCTTTGCTCTGGGCGGCGGGGGGCGGCTACACTAGACAGAGAACAGTCTCGTCTAATACACAAGATAAAGTCATCAAGCTCTTGTTGGATCGTGGCGCGGATCCGTGCGTCAGAGCGAAAGGGTTGGATCGGGAGTGGTCTCCGGTGAAGGTTGCAAGATACCATGGAGCGGATAGTAGGGTCATTCGGTTGTTGGAGGACAAAGCGAAGGAGAAGCTCAAGGCCACGGGAGGTAGAGATGCGTGGGACGAGAAACCCCACGCATCGAGAAAGGCGGCTGCGAAGGACGCATGGTGTGACTGCTGTGTTTCTGTAGGTACCTTTTTCTTGATTCCTCCCGGCACAGCCCTTTTTGTGCTCCTTTCTATAGACATTGCTGACGTTGAAATGATTAGGTCATTTGTGGAATCCAGTACCATTGCGAGACCTATTTGAATTTCGAGCTTTGCCATAAGTGTTATCTATCCCGGGAAGTCATACATCCCCCCCACTCATCCCTTTACACCCATCGGGCCTGAATACACGACAGAAAGCGAAGCGAGCGATTCTAACAATGAGAAGAAAGAAGACGAGGAGGAAGAAGAAGAAGAAGAAGAGAAGAAGAAGACAATGAAGAAGAAGGGGAATGTGAATAAGAGCGGGTCAGGGGATGGGTTTTAACAAGTAGATACAGAAGTAGTCTATGACTTGGCTGAGCCATGTTGAACGCAAGAAGTCTCGAATTGAGAGGCTACATCAAATGATAAAAACAACTTCTAATGAAAGGTGCCAAGCTGCTCAGCATGGTGACTGTCTAAACAAATCAGTGATCGGGTTCAAACAGCATTTCAGGCATGAAAGCACTAATGATTACGAAATATCGAAAAATTACTATTACTATCACTGACCGTGAAGATGAACGAAATGGTTTATCTTTTGAGATACCACTTAAACCCGAAAGTCAGGCCATCAAGGCTTGAGTGGTTGAAAGTGGAGTGAGCTGTAGTGGAAAGCCTTCAAATCTCCAAGACATGGCACCTAGCAGACTGGGTTGTACAACACATTAGTACAGCCATCAATAGATGAGGCATAAAGAAAGGGTTAGACCCTGCTCGAAAGATCATGGATGATCAATAGCCGTGAGGTCACCGTGAAAGGACTGGTAGGCAAGCCCAAGATTAATATATAGAATTTCTGCGACTTAACCTAGTGTACTGACATGACTCAGACACATCGCTTCCAATGTTGTGCGTAGCGATTCCGAATCTTCCTTCTCCTCCCACCATTTCTGTACAGCGTGCAAGCCTTTTGCTGGACTGTCCACCAGATGCCATGCCTCAATTCGCGACCTCTTCAAAACGCAACAAGCCCATTCAAGGGAAGCTACTCGGCAATTACCTCGGTAGAGCCCGACTCAATCTTCTTCGTCGTTATCTTAAATATGTAATACTCGAAGTGCTTTATGAGTAGAAAATCTCTACTCACTGATCGTGAGACTGAGGAGCGGACAGTCGTGATTGGTTGAATACCCGGGATTGCGGATATTTTGATAGGGCTGAGATGATCCCTGCAACTGTCATGTTTTTAGACAGGACGCCAAGCCATCAACAACACACGAACCAAGGTTTAGGGGTGAGGCCATCCGTGATGCACGCACCATCACCATCACTTTCTTTGAATTGCTGCTAAGTGTATTGTCCTTCAATACCTTACTCTCATTCAGCGGAGTGGTGTAGCTGACGGGATTTTGAGCTATCATTAGCTTGGAAGACCCTGCGTCTGTTCGGCGGCCGAAATCAACATACAAGTCGTCGCCCGTCTCAACCAAATCGGCCTGTGTTTGCGCACAGATAGGGTATATCGCAAACGACTTTGGAATATCTCCAATGTCGGTCCCTAGATCTGGCAATCCTGTACGTTCTGCATTGCACGAACCGGACCCGGTTCCCCTCGGGATGCCTTCCAGATCCAACAGGGAAAGCATGGCGACAACAACTGATGAATACCCTCGTCATGCGGTCCCTACTGACTCCTCCTCAAATGGAACTCCGAATGGGATGAATAGACAAAATGATCCTTTTGCAACGGAGACCCCACCATCGCACCCTCATCCCCACCGCTTTTCGTCCTTCGATACCCAGCTTTTCGCCTTGAATCATCCATCATCGTCTCCTGCGCAAGCGAAGAGGGCATTGGAGGCTCACATGGCAGAGACGGACCGGAGGATTCAGGAAACCTCAAAGCTCGGCACGACGCTGGTGCAGCAGCGAGTGAATTTGGCACAACGACTACGGGATGTGGGATCGCAAGAGGAGGAGGCCCATATCAGTCCTGAGTTACGGCAGAAGCTGATCGAGATTGAGAGAGAATACAATGAAGTTGGACGACAAAGTGCTAGGGCATTCCTGGGTCCCAAGTCGGAAGCAGTCGGAGAGGGATCGAATACCCCCTTTGCCTTGGATGGCAGGGCAAGTTCTACTTTCCAGGTCAGGCCGGTTGCGTGCTGACTAAGAATCACAGAACCCCGCAAGCCCTACAAAGTTTTCTAGCCAGGCCACTGATTCGCCATCTAAGCTCAATGTCCCAAGAAAACAACGAAATCAGGCGTCGAAAACGGATGACATTGACTTTGCAGCCGAGATCAGTACATCACTCTTAGGACAAGTACGGCATTTGCAAGCGGTCCTATTAGAGCGCGATGAGACATTGAAGGCCGTGCAATTGGACAAATCGAGGCTCGAGCTTGAGGCGGAGGGGTTTTCACAACGTCTTCGAAGTCTGGACGAAAGTGAGCAGCGGTACAAAGACGAGAATTGGAATTTGGAAACCCAGCTTCAAGAGACAAACGCAGCGAACCGAGACTCCGCCAGCAGGGCACAAAAGCTGCAACAAGTACTGGCTGCTACCACATCTGAGAAGAGCGCTGCACAGAGTGAGCTGGACCATCTTAGACAAGATCACAGCAGAGTCACGGAGGATTATGCTGCTGTGCGCAAGACCCATGAATCCGAGCTCGCTAGTCTACGAAGGAGCGTGAATCTGGGCGAGAACGAAAACGAGACTCTGCAGCGCAAGATCGAAGAGCTGACTTCTCAAAATCGGGAACTAGCCAACGGACTGGCCGGCCGCTTCAGAGATGAGGAGACCGAGCCAGAGGCGGACACTGGCGCGAAGTCTGAAGAATATCCGTTCGATTTGTCTGAACGAGAGCACTCGCCTCCTCCTTCACCCACGAAAGGCGTCCACAGGCACTCTATGTTGGAGTCAGAGACGTTGAAAAGCTCTCTAAATCATGCCCACAGGATGATCCAGAACCTGAAAGGCAATGTGCACCGTGAGAAAGCCGAAAAGCAGGATCTCAAGCGCATGCTTCAAGAGGCTAGAGATGAGTTGGAGATTCGAAGAGCCGAGCCGAATGGGAAGAGGCTGAGAGCAAAATCACATACGGATATGAGAAGAGCAGGTCGGCCTGGGCTTGGCGCCACCAGGAACAGCAGGACTGATGTTTTGGTCGATGACGCCGAGCACGACCCCGAGTGGGAAGATCACAACGATGAAGACAATCCTCGTCATGATGTTGGTGTCCGACCAATCACCCACGAGAGCATGCCAGGGGCGAGTCGACTCGCGGAAAATAGTGACGCTTATCAGACGGCTAATGAGACAGAGGATGCTTTTGAGACAGCAAATGAGCGTGACACTACTGACAACGATGCTTTCCAGACCGGAGCCGAGAGTTTGGCGGGAGACAGCACGGATGAGGCCGAAGCGACAGAAACAGAGTCTGGTGTGACTCGAGGTGGCACTATGCGAAGCAAGAAACCACAACCTGTCCCATTTAACAAGCCGGGTGACAGGAGATCCATTCAGAGCACTGCATCAACCTCTGGAGACGACGAAGGACATGCTCTCCATACACCAATTCAGAATCAGCCACAGCGGTACCGCTTAAAGGTCAACCGCAATTCTCGTCGGTCGCGGGTGAGCAGCGAAGTCCCAGGTAATAGTCAACAGTCAACAGCTAGAAATTCTCCAGGCAGCTTCATGAACGGAGGTGGTGAAGTAAATCAAAGTTTGTTCAACGAGCTGGAGAACCTGAGTGGTGATGAAGATGGCACGCCAAGCAAGGGAATTATCAGCTCACCCAGGTCCACGCAATCTCTTCGCAGAAATGTCAGTGGGAAGAGGTCATCATCAAGCATGAGACAAGGTGTAAGTCCGTCAACGTCGGGTCCAAGGCCTAGCACCGTTGTCTATGCAGGAGGCGCGCCACCGGTCCCTAGAATGCCCATGGTCGATTCCAGTATGATGACAGAGCCGATGGAACCTCCACAGAGTCCCCCAGGTCAAGCAGGGGTAGGTCACGCAAGCCTACGCCAAGCAAGTCCGAGCCCAGAATCCTCAAGTATTTTGCCCACGAGTTCCGCAGCGGCCATCACCAGCAGAATCTTTGGTAGCACACCCCAAACGCCACAAAACAAGGGTGTCGAATCACAGCCTGTTAGTGTGTCTAACCTTGGCTCGCAATCGCGTTCATCTTCATCTTCACGACGTCCAGCTTGGGATCAGCCGCTCCAGATGTTTGGCACGATTCCGGGATTTAATCAAAGTGCAGATACAACGCCTTTATCGACGAGGTCTGCAACAACGCAGGTGCGAGGTGTTTCTGGAGACCTGTCGTCTGATGATCAGCGAGCCAGGAATTTTTCGAGCAATTCAACTCAGCCTACGGAATATTCCGAGTCAACACATGATGATCAAGCCACGACGCCTCCAGGTACGGCTGCCAAGGCTCGGGCTCCATTGACATTGTCACCTATTCATAGCCTGGAGTCAGTCCCGGTACAGCCTATCGAGAGATCCATGGCAAACGAGTTAAGCCATACAACTACGTCTGCAGGCCCACCAACTGCAGCTGCAACCTCCAATACTACCGAAAGCCCGCCCAAGACGGCTAGTACCGGAGGCATTCTTGGCTCTGTATTTGGCTGGAATAAGCGCAAAGCATCTTCCGGATCTCAAATAGCTGAAGACGAGACTCGTCAAGAAGTTGCTGCGAGCAGTAGACCTACCACTAGTGATTCCAAGCGTCCTCTCCAAGAAGTGCCAGCCAATGCTGTCAATCGAAACATGCAGCAGAGCAATGCCAAGCTGTCACCAGTGGCTGATCGTGGAGTTCAAACACTATCGTTTTCCGATTTGCTGGAAAGTGTTGCGAAGAAACCCAGCATACCGTCAATGAGACCCCTTGCTGATATAGGAGCTGCCTCTCCCGGCCTCAGTGAAGTTGGCAAAGGAAAGGCACCAGAGCAATATTACAAAGACTCACTTGGGAAGTCTTTCAAGCGACCAGTCAGTGCAACAAGCATGCGTTCGCGAGCAGCCCCGTATCCTCCGCTGCCTCCAGATCATCAAGAAGCTATTGCTGCTGCTGCGCAAAAGGGGCCCCTCGATTCGTCAGTGACTCCGACGGGTTCAACAACGTCTATGGGTCCCCCTCTTGCCCCAGCTTCTGCATACCCCTCTCGAGCTGCCAGGTCCCGCAACAGTCGACCTCAGACTCCATCCCAGCAAGGAATGCCAAGTCCATCCTCAAGAGGCGGAACGACCCCCAGAGCAGGTCGATATTCCACCACCCGAAGCCAAGCGTCTCGCCGATCTTCGTTCTCTTCTTTTGCTTCTGAACTTGATGAGCGCTTCAACATCCGCACCGACGCTGGCATGCCAATGCCTCAAGGCCTCCAACCTGGAACTGATCCCCGCATGATCCAGGCAATTACCCAGACGATGATCGGCGAGATGATGTGGAAGTACACTCGTAAAGCAGGTCGCGGCGAGATGTCCTCCACTCGCCACCGCCGCTTCTTCTGGGTTCATCCATACACTCGCACACTCTACTGGAGCGACCGTGATCCGGCTTCCGCCAACCGCGCGGAGCTCAAATCTAAGAGCGTAGCCATCGAAGCCGTACGAGTAGTCACAGACGATAATCCCATGCCACCTGGCCTTCACCGCAAATCTCTCATTATAATCACACCCGGTCGCTCGGTTAAATTCACGGCGCAAACCTCCCAGCGGCACGAGACCTGGTTCAACGCGCTCTCCTACCTCTTGCTCCGAACCGGCTCAGATGGCGCCAATACAATCCACAACCCAGGCGACCTCTCTGACGCCGACGTAGCCGAGTTCAATCCAGGATCGCACAATAAACGCTCCTCCCGATCCCGCGTCTCCCTCTCCAGCTTCCGTAGCTCCGCTACACAGAATAGGCAAGATTCCAACCGCCTCTCAACACGCATCCCAACAGGCGCTGCCTCGGGCGGCAACACCCAAAGTCAAGGGCAGCAAACAGAGCCCTCGCCTAACAAAGAAAGCGTACGCAGCCGCATAGGTCGCAGCCTTTCGCGAAACCGGGGGACCAGATCCCGACAAGACTCTATTGCCCCAAACGACACCAATAACAACACTACCAATGCTACCGCAGTTTACAACGCTCAAGACAACCAAGGAAGTGTCTCCAGCCGCATAAGTAGTTACTGGCACAAACCCGCGGCCTCAGTCCGCAGTTCCCTCCGTAGCCGCTCAAGCTTACGTGATGATGGACCGCCGGAACCTGGCGTGCTTGAAGGAGGGAGAAATGTGGTTGGTGGGCGCATGGGCGACAGCGCAGAGGACTTGAGGAGGGTGATTGAGAACCAAGAGCAGGGAGGGCGGTTGGAGAATGTTAGGGCTTGCTGTGACGGTAAGTCAAAGGCCTAGTCTCTGCTCCGCCACGCCTGTCGGAGGACCTTGTTTGGAGCGGTGCTGACTCCTTCTGCCCAGGTCAACATGACGTTGGCAGCTTAGCGAAGAACGGACGACATCACAGCCACGTGGGCTCGACACATAGCGTGCACAGTCAACGCAGTCATCGATCGCCGTCAAATTCGCTCACGAATCTGGCGTACAGTTAGTCAGGGCAAATGCTCTTTGTTAAGAGCGGGAAGATATGGGATTCAAAACATGCGGCATAGCTCATACGCCCAGCGGGCTTGGCTTTTCTTTTGTATGTGCTTGCTATCGTAATTCAAGACAGCATGGACGTATTTGTGGATATGTACTTCGTTCTAATGATAGATACTGGTTGTCGTATATGGTACCAAATTGCCACAGTGGCTCCTTACAAGTCCAACATTACATATATACATTGTTCCAACCCACCTTGCAATCCATCCTTTCCATCCTTCCTCTCACACCAACCCCTCTTTCCGCTTGAATTCCTCATAAGTACACTCCACCCCGTCCCTACCGCATCCAAACAGATCCCACGCCTCCTTGCTCCACAGACTCGCACTCTCGTCCTTCCCGCCCAGATTGTCCAATGAAGCCTTCTCCTCCCCACCCGAAACAGGCAAAGCAGATGGCGGCCGCATAGCCGAGGTGTCGGATATTGACTTCTTCAACGGCGACCGAGGCTTTGTGGGAATGACCTTTGTGAACGCGGGTAGGGAGTCGGGTTTACGTTTTGGAGGGTGAGGTGCTACGATCGGCGCCTCTGGGGGTGGCGAGCTGGGAGGTTGGGAAGACAGGACTTCCACCGTCTCGTCTGGGAGCTTGGGGATTGATATGATTGGGGTAACCTTGGTGAATGCCGGCTGTTTGTTGGGTTTGTGTCTCGGCACTGCCTCTAGTGCTGTGGGCGGTTTGGGCGCTACATTTTTCGAGAAGGCGGAGAGCGAGTCATGTTTCGCGTTTGGTACTGGAATAGTGACGTCTGCAATTGGCGCCTCTGGGGATGGAGACTTGGTAGGATGGACGTCGGGTCGGGTTTGCAAGCCCGGAGCTGACACCGGATGGTGTCGTGGAGAGGAGGGTGCAGAGACAGTGTTTCCTGGTGTTGGTTGAATGGAAGGAAGATGTGAACCAGGTGGTCGGATATTTGAACTTCGTAGTTTGCGTCCCTGCGCCTTGGGTTGCACAGCCTTTGCGAATGCGGATAGTGAGTCAGGGTTGGGTCTTGACAGTGTGCTGATTGCTTCTTGGGGTATGCCTTGCGAAGAGGGTACGTGAGCTTGCATTTGGAAGGCTGGAAATGAATGAGGCCGGTCTTTTGGAGGGGAAGGTGTAGGGACTGCATCTAGCGGTTCATTTAGAGCTGGTGGTGAAGACAATTCTTGGGGCAAGACTTCTGGTAAAACGTCATTCTCTTCGACAGATTCAGAAGTTCTCGGTTGAGGGCGCGAAAATAAAATCTGATCCATCTTTGCGAGAGTCATGGCGCTGCTGTGAACAGCAGAGGGAGATCTAGGTATCACTTCCGGTAGGAATTCAGGAGATAACGAACGACAAGTTGATGAGGGGACAGACTCGGTATGACGGCGACAGGACCAGGTTACGGAAGAATTGGGAGCCTTCTCCTTCGACTGCTTCTCCTTCGTTCTGGGGTTGTTTGCTGATATTGTATCTATGTCCTCTTGGGAGAGAAAAAGATCTTCTGGTGTGTCACCACAAACCTCTCCACGCTCATTATTCAGCTGACACTCCTTAGTATGATGTCTCTTGAGTCGAGCCTTCAACCGCTCCTGCTCTTCCTTATGAAACTCAGCCATGTGGTGTCCTTTCCGTTTTTCAGGTCTGCTCCATGTGTTTCGGTCGCGACTACTTCGATCTAGGACTGAAGCGTCACCAGAAGAACGGCCGATCGCAGACGAGTCTTGAGGCAGTAGGTCTCGATACAAAAGTTTTTTACGTGGCTTGCGTGAAGCCATCTGTAGCTTTGATCTTTGAATTGGTTGCTGGTTGGTAGACGCAGAATCCTCGTCCGACGCGATCTCAATGGGCTTTGTGATAGTGCTCGTTCTTGCGTGACATGTCTCGGGCTCATGATCAAGACGCTTTGCAACTTTCTTAGCTTTCGGCGATACTTGAGCATTGCGATCTGGCTTTCGCTTTCTTTGTTGTTGCGCAGTCAGTTCTGAGCTTCCTGATCCACTAGATCGTTTCTTGGGCATTGGCTCGATCGCTCGCTTGGAACCCTCGTCCGTGTTATCCTTACTCCATGTACTTAGGGAAATGGGTGGTCTACTGGCTGCGCTTCTCGCTGATGACAGAGCGGATCGTTGCACAGTGGTTGGCACACGTCCTTCACATCGCTGGTCCACAGCTGCTTCAACGACAGTTGTATTTACTCCTTCATCAGGAACCCGGGAGTTTGGCGGTACTCGAGGCGGTGGCATCTTGTTCGGTTCCGCCCTCCTTTCCACCTGCGATTCTATTCGTTGACGCTTGGCCGGGCGGCCGTGGTCCCAGCTGCTGTTCTCACTCTCTGTGCGTAGCTCATGAGGCGACTTTGTAGGCAGGGCAGCTCTCCCAATCCGTCCCTTCGGTGTCCCCAGCAGCGCATTCAAACTCTTCGGCCGCAACTGGGATGGCTGTGCTGCTATCGGTCCAGACATAGGTACCGCTACTGGCTGGTGTGGGGCCTTTTCATGAACCGCCACCTCCGGTACCTTCTTCCTTTTCTCAAAAAGCCCTGTAAGGTCTTGCTCCATGCTCCCAATAGCCTCTCCGACTTGTATCAGCACCCCTCTGTCCAACTCGAACTCGTCGCCATCTTGCAATATTTCATCCTCCCGCCAATGCATGTCACCGATGTAGTTCCTCGACACATCGTACACCATGATGCGCTTGTTGAAGGTGTGGAATCGGAGAAGTCCATCTTGCCACCGCTTTTGCTTCCGTCGTAGGTCGTGGGTGTAAAGGCAACGATATTCGAGTACGGGTGCTGTATTCTGGGTGGAGGGGACGGTGAAAGCTGGCGTCTGACAGACACCGGAAGATGTAATCGTGGAGGTCATGGCTGGTGAACCCTTTTACCACTTGTGCCGGAAATCTGTGTTTAATATGTGTCATGATTCAGCGGAGCTACTCTAGCACTTTGAATGTGCTCCAGCAAATTGTCGTCTTATCTCCAAGAAGAATGGAAGGTAGGTGTCGAGGGGCGATTTGAAAGCGCGTAGGAGTCTACGCGAAGTCAGGTGAATTGCTTGGCAATCTTTAGTTGTCAATCCTCACGATTTTATACCTATGTTGTACACGACCAGCACAACAAGGGCTACTGATTCGATTTGTTGAAACGATCAACTGCCAACACAGTCTAGATGATGTGTTTCGTGAACGAGATTACTTCACTGGTTACTGTCAAGACTCACATGACTAGCGCACCACTACAACTACCTTTTTATCTGGCAGCACGTCTGATACAAGTAGGCTTCAGCTAATTGCTGTGTGCCCAGGCAAGAAAACAGCTGCGGCCGTAAGCTTTGATTATTGTTCAGTCGCTGCATCTGTTGCCTTTCTCTACCAAAGCTTTGCCAGACGCCCAACACTATTGATCAAATCAAACAATGATACAGCCAACAATAAATCGACCTTTGCTATGATCATATTGATCATCGCGCAGGAAAAGTTTACATTGTAGTCATCAGGTTAAAACATGTGCCAGACCACGTCTCCAGGAACACACTTGTTTGCCCACCAATACCCGTTGAAGTCATCCACTGAACTGATTTGAAGGGCCCAATTGAGCAGAAAGGCTGGTCTTACACTTCACCAAGTAAAGTGAAACATGAGGGGAGATGGAGGCCCTTTTTTTGCGCTCAAGACGGACAGCTTCCATATCAAGAGGATAAAACTGTAGCAAGCAGGCCTCGGCGCTAGAACAATCTGAAAACGAGATGAGAAGGAAGGTGATAATGACGAAAGCTTTATAGCAAAATCAGCAGCCATAGTTCAGCAGCTTTCTCCCTCCTTCTTCTGCCATCATTCGCAGATTGTCGAGCATCTCAGAGCACGACCCAAGGGCAGAGATAACACAGATATTCTCCTCCACCCCACGGCTGTGTCACCAGTTCGCGGCAACGTCCCCCGGAGCAAGCCGAAAGATCCACGAGCGCAGCGGTCGTGGTTTGGGCTTCGAGAAGGATTGGTCCATTTCGTCAGAGTTCCATAGTTTGTCAGGCATGGCGATATACGAGTACTCAGAAAGCATTTTCCGTCCTGGGAATCGATTTCCGACGTGTGATACTCGTACTGTTGTTGGTTTTCCAGTCGCATTTCTCAGCACGCCTGCGAGAGTGGCTTGGCGCTGGGGCGCTAGCCAGAAATGTCTTCTCCGACGACTTGTCAAACTATCATTGTAAATGTGACTCTTTCTATACACAGAGGTTTTTGCATGTCGTTGAAAAGGTAATCATCATGACTGAGGAAATGGTGACACAACCCTCTTGTGCTGTCCAACCAGAGTTCGCTCATGCAGCACCTTGTAATAGCCCGAACGCCTCGTCTGTCATATCGACCGCCGATTTGTGCAGTAGCCATTGCCATTATGTGATGCTATAATAATGATCAGAGACATGCCGTTCTCTACTGCGCACCGCCATGCTTGCCCCAGGTTGCCGCTGCCGTGTGTGCTTGACTCGTGCGTCTGAGCTTTGCAACCGTATTTCAAAGCTTGCTGTGGGATATGTCCGAGGCCATTCTGTGCTTGTGTTGCTATAAGCCACGCATGCACCATGCGACGAGGCTCGTTACAGGTTTTGGAGAGAACCATTGATGAGAAGTTATTGGACTGCTACTGGGACTCAAACATCAGCAGACTCCAAGCCCCAATGTCATGTAGGGAACAGCACTGGAGAGAGGGATAGCGACGACGCCATGAAAAATTCAATGCACTTCGATTGTTGCTCAGTATTCTCAAAGGGCAACCATGACTCCTCAGAAGCTGCTGCTGCTGCAATCAGTGTCCCATCGCATAAACAACGGTCGTAAGCGGCCAGGATAATATTGACTCTACATCACTGACAAGGTTCTTATTTGTGGCGCGGAAGCTTTAGCCTCAAGTAGGGCGTGGGCAGTGTCGGAAGGTGGCTGGGCTTCCGTCACGACGCGGTCGTCACAAGGTGACGACGGCTTAGCGAAAACAGAAGAAAAAAAGAAAAAAAGAAAGAAAAAAGTCCAGGATTGAGGCGGCTCGAACCTAGCACCTTGCGTATGATTCGAGAGTATCAAAAACCAAAAAGAAACTCAAGGCGTGTTGCCGCCTGAACTAGTCTGCAGCCTAGTTGCAGGTCTGTTTACACAAGCCCCAGAAGAAAAGCCAATGAAGTGCTTTGTCTTTTTGACCGTGGTAGTCGACTCGCTCTGAGAAAGAGCAGTGTAGTGAGCCGCACAATCACAGGGACCTTCGCTGAACCGACTCATTTGCCGGTATTGATCGGGTTTGAAACGGTACAGCCTCGACTTTCTACTTTGACGCTCCAGTGACAAGATGTTAATCCTGGAATCCTTTGCGCCAAGTCACGGTATGAATGAATCTTCCTATTTTGATTTATATTCTTTTAAATTCTTACCTCACCGACCGCCTTAAAGACAATAACCAGCGCGCGCATACCAAGCATCAGGCATTTTAGCCACCACTAAAAGCTTGCGAACTCCTCTCAACCACGCCATTGCTACTATTTGTTCTCACTACGCAATCATCAATCTATACGTCCATCCACGCTCACAAATCAAGCGCAGAGTGCTACAGCATCAGTCAAGCCTACAGCTGGAAAATCTGTCCCGTTGCCAAAGCTGAGTTTCTGTCGGCTGCCTTCACGGTGCCTATTCGACGCGGTTCTGACGGGTGATAGATTTTGAATGTATGGTTGACATTTGCCTCGTAAGATATTTAGATAATATGTAAGGGACTTACGCAGGTTGAACTTTCAAGCCGAAGTGTTGTTCCAATCAGCCATCAACTTGCTGAGGCAGAAGAAACCGCTCACTGAATGTGATTTCAAAGTAAAAAAACCTGTACTGCAATGTTGCTGCCACAGAGGTCGCCCAGAGAGAATCTCATACTCCGATCCAGATCGCAAGATGCTTGATCCAAGTAAGCCAATCGAGACATTCTGTCCAATCCCAGCTGTATCAGCATGATCAAGAACTCAACCGCGCCGTGTTCCACCTTCCTAAGACTTTCATTCTTGTCAACGATCTCCACGCGCACTTGCTTCTTGCGAGCGGGCCCCTGTTTCTAGCTGGCTTATGCTTGAGCTTGAGCTTAGCAGAATGGAAATTCCTGGCATGAATTGAGATCCATATAGATCCTGGACATAATGCTTAAGAGACAAATTGAGACTCGGTTTCCAGGTCTAGACAATGGTTTGCCGGACCCGAGGTATGAGTCATTCGGTGCTTTACTCCTCAATATGCATGGAACTGTTGGAATTTGAACTATCAAAAAGGATGGCTGAAACAGAAGTACACCCATGAGAGAGAAGGGACAGACTTCGCGTTACGGTTGGTCCCTGCGCTCCGAAGACATAATGTCCCTCTATTGTTCCACACTGGGAGCTTTCGCCGCCTCCGTTATCGTGCCTTTGCCCACAGAACCCACGTTCGCATACCCGATATGGAATTCAGCCTCCTAAATCAAACCCTCAGAATCAGCACGCCGTCGGATCGAAGTCTGGATCAGGGCAACATTAAAAAGAAGGCGAACGCAAATTTTTGATGCCCCAAAGGAAAAGGTGTTTCTTCGTGTCTCAGGACCAATCAGAGAGAGATCCGTCCAGGCTGACATACCATGTACCGGCCCTCCTCGACCAAGAAATTCCAAAGTCCTTGGATGATCCCCTTCAAGATTTTCCAAGTAATGCGATGGCGCGGCTTGGTAGATACGACATGTATTGCCGCGCCATAGCCCAGATCATCGTCTACGCAGGTTTCGAAGTCAGCATGGCTTCTTACACGTCTGAGCTGTCCGACAGGTCAAGGAGCAAGGGGGGGTTTTGTCTTCGAAACCACCTCCTCATGACTCAAGATTGGGTACACAATAGAAGGGAATATTCCGAAATCTACGTACGGAAAGGGTCTTCTGTTTGGGGAAGTGGCACGTCACCACTCTTTTCAAGCTGAAGGTTACAGTAGCTATAATCATCAGCTTGACTCAGCCATGGGGTGTGCTATGTTAGGGCTGGTATACTTCCTGGCTGCGTCGATGGTGTGCTGCATCGCTACCTCATCGATGCGGAAGCCCAGGAAGAAAAATATGGTTATCTGGCTGATGGCAGATTTAGAATCAGCATTGCTTTTTCGGATAAGGTTTGACGTCAAGCAACAGATTCAAGCGTGAAAAGAGTATCTTTGCTCTTAAAGCGTGTCTCAGGACTTGAGTTTTGGTGGCCATGGAGAACGAGTCACTTTAGGATTACGTACGTGTTGGGGACAAGGTATCTCACGCCAATGTCGGGAGGAGAGGTCACATTTAGAAGTGGAATATTATCGAGTGGGGAAACCAAAGGGTGGAGCGAGAGAGAGTTGGTGGTGAGGTTTTGAACAGTGCTGAAAGCAGTTACCGGAGCGGACACACTACCTCGTGTGAGCAAGCACAAGGAAAGATAGTAAACCAGAAAGGAAGCAGAAGCAGCCATGTTGAAGCCAGGGCAGGTACGAGATTCACCGGGCTTGGGTGGGGGTTGACAAAAGCTGGGAGGATTTGGATGAATCAGCAGCATCATCGTCGCCTGTCACGATTTGTCGCGCGATTCAATCGACAGCTGTTGATCTGAGGCGACAAGCGACTCTATTACCGTCTGTGAATCTCGCGGTTCCAAATATCCCGACAAGGAAGTTTATTGGGCTCAATTTGATATCGTTTGTGATACGGCTTCGTTTTTCAGATCGCACAACGACGACTGAATAGGTAAGAGCCATCGATGAGGAGATATCAAACAGCGTGTAAGCAAACAAAGCGACCGAAATTAGCCTGCAAGGCCGAATCAGACCATCAGCCTTCTCATGCGTGCCCACAGCCCTGGAGTGCAAGAAATTAAATCAGGCACTACGACAAGCGGCGCTTTCAAAAATTTCGGCACCTTCTACGAAAGGGTCGATATTGGCTGGTTATTCATACAGTCGCCACTTAATGCGCATACAAGTTCTCGACAAGTCAAATGATAGGTACAGGATCATCACCATCGACTTCAATTTGAAGTGTCTTCATCTCATGCTTCGTGACGTCGAAGACGAGTGTTGTCTGGCTACCGCTAAAGCGCAGCTGCAGAACATGGGAGACGAGTAGAAAATATTGATCGGGCCCAGGTAGACAGAAGGGGAATTGGAGGAAGAAGTAGAGAAGAACCGATACACCTTCTACAACTAAGGGTCTAGCTAGCATCCCTCCCTTGTGAGACAGCACTGCCACGCGTCTGTAGGGATGGCAATGACGGGAATACACTCTTCCACACCACAGATCAGAGCTTGCAATTCAGATGGTGCGCATGGTGTCTGTTGTCTACGCGACCCGCATTCTCAGTCCTTGAAGCATACAACAGTGATACAGATCGCAGCATCTCACGATGACTCGACCTAGAGTTCTTGCGCCAAATCGCTTTGGTAGGACAATTCTTGGGAGCGGGACCTCTTGAATAATCGAGGCTTCAGGCTGTATGTCTTTCTCGTGTAAACTCCGCATCGGGCGGCGAGCGGACTGATAGAATAATAGAGTAGATGCTACCATAGAAACCATCAGTGTTTGTATGGGTTTGTTTGAAATATTGGAAAAGTTGTAGACCGAAGGAAGATAAAAGCATGAAAATGTTGAATCAATCGATACAGCAATGTTCAGTGGATACAATGGGGATGGAAATCTCTGCGTCCACAATCTCCATGGTTTTTCCCTTGAGTTATGATCAACCACCAAAGCGCGGTAGGTCACATTTCAACACCCATCCCCCCAACATCTCCGACCAGATCCTTGCCTAGCCGTCGTCCACTCCCCCTTCCGACTCACGTAGTGCAATAGCTTCGCGCAAATTGGCTTCTGCAAGACCTGGCTTGCGGAGCTTCCACTGTGAGATTGATGACCTTTTGTACGCAGATAATACAACTAAACGGCGACTCAGCTGGATGAGCACAAGCTAGAACATCTTCACCCAACGTTCACGCCTTGGCAGAATGCCCTTCTCTTCAAATACAGAAATGCAAGCGATGGCCAAACATCCAAAGTCCAGACGTCCTGAGCGCCCAGCGTACTCTACGCTCACACTCTTCCAGCAGACCCCGTTGCAGGACATCTTCCGGATCGACGTCATGAAACCGGTGGACCTCTTCGATGTACCTCGGGCGAGAGTCTGAAGTGGTGTCGAGACATAGGACGGCGACTTGCTTCGAACTGCTCGCCTGTGCTACGAAGGCATCGAAGAACAGCCTCCTCAAAGTGCGACGACTCGTCTACCGAAGCCAGCCGATCGCAGGTGCGACCGAGCGGGTGCACGGAGCGATTTGCCAGAAGCGGAGAAATGTCGGAGTATCGCCGGAGCTATCCTGTGTCTTTGCTCCCGTGAGCATTTGAGCAGAGGCCCGAATGGAAGGCTGAGAGTGCGTAGAGTTGAGGTAAGCTATTTGGAGGTTTTGGGGCAAAGTAGGGCCAATGTCAGAGATACCAAGAGACGTCAATATGCCTTGACAAGGACGCCCAGTCTTTTTCTAAGAATGCTCTACTACGCAGTGGAAGAAAATAAGAAGCACCGCAACACCATTGTACCAGCGCCATTAGGAATCGAACCTAATACGAACTAAATACCCCGTGGAGACCTGTCGATCTTTCGGTCGACCCTTGCTTTGCTTTGTCCACCACATAGCATACCTGCCCATACGGTCAAGCGGTATTGGGAATTCCAGGGCCTCCTTGGTGAATCGCTAACAACAAGGCCACCCACTTGGGCTCCTGAATCGACGACTGCAAACCCATCACGCAATCCCCACCAACTGCCCACTCCCCACCCATTTCGTCTCCTCCTCCCCCTCCCCTCGAACCAAAACATCGAACGCCAACCCCACAAATTCCCAAGTCTCCCCAAACCGCCTCAATCCCCTGAGCGTATCCCCCCACATGCCCCACGTCATCGCCTCCTTCGGCCTCAACGACAACCCCACATCAAAAGTACCATAGAAGTATCCTTCCGGCAGGTGCTCCATGGGTGTTTTTCCCTCGCTTGGATCTTCCCGGATGTGACTGAGCACATCGTCGACTGCTTTTCGGAGGGTGCGGTAGGTGGATTGGGGCGGAAGGCGAGGACCGTAGCCGTGGACTTTGAGGAAGACGGTTGATTCGGGCGTTCTCAACAAGAGGGGATCGTTGGGGAGGTTGCTAGAGGGTGTTTTTCAGTGGGAGCGGATCTGAAAAGGAAGGGGGAGACGTACTTCGATGATGATGATGATGATGATGTGTCGAGGAGCGTTATATTGATCGGCAGCGTTGAGTTGGACTGTAACGATAAGCTGCTCACCAGTGCCGGAGAGAAAACGTGGGCAGGAAGGGATGCCGTGAGCGCGATTGTGGAGAGGACGTGGAGTCGGAGTGCAAGACTGACAAACTTTTGGACGAACATGTTTAGTACAAGCTCGTGTCATAACAATGAGCTTGTAAGCATCTTTGATGGTAGTCGTCGCATGCAGGGTTTGCTCCCTTAATTGACTGGCTCGCAAATGTCGACAATTGCGTCGCTTCGGTAGTGATAATTTTGCGCAGCCCATGGGAGTGAAGAGCGCCAACTCGCCTCGGTAATTATCTTTTTCTGAACACTAACAATGAACACTAGATTTGCTTTCTGTGTGAGCGAGAGGAGTGCGACTTCCTCTATCTCTTGAATGCTATCGAATGCGAGTCGATATTGGTAAGTGAGACGTCAAAGTGGGAGCTTTCTCCCTACCTATCTGTTAACATGACTTTCGCAGTTGTCCATCTGATCTTGGATATGCGAAGTCTATGTATCGCCCACGATTTAGAACATCTTCCCGGCCAAGTCATGGATGTATGGAAAAAGTGTCGATGAGTCGATCGAAACGACCGAAGCTCGGGATTGTTCTGTGTGAATCATCTATTGACAGTTCTTGTATTACGGAAATCGTTCGCTGAATACTGAATGTCGAGGCTGATGTGGCGATACAGTAGGCAGTCGACGAGGCGTTTGAACTGCTTAGATAGGAGGGCGATCTTTCCGAGGTGGCTCTGGCCATGAATGTAGGAGAGAATTTGTGTAAGTAGCTCGTTTGGAAGGTCTGTCAGTTTGCGTCTTTCCCATCGTAGCTGGTTTTCTTTCTCCTTGGTGTCTTTGTGATTTACCTCTTGATGAAGTGGCTTCTGCTACGTGGCAGAGCTGAAAGTCATAAAGGCATCGATGATCAAAGTGTTGAGGGCAGATATGAATGTTGGTGGTGAGGGTTTTTCTCGGTGTTGAGGAAAAAAGGAACATAGATAGTCATGTGACGAAAGTCAGAGCGACCTGATAGGTAGACGCAGATGCGAAAGTGAAAGGGGTAAGCGAATGATCCAGTCGGGTGCACTTGAGAACGAGGCAGCCGATTGGTGGAAGAAAATGGGTTTACTGTTGTAGGGCATCATGCAAATTGCAAGATATTATGTCTCTAGACGGCGACGATTAAAATTAATTCAGTCAAAAATTGACCAAATTTCCATAACGACTGCTTTTTTGTGTAGGGCATCAACATCGATAGGATCGTCAAGTTAGATACGTATTCAATTGTTGTCCTTGCTCTAAAATGTCCTGCCCAGAAGCTGATTTGATTTGTTTGGCCAAGATTGAATGAAAACCCTCAGCTCTTCTTCAACAAACGTTATTCTTCTCCATCAATGAACAATCTCATTTGAAATCAAGGTCTGGGCACCAGGAACTGAAACACCTGTACATCATCTAATCCCCCCTCTCTGCTGATCAGACCAACAGTAGCCATGTCCTCGCTTACTTCGTGCAGCCTGTGGAGGTTCATCATTCAGCTGCATATACAGCTTTTCCTCTGTACTGTTCTATCGATGTCTTTCAAATTTCATGAGCAAATCTTCAGGAACCCGCCCTCACTGATACTCAGCAATGGATTCTCTTTGGATTAGCCTTAGCATTGTTGCCCTTGTAAGTATGGATGATGTTGTGGGAATACGACTTTGAAGGGTACACCAGATGGGTCAAAGCATGATCAGGTGATCTGTCTGGCAACTAGACGCTACTCGTGCGCTCAGCAACGACAAGTTACATTGGAAGGCGCTAGAAATTTTGCCGTCCAGCCGGCCTAGTACATACGAGTGTATTCCGGAGAAGGTCAACTCAAGCATCGAGGAAATTTCATTGATCGTATGGCGAGCGCTCAACGCTCAACTGCACGAGAACGGAGATTGCGGTGCTCGGCAGTGTTTTCCGATTACATATATTTAGAAAGGTGTTGATTCGTTCAAAGAGAAGGGTGGAGGCGCGAACTCGAACAGCACAGACCGTGGTGTCTGCAAGTGTCATCCTCGAGCACAAATGTGACGCCCTGCAGATGGCTTGCATTAGTGAGCCACCAAAGCTAGTCGCTGTGGCTTTATCCCGCCGCCGCGCATATCCACATATGTAGGTAGCCGTGGACGGATGGTACTCCGTATGCACGCTTAGACATTTGTCATGTTCGCTAACACCTCCCACCGTCTCGGTAACGCCCATTCTCGGAGAAGACAAAGTCGCGGCGATCGAACCGTATTGATCTCACTAACTATGAATCGGCTGATCGACATACGAGTCTTGGATGATCGTTACGTGAACTGGTAAACGTATGAGATGACACTATTTCCTCGAAAACGAAGAGCGTTTCCGCCGACTTCGCAAGCGCAAGCGGCAATTGCGTGAAAAATGTAAGCTACCCGGATGACCTCGAATATTACTTCCTGACGCAGAATTCACCCATCACGGTGCGCGATTCTTCAGGAGTGACAGAGTGCGGCAGACCTCGTGGTCTGCTATTATTCCATCGCACTCCATAGGCTTATCTCTGTTATTTTGTATCATGATTCCAATGGCCTGCGCCAACGCCCGCGAGACTTATAGTAACCGTATAAGTTTTTCAAAGTATGAGTCACCAGACACAAGAAAAAGATGCTCAAGGACTCAAATACAGGAGACTGTCGGCATCAAAGATACCAATCACAAAAAAACGTGTCTTTCGAAGGAGGAAATTTTCGGCCGAGTCAAAAACGCATAACGCAGTAACACTCTCACACCAAGCCAATCGGCAACTGGATTGGCGGGAAAAATCCAATCTCCCAACACCACGCTCCTGGGAATTCCCGTCAATAGATGCAGCACCATCGAACCACTGCTTTCTTTTCGCCGAGCCCAAACCTCGCTGAGGCTATTATTGTGAAAGAGAGAGATAAGCGCAAACACCTGACACAAAAACCCATTAATCTCTTGGCGAGTGATAAGCCAAGCTTTGGTCAAGGCGTTCGAGTTGGAGATGTGACGCGCGTAGAACTGGGAAGCACTTTGTTGTAATGCGCCATCTTGCGTACAGAATCGCCGAATCCCTTTCCATACGCCTCAAGAAGACGCATGTGGAGCAGATGTTTTGGCCAGACGTGGCTATTGATGCCGTTACCGCCATAACAATACTGCAGTAAGACCCAACGTGGCACTGCTGACACTCGAGGTGGGACTTTGGTGTCAAGCTAAACTTGAAGGGCGCCGGACAATCGAAGTCTGCAAAAGCTAGACAAAGTGTGAACAACACATAGTTTGGAGCGCTTAGCCTTTGCCATTCCAGGGTTTGCCAAGCCGAGTAAGCTGGCGTCGAAGAAGTCAACTGCGGGGACTTCCGTGTCAACAATTCATTGCGTCAAGTCTGTTATCGAATAGTCATCGTTTGGATTGATGACTCGAGGACTTCAAAGTCATGTCTCTATGCGTATTATTCAGGTGTCTTCGGAGATGCTAAACGGAAAGAAGATTACGCAACTCTGTGCGAGGTCATGATGAACAATTCGGACAATAGCTCAACGCCTGCACTTCCGGTAACTCCACCGAACAGTGTCGGATCTGATGAGCCTCCCGATACACGTGAATAACTTCGAAGCCTATTTAGTTGAACTTCCTTTCCACAAACAGTAATACTCGTAGTCAGAGTCAGCTATGGCACTGTTTGAGTATCAAACGCATACCCATAGATGTGAATTGGAGTTCCGCGACCGACTGAGAACGCGTTTTTTCCACCATTGCACACACTTGCCGTGGGATCAGGCCAACCAGGCCGGTCGTAAGCCCATTGTACACGATCAAACATCAGACCGTGCAGAACATTGTCCGCGATTTGGTCCACTGACGACTAGGGCGAGCCGAAGCAACTGAGACCCTCGGTTTCCCTACGATAGTGATTGTCTAGAGTTACAGAGGCTTCTCGTGAAGCATACCGTAGAACAAGTCAGAATGATCAGCTATCCTTTTGGGCCTAAGAAATCCTTCAGCTGCTTTGTAAAGCCAAGAAGAAATTAATCCACTAACGACAACATCACCGCAACTTGGCCCATTGGCACTTTTGATGAGCTTGGAAGACACCCCATGTATCTTTGACAAAGTCCACACAATGCGGGGAGCTGCTGGCGGCTGCTTGTGAAACGGGCAGACTTGAAGTTGTGAAAATGTTGGTGAATAAAGGGGCTAGCCTAAAATTGATCGGGCATAGTAAAGAGGCGGTAGAGTGTTCCAAGAACAATCTCGCCATTCCTGAGATTTGAATCTACCATCGAAGAATCGTGTATCTACTAGATATGTAGGAACAGTCTTCTTGTTGATATCTACGAACTTGAATCGAGCTGAGAAAGTGAAAGCAAGCACAGCCACAAGGCTTAAAAAGCTCTAGACGGCCCGTTCCGAAGCGCCAAACGTTTGGCGTCTCCGCAGATTCTACAAATCCACCGCAAAGCGCGAGACATCAATCCCCAGCATGTGACATAGCCCATAGTTCCGGGCAGACACCACAGCAACAACCTTCGGTACCATACTCAACCCATCCACTCTCACAAATGTCCCACCAAGCAGACGCCAAGCGCCTCTTCGACTCCCGCGGCTACACCGGCGCCACGATCCACAACCAGAACCCCGTCCACCTGCTCGAGAAGCCCGTCCGCGACCGCATTATCGAATCCTACTACTGGAAAGAACAGTGCTTCGCCGTCAACGAAGCCACCCTCTGTGACCGCGCCGCCGCTCTCACCTTCATCGGCGGCACGTACGGCCAGCAGAAACCTACGCCCTTCCTGTGCCTGGCGATGAAACTGCTGCAGCTGATGCCGGAGAGGGACATCGTGCTCGAGTATCTGCGGCAGGAGGAATTCAAATATCTTGAGTGCGCTGGCTGCGTTTTACATACGGTTGACGTTTGAGGCGAAGGAGGTGTACGGGATTCTGGAGCCGCTGTTGGGGGATTGGAGGAAGCTGAGGAGGAGGACGAGGGACGGAGGTTATGCGTTGACGTACGTTGATCAATTCGTTGATGATCTTTTGACCAAGGACCGGGTGTGCGGAACTAGTTTGAGGAAGCTGCCGCAGAGGACCGTGCTGGAGGATCTGGGGGTGTTGGAGGTTAGGGAGAGTGCTTTGGGGGAAGAGTTGGAGGGGTTGGATGACGACGAGGATGAGGTGGTGGAGGTGGAGGTGGAGGTCAATGGGGGTGAAGAGGAGGATATGTCTACGCCAGAACGGAATGGCAATGGGGGGGTGCATAGTGACAGTGAGGGTTGAGAGGCTTCATGGAAGGATGCGATCTCGCAAAGGAACCTTACATGCATGTGTCCAGCAGACACAGAGCATGACAATCCTCCAAATTTGCAAAAGAATACTGCTCTCAGGGCCGTCCCACAAAAAGCAGCCTTCTCCGCTGGAGAACGTATCTAGGCATGCTCTCGAACCATGTCGGGTCTGGCTGAACAATGCAAGAAGATCGAGTCGTCTCTATGACATGTGTGTGGACCTGATGTGCGAAGAAGAAATATCCTAGGTGGATGCAACAAATGCAAACATCCCATGGTGTGTACCACTCGACCGTACATGAAACTTCCAGAAGCTTTCGCCCATCAAATGACGCATTCACAGTGGTGGATATGCACAGCGCCGGGCAAAATCCCAAAAGTTGGTTGATATCCCGTTGTAGCACCATTCCCACCATGTGAGCCCTGCTGGTTGAGTGGTTTAGCGCCCCGTCACCACAATAACGAGGCTCGAGCGAAAAATGGCCGCTTCAACTAGTCCGAAAGGGAAAAGTTTACAGGCCTATTTTCCTGTTGTCACGGCGGGACGGTAGACTCTATTGATTCGAGAGCAACTGTTCCACCCTGTGGTAATCGTTTTGCCTTTTTGGATTCCTGGATGTTGTGCTGTTGTGTTGGGGTGGGCGAGGGGAGGTGCAGGGTTCGAGTCGTCGGGAAGTTTTGTTTTGGATTTGTCTCTTTTTGACTGGCTTATTTTTCGAAGGTTTGAACTTGGGACGTTCGATCGGTCGCCCAGCTGCTCTCTTAGCTGCACAATGGCCTGCGGGAGGACGAATAGAAGATTACGCCATCGTTGTATCTTAACAATAGGACATAATTGTGTCAACAAAGTCTTTATCCCGTGTGCCGGGCATTCTACGCCCAAAAACATCGCGGCGAACCCCCCACGTCTTACACGCGGCCCGGAATAAGAGGTAGTAGCCCTTTTAATGGGGACTACTCCCATCTATTCCAGTCACAACACACAACTTTGGCGTTTACATGGAAACCGTTTCTTCAAGCTCGATCTCAATTGGCTGTATCACTGACGAGAGATGGAGGTGTTAATCTACTATGGGAAATGATATGAGGAAGAGGCCTCTGACTATTATTTCATGCAAGGACTAGAGTAGCTACTAGACGCAGTTCTCAACCTGAGGACTCCTGCTTCAGCACCAAGGTCGTTGCAGCATCTGCTTTTGATTCCCCTGCTCAACGCCTAACCCTCTGGCGTCTTGACGAAAATGGTCGGCGATTGCAGCTTGGACGGAGTTGAAGAGAGCAGGCATTTTCATGCAAGAGCCTCGCTTGATCGGCGCCGAACTGTGTAACGAAGGAAAAGCAGCTCGTAGAAGCGTTCGAGTTTACTTATAGGGGGTGAGGAATGGCGGGTCGGCTTCTGGCTACATGTCCAGGCTGTGGTCGGAGAGGTTCGCACCCGCGGGAGGGAGCCACAGGGTCCAGCAAATTTCCGGTATCCATGCCATCAGTGCCTTCCATCTCTCAATGCTCGCAACCTTCCTCGAAAACCACATCAAGCCAGCACTACCTCAACGGTCACCACGCAGTGTCCATCTTCTTCACCCCAGCACGGTAACTTGTTAATGATCTCCAGGAAAATCTCAAAGCTATCCGGAAATTCACGCTTCAACATCAGGAACTTGTTGAGGTCATCATTTTGCTTCCAGCCAAATCTGGTTCTCAGGCCTGATACCTTGGCTTGCTGGTCAGCTAGACCACAGATTGTAAGGGCGGAGTCGAATAGTGATGAGATTGTCATGCAGGAGCGGAGCTTGAGTGGGACAGCGTCAGATGACGAGGGGATTGAGATCCACAGAGTCGTATTCTTCTGCTTTTTGGCGTCGATGGCCATTCCGGGGGTGGAAGGTAAGGGACTCTCATGCATTGCAGAGGACTGTCCATCGGGGTTAGGGGAAACCGCCAAGGGCGTTGGAGGTGGAGATGACTGAGCTGTTGAAGGCTCAGCGACATTGAGGGGCTGTTCTACTTTGTTTGCAGCCTCAGCGGTCACAGTAGCTTCACAACGTCTGCGCTTCGGGTTGCCTGGTACCAGTGTGTCCGGCTTGTCATGTGACTTGGTCTGAATGCTTGGGCGGCTTTCTCGTTGTATCTTCGAGGATTCCTCTTCGCTCGTGGCGTTTCTGCAAGGTACAATGGCGGAAGTAGAAAGGGTGACAGGTCGTTCAGATGCCTTTGTTGGCTTGGGGGCATTCTCTAAGGCGTTCTTGGGGTTTTCCGCATGGTTTTCAATGGTGTTGGTGGCCGCTGGAGTTGTGTCTGAATAGGGTCTCTTGAGTCCACGCAGTGTGGGCGCATCAGTTATATCGTCATCGCTATCGCTATCGCTATCGAACGCGAGGCTGGTTAAGCAACGACTCATGAAGATAGACGACGAGGGAGGACTCACATGCCAGCTACACATTTATTAGGCCCCCAAATGGGAGCCGCATCAGCAATGCACCATACACACTCCGGAGTGACAGCAGGAGCCACGAAGCACTGTGTACTTCATGATGGAACATCTCTTGCAGGATTTCTTTGCAACGCGACAGCTTAGGTGGTGGAAGGATTGCAATGCAAAGTGGTGTGATCTTTTCAACGGATCAAGGTCTTGGAGCCAATAAGGTGACGTGGAGGGTATGTTTGATTCAGACTACGGACAGCAGTCAGCAAATCATTTCTCAGTAGTTGGCGGCGTCGTATACCGTATTAAGCGTCGCTAGGGTGCGTGAACGCAAGGACGGCGCCATCGTCTTCGAAGACTCCGGTAGGGTCGTAGAGTTTTTCATCCAGCCGTTTTCTGATCGTGAATCTAGCCTCTCACTTTCTGAGTTCACCTCGCCGTGGTGAATACTTTGAATTAACCGACGAGCAGGGTAGGGTTTTGTTCGTAAGACTCGATGAAAGCCTTTGCTTAGAACCTTTTGTCAATTATAGAGGTGGTTGCTAACCTCTGCTGTAGTTGTAAAGTTAGGTTCAAGTGAGATCGAAGTGACAGTGAATATCGAATACTTACGCCAAGTCGTCTGTTTACCGCGCGTCGCGTTTAGCTTCAAGTGAATCCCTTATGCAAGCTTGAGATTCCGGGAAGACCATTGAAAGCTCAGAATGTGTGCTTTGTTGAACATTATTGGAACTCATATCATCAGGAAATAACAGGCTGCTAATTCAGGAGTCCCCATTACTCTACGGTGGTCAAGTAGAAGACTCTCAATTTTTGGGTTACTCACTCAAGGCTAGATACTCATTTAGTAAAATTCCCGCGCCGCAAACCTCATCTCGCTAGCTCCAACGTCAAATACGGCCAGTACGTTCTTCAGAAACACATCTCCAAGGATCGAGAGACTGTCGCCAGCGTCATCAACGCCCGAGATGCACGTCCCGTCTCCATTATCCAAGAACAGGTCTTCCGGATTGATGAAGAATGTCTCTGCCCCGATCCTGATACCGAATTCGGGAGCCTTTGCGCTGCAATCTACAACGTATGCACCTTCGTCATCACTGTAAATAGCCGGTGGATCAAACAGTGCGTTGATTGCATCCGCAATACCCGTGGGCAGGTATATCAAGGTGGTGCCGCTATCAACGATGACCTGGACTTGAGACGAATTCGTTGGGGGCCCGAAAGGATTGGGGAAGTCCGGCAAAGACCAGTGCGTATGCTCGCTTCCTTCGTAGTAAAAGCCGTTCGTCGTGATGGTATAAAACTGATATTGAGGCACCGGAGCCGGCGCATCGGCGTCGTTCATGGTAAGCAACTGGAATGGTGCGCTGGCAAATATGGGCGAGAAAATCACAGGTGGTAGGCCACCTATTGCAAGCAAGCCGCCAGGTACCGTTCCTGACATGAGCGAAGACCTCTCGATAGCAAGACTGAAGAGGGGAGCAACATGACCTTCCTCATACATGTTGGTGAAGACGGGGTTGTACGGAATATTGGTGATCGTGTCCAAGGCAGGATTCGTGCCGGCATATTGGCTGGTGATCGAAGGGAAAGCGAAGCCTATCAAGCCGCTTGATACGCCGTCGCCGAACCATGCTGCGAAGTCAACAACAGCAACCTGTTGATTTTTGACTGTGATTCCGGCTATCGTCACCGGTTCAATGCCAAAGATACCCGTTAAGAACTCTCCATCGCCATACGTGATGTTGAAATTGACATCGGGGATCTGTTTGAACGGTGGCTCTATCGTGTATGTTGAAGCAAACAGGCAATCGCTCTCTGGTTCATCAGCCCCCGTAGTCACATTGACGCATTGGAACCCTTTCCCAGCCAGCCAAGTATCACTGCTGCCTAGCAAATCTACGTTAGCTGAATTATCCTCCAAATGTCTCCGCTGGCGACGTACCTGTATCAACAACCGCTTGGAAGGATTCGGTCCCAAACTCCACGCCGGTCAAAAAGACTGTGCCTTCCTCGACCGATGTCAATGGAGCAACACCATAGACTCCATTGACCTCATTGCCCTTCCGAAGTGATTGCACATAGCCTGCGCTCCTAGAGATCCCAGAAGCTTGTCGAGTCAAAGAAAGGACATGTGACGCCTGTGTATTTGGGCTGGGCGCTTGAAATGGGGCAGAGGATAACCCTCCAACCTTGAATTTATGGCTTTGAAACCCTTGGACGCCGGCGACCCAGAGGCTTAGCTCTATACAAAGAGTCGCGCAAAGCTTTCTGAAACCAAGCATCTTGTGGTAGGAGCGGTAAGTCTGTAGTTATTAGAGCGAGTCTCAACGCAGGGAGCCTGTGTAGAGACTGCCAAGGCTAGAACAAACATGAAGGGACTGAACCCAGGGCAGATTAGAAAGACTCGAGTGTGCAGATAGAGAATGACAGAAGCAAGACATGGTCGTTGCTAAATACTTTCTTGCTGCGATGATACGCACTTTTCTCGCCCTGCCCGCCCATGTCCGGACAACGGCCCGCTCGATGCAACACTCAAGCGGAAGGTGGAATAAGGATGCTCGAGACAATCGCTGGTCTTATGCACGCGGATGGCATCATGAGGTGCATTGGGATTTTCGGGTATCTTCTTAGCGTTGGGGCGAAGACCAATGCGGAAGGTCGACAACAAAGCTATCTCCGCGTCCGATCAAAGCATTTGACATCAAGATAAATGATAAGAATCGGTAAGTAGTCAAACGGACAAGCCATGCTCTAGATTTTATCATATGTTTGTGAAACAGAGACTCTTCCCTACGACATCAAAATTGGCTGTTGTTGTAGGTAGATCATTCAGCAGTCACGTTCGCATAAGCCAAAAGCCTCTTAATTGCAAGCCGAGATGAGGGCGTTGGAAGTATTAATCATTTTTGAATTCCTGTTGTTCTCTCATCTCTTTCACGCAAACACGTCATTCTCTCATGCTCTAGCGATACCGTTCGATCGCGTGACCTTGCTTCGTCACCTTGGCAATTGTTGGCTTGTCTAGATATTGCACGAAGCTGAAAGGGGTACTGCACGGAGAAATCCACTGGATAGTTACCAATATCGTTTGTCAACGTCGAATAATTGGTGGTAGCATGCTGTTGCAGGCCTTGGTCAACGGGTAGGTTCCAGACATCCCTCTGAGGTGCGGGAACTTGAGGTAAGGTACCATGCTGTTCCAAAGACTGCAAAGGTCGGAGATTGATTCGAACTGCGGCCACCTGACCTCGTCTCGTGATAATCTTAGAAGCCGGATAGTATCCACACTGCTTCCCTTTGCGAAGACAAATTTCGCAGGACGGCACTTCTCCAGTACATTTTACGTGGCTACACCTGAATTTATCCTTTGTGTCAACATACTTGCAGATCATCCATGCAGTAGGAACCTAACGACGACCTACCTGCAGTTCTCGCATGCAACCGCTGTCTTGGGAGCCCTTTGCCGACGCTTCTCTGGCTTTCGAACACGATTGATAAGGATCTTTGGGTTCGTATGAGCAGGAACCTCCCGGCCACCACTCTGTGACTCTTGGCTTCGCAATCCCGTAATTGATTTTGCTGTTCTCGCCTCTCTGACACGATCTGGTCTGCTTTGAGCTGGGCTAAACGATCCATCGCTCGCGGTAGCGAAGCCAGCGTCATCAATTGCTCTGCTTCCAGCGAAATATAGGGGATTCTGCAGAGATGTAGGTGGCGGCGCTAGCGAGTGGAACGCATCGTTGTTCGCAAGAGATTTGGGGAGGAGTCGCCGAAAACCACTATAGAGGTTTTCGGTCAGCATTAATTCTGTGGTCAAGGAGGCAAGACATGGTTCAACGCGTAGCCGCTCTTGGACCACTGTAAAATTACTTCTGATTGCCGAACAAGCCTCTGCTTTCTGTGGGTGCACTGATCTGTCTGTTCCCATCTGTTGTCTCATAGATAGAGGCAGTGGTGCCATTTTCCCAGCTAGGGACCTCAGTACGCTTTGGCTCCTCGTTAGGTGGTGAGTACTGGGGATGTATGGGCAAAAAAGTTAATGGCGCCTGAGTAAGCAAGGCTGATCCATCCGCCGGAAACTGGGACAGATAGCTTGAGCTATCTTTGAGTTAGCAACCATCTGATCACCATGGACAGTGAGGAGCCACACTCTGGCAAAAGGGAAAGGAGAAGAGGAGCGCTTACTCAAGGTACCCAAATGCAGGATTAATGCGCGCCAGCAAAGTCCCAGCTACGCTCGGGTCGGCCTCTAAGCAGAGGTTGCACCTAATGGGAGCACCAGCCTCCTTTCGGACATAGTCCGGGCAGTCTTTGTAGTCCCTAGACTTTACTTGCAGCGTCAACATAGAGTTATGACACAGCACGAGACTCTTGTCATCCTCCAAATCGTCGCCGCAGATGTAACACACAAATTGGAGACACATATTGACGACGTTCTCTGATGCCACTTCGTAAAGGTATGATGGAATCTAGTCCCAGAAAAGGTTGAGAGGGAAACTGATGCATATTTATACAGTCGAAGGGGCATGAATGTATCCTCATCGTTATGCAAGATGGTAGGGTCTGAGTTGTTACTGTTACATTGTTAGAGCTGTCCACTGACAACAAGAGAATGATCGGGTGTGCAGGCGCTAAGCCCATGCCACTGTCAGATGACACTTTTCTCATATTGCGCGAGCAGAAGTGGCAATAAAAGCCTCGCCCATAGGCGCCTAACTGAGGGGAAGAGTGAGAACCTACCATCGACGTTACAGTCCCAGGAAAATGATAGCGTGAAAATCAGATTGAAGGTGTATCAAGTTGTGGTCTTTTGGTAAATACCGTTCCCTTTGGAGTCGGACGAAGCAAAGAATGTGGACTACTTGACTGCCTGACACACAAAGGTCCTATACGGCTCTTGTCTCCATGGTCGACGTCTTGGAAAACAGAGGTACCGTTCGGACTCATATACTGTAGGGGCAAACACCGACACGAAAATGCTAAAGCGGATCCGGCAAATAGCTCAGCAATCGACTGTCATCTTCAACCGACTACGTCTCTGCGACGCTCACATCCAATCACCAAATGTTCGATTGAAAACCCTGCATATTGGCAACATTTCGTGGCCCTTTTCCTTGATTAGCCCCATGCATGTCTCTCACTCCGCTGTCTGCTGTTTCCGTACTTCAGTCCTCATCAATGTACGAAAACGCCGTCTTCGACAGTGTTGTATGACGGTGAGTCTTTAGCAGTCTTCTTTCTATTGCAAAACTTCTCCTGAAAAATTCCCGTTGCATAGTGATGAGAGGAAGTAGGAATTCGGACCCCAGATGTAGCACAAAATTTGGCAAAGAAAGAGTGGTGATATGCTGAGTCAGCTTTACTTGGCTCAACAAGCAATCAGAAATGTACATTACCTTGGCCGTTTTAGCGAATGAGCTTGATGAGCAGGGACAAAGCAGACCCTACTTACCCTGCAGTGCTCTATCATCCTGTGATATTATCCTACTCTACGGTGCTCTCCTATCCTACGATATTTGACGCACAAGATGATGTCCAATTTTCCATCTTGTCATCCACGATATATCTCACCCGTAAGCAGGAACGCATCAAGGTATGCTAACGAGCCTGCGTCCTCCTCGGTGACTGCTCACTCTACAACCCCAGTCTTCCATTTGAACCCATACTGCATGAGCACTCCCACCTCCCGCGCGATGGTTACTGCATTTCGTATTCTGTCTTCTGGTGGCCCCTTAGCATCAGCGATGCAGTCCGATAAATATTTCCAAAACTTTTGTTCCAACTCGTCCCGGATCTCGAGATAGCTCCATCCTCCTAGGCCCAGGTATCCGAGTAGAACATCTAGACCGTAAAGGGCAAGCCCGAAGGGTAAGAGTTCGGCCTCTGCCCACTCGATGATACGCGTGACGCGGCCTGTTGACGGTGAGACGAGTATGTTCACTGGACAGAGGCCTCCATGTGTGAGGACTTGCGGATAATGGGGGTGAAAGAGCTCACCGAGCTCTCTTAGTGCACAAGAAGACGTTGGCAGTAAATCGAGGAGGCAGAGTGGGCTCAAGAAGGGTGAGCTTGTTAGATACGGTGGCTCTGATGTTCTCTCGCAGATTCTGCATACTAGTTGCGGATGGAGCCAGCATGCGGCATAAAACCTAGCAGTTCCAAGCGAGTCAGCTGAAAGAGTTCACAGCAATTTGCGTAGGGGTCTTGATTTCGCGTACCTAGCGAAATCCCTAAGCATCCTCAGCTGCTTCGAGGCCTGCTCTGGACTCATCCCGATAAAAAACCCCCCGTCTCTATGTATGTCACCCCGGCAGCTTCTGGATCATATACAACCGCAAGCACGTTTCTGCTTCCTGCCCAATAATGTGTCTCTGCAGCAACACCTCCGTGGATAACTTTCGCTAGCTGCGCCGCGTAGATGTCGATTTTAGAATTGTTGAGACGAAATGGCGCGAGCTTCGCATCCCTAAAGGATTGGCTGCTTTCATCTTCACCGCTTCGGACTCCTGTGACAGCTTAAAAAGAGAATACAGTGTGACTGAATTGCCCCTTGACAGTAAACGGCAATACAGACTTTGCCCTAAGCAGGGAGCGGGCGAGGTCATCACATTCTCTCTGGGTCGGAAAGCCGTCACGATCGAAGAAAGATGGAGGCGCGATTTCAAGTGAATAAATGTCTATATAGTAATCACGTAACTCACTTGAAGTCCATAGTCGATCAAAGTCCTCTCTCACTCCAAGATGGCGGTGTGAGAGAAGGTTGAGTGAGGCCTTCAGGAGCTGACAGTCTAAAAAAGATTAGACGGAAGAATTCTATTCGAAACATTTCAATAATTTTTCGCAATGATTACACAGGGTCTCGCATGCCAGACAACTTAACTACCTTCGGTCGCGCGACCGAGGGGGCCCATATAGCGGCGGTCACTCTAGGCTTGATGGGGGTTGAGGACGGGGCCTTGGCCCGCCTCGGCCAATGGCATGAAAGCTGCCAGGAACTTCCTCTCCTTGCGACCTCTCTCCAGCTTGTGCTTGCCTTTCCACATCCTACATTCCTGTTAACCCTCTGCAAACATGGTAAGAGTGATACCCCAATACTGGCCCACTTGTCGAAACTCGTACGCTAACATGTCCTTGTCCAGGCGCGAAATTCCGAAAAAGCGCAGTCTATGCTCTTTCGTTTCCGAGCGCAACAAGCCGCTTCCTTGGGCATAATCGATGCAGGCCGTACTCGCCGTCCTAAAATGATCACTGAAGTCACGGCGATACCAGCATGCGAGAAATGGCGGGGCCAGGTTCTCAAGGAGATTTCGCGCAAAGTCAGCAAGATACAAGAGCAGAGCCTGAGCGATTTTCAGATTCGGGATTTGAACGACGAGATCAACAAGGCGATGCGGGAAAAGCATATGTGGGAGGTGCAGATACGGAATCTGGGGGGCCCAAATTATATGAGGGGTGGGGGAAAGGTCTATGACGAGGAGGGGAAGGAGATTCCTGGGGGTGGAAAGGGCTATAGGTGTGTCTATGCTACGGAAGTTGGTCGTGAGAAGTTTGATGAGTTAACATTCTATGTCAGGTACTTTGGTCGAGCACGAGAATTACCGGGTGTGAAGGAAATGTTCGAGTCGAGCAAGCCAAAAGCGCCGGACAAACCGTTAGAGAGCAGGGCGGATCTTAGGCGGCAGGTAGACGCCAGCTACTATGGCTATAACTTAGATGAAGAGGATGGCACTCTGCTAGATTACGAGGCAGAGAAGGAGAAAGAGGCATTTGAGAATCTCAAAGAGCAAGGGGATGGAAAGTCAGAGGCAGGTTGGGAGCCTCTTCCAGGGGATGCTGGAGATGGGGTCGGTTGGAGATTACCTACGAGCGAAGAGGTTCAGGAGGAGCTGGTGGACAGAAGGAGACGACGGCTATTGGATAAATTGGGTTGATGATGTCCAAGAACCCAGAGAGTCTCCGCAATTGGCGAATCATCAGCTACGATGGGCATAGATCCTCGGACGTATGTTTCAGCCTATACTACAGTCTCTGTAGAGAAAGTGATATGACCATTAGAGAGGCTTTGAATGATAGTCCAAAGCTGTAGAGGGGAAAGGAGAAAGGGTCTTGTTGACTGAACGGGGGAAAGTTTATCCCTCTCCGACGGATTGATCGTTGCTTCCGCCGTTGCTTAGAGGTGGAGAATGTCGAAGTCTCCGATTTCATCGCATGTTATTGACTGGTTTCGCATCCTTTGGTCGGCCAATTCTATAGCTTATAATGGACTACTCATCACTTCCCAATGACCCAGACCATCCTGCAGGGGCAGATCCATGGCAGTCTTCTCCTCAACCCACCAGAACAAGCTTCCCTCAACCAGAGTCTGGAAGGGAACCCGATTCGCCCACAGCAAAGCATGCGCCACCGACCCCCGAACCTCAGCACCAAGAAGAGCGATATGGAAGCGATCAAGAGTCACCCAATGCTTCTAGCTACGAAGAGCCTCCACAACAGCCGAATGGGGCGGGGAGGATACCTAGCAGATCAGACACGGCGAGCGATATCCGATTCCAAGGCCCACCATTGACTGAAGAAGAGCTTCGACAACAACAGCTATACCAGCAACGGCAACAGGAGTGGTACCAACAGGCAATTCATAAACAACAGCATGCAAGAGGTCCTGGACCTCAGCGATATCACCCGGGCGCTCGTGCTGGGCAGAGGCAGCCTCCACAGTACAAGCTGCAAGCGAAAATCACTGGTCTTGAGCGCACAGGGAAAAAGGATCCTGCCATCACTTTCGATGTTCATGTGAGTCAATATAAATTCTGGGGGAGGAGTGCTTGGAGGAAGCTGACCGGATTGAAAGACGAATCTCCCAAAATTTCGCACCACACAAGTCAGAGCCATAAAACGCACACATTCCGAGTTTGTCAAGTTAGCAGATCATTTAATCTCCTCCAATCCGGAAGCCTTTGTGCCCGCAGTGCCTCCCGCTCTCACGTCCGCTGGCGCCGGAACAGATGAAGATGAAGCTCGAACCAAAGCCTCGTTGCAGAGATGGCTGAACTATGTTTGTGGTAATGATGTTCTCATGAGGGATGACGAGATGGTGTTTTTTGTTGAAAGCGATGCCGGGTATAGCCCTATGATAAGAATGAAGCAGCCAGCTACTGGGGTACGGAGAAAAGTTATTAAGCAGTTCGCACCGCCACCAGATGATACGCCTGAGCTTCATGACGCCCGACCTATTGTCAAGCTTTTCTACCTCGGGACTATGGAGACCGGCCAGAAGGTCGACCGGGTGGTGAAGGCGAGGCGAGGTGAGTAGGCTGTCTACTCAATTGCGCTGGCACGTTTCACTCATGCACCCCAGGGCTCGGTCTGGCAGAATCGGATCTAGGCGTCAAGATCGGCCAATTGTCCGTCCAAGAACCTCATCCAGGTCTCGCAAGCGCATATCGCAAACTAGGCAAAATCATACAAACAACAGGCGACTATCATGCAGCACAAGGCACAGCTGAAGCAACTACTATTGGTGATCCCCTGAATTACCACTCTTCTGACGCTCTCATCGTCAAAGAAACCCTTACAAACCGCCATATTCTCCTGCGCGACCTCCTCACGGCCCAAGCAGCCACCCGGAACAAACTGTCTGCCGCCGATAGAATCAAATCCAGCGGCTCTGTGCGTCGAGAAAAAGTCGATGAAGCCATCAATGCTCTCGACGAAGCCAAAAGCCACGAACAATATCTTGCTCACAAAACACAGCGTGTGACAAGTAACCTGTTGCACGAGAAACGGCGCTGGTTCGCACGTACAGCTGCAGACCTTCGTGTCAGTATTCGCGAATACGTTCTCCGTGAGATTGACTTTGAGCGTCGGACACTGGCTACTCTCGAGGCTGTCCGGCCTGATGTACGAGCCATCGATGCCTCTGGTGGCCTGTCACGGTTGGGACGAGAAGCACATCCTGTCATACGCAGGACAAGCATGGCGAGCAGTCAGGGTCCACGAGGAGACGCGTGGAGTGGTGTGCCCCGGAGGCCCGATGCGCTGGATCGGAGTGTCAGTGGAGGCTTTCCACCAACTGTGAAGGAAGAGGATGGGGTAAACGGTGAAGATGGAGGACGGAAGAGAGCGGGTACTGGGGCGTCAAGTCTGAAGGGTGTGGCAGAGGAGCCAGATGATGACAGAATCGATGCAAAGAATGCGGCCAGTCGATTGGCCACGAGTACGTTCTAAGGGAGACAAGGAGTGTATCAGATAGGTCAAGAAGATTGAGACGGTTGGTCTGGTGGATATGTACAATGAAACTGTTTGCATCTCCTATCCTCTCGGAGACACAGCTGCTGCCAATTCTCACAGCCTGGTCCTCCTCCAACGCGTCAACTGCTCAAAGCTGTAGCAGTTCTCAATCCAACAACATCCTCCAATCCACCTAACGCATCGCTAGCCACAATCCGCCAACGTAGCCACCATCCTCCTCCCATCCATCCATCACCTTTCTTTCAAAAAAAAAAAACCACGCGAACCACCCGCATCTCACCTCCCCCCCCCCCCTCCTCCTCCTCCTCCTCCCTTCCAACCAGCTCCTCAATCCTCCCCTGCAGCACCTCCCTCACCACCCGCTTATACCACCCCGCGCCCCGATTCCCCGCCACGTCCGCCGCGACCTCCTCCCAATCGACCTGCCTCAGCACGCTCTCGGCCGCGCGCTTCAGCTCCAACCAGGAGACCGACGGCTCTTCCCCCCCTTGGCGGCGGTACAGGATCGAGAACTTGGGCGTTGGTGGGGCAGGGGGGCGGGGCGGAGGCGCTTGCGGGATGGGGTTTCCGGGTCCGGGGCCGGGGCCGGGTCGAGGGGGAAGAGGGGGCGCTTGAGGGGTTTGGTGGAGGTGGGGGTTGGGGGGAGGTGGGCGGATGGGAGGTTGGAGGGGGTTTGGTGGGTTTTGGTGGGTGTGGACGGTGTGGTGGTGGTGGGGGCGGGGAGTTGGTGGTGGGTTGAGGCGGATGGGTTCTGGACGGTGAGGGGGGTGTGTTAGCGGTGTTTCCAAAGGCGGGGGGAGGGGAGGGCGGGAATCGGATGGAGCTAGATACCGAGCCCGAGTCCCCGTTCTGCCCTGTGGGCTTGCTGCCGTTCTGCTGGTGATGGTTCGGTAGCCGGACGAAGAGGTGGGCCAGGCGCACTGGTTCGGACGAGGGTGGCGGAGGCATGGTGTGTGTGTGTGTGTGTGTGGGGGGGGGGGGATTCGATGCTGGTAGCAGAGGGTGTGGTAAAGCGAGCGAAGAGGTAGAGGAGGGAAATTTTGGAAGAGAATTACGGTGCGGACGATATGATCGAAACGGGGCTGGGGTGCGCAGAGGGTGATGAAGTGAATTGGGATGGAAATGTGACGCGGATGATTCGTGCAGCTCTTAGGCTGTTCGTCTGCCTCGACGCGTCGATATTATGACAAATGCCGACGGTGATGCTTTCAATTGAATTACTGTGCAGATTTCTATGTCGGTACGATGCTGCTCATGCAAATGTGACGCGTCGATACACTACTGATCGGTTGGCACGTCGAAGGGAAGCAGAAGTTCATCGTCTTCAATCTTCATCCCACCACTTTACGCGATGCTACTTTATCGTATCTCCAAAAAGACGGAAATCGACGGACGCCATGCTACCCGCAGCGTTCCAAACTCTAAAGTAACAAATCTTCCTCCGCTCGTTCTCGCCCAAGTCCCAACCCCCAACATACCTTACTCCTTACGGCTTATATCGCGCGCTTTCAGAGCTTCAAAAAAGCCCGCCTTGGCCATCGAGCATCAAGCTCGTCCCTCTGCCATTTCTTTTCATCTGCAGCATCCACATCGTACGCCCCTCCCCCCGGCTGGTTCATCGATCGCCAACTTCCGGCTCCTCCCTCCCATCTACCTGTGAGATTTCCGGCTCCTTCCCGCTACGCGCTCCATCAACACAGCCTCTGCCATCCGGACCCCCATCTTCCGCTTTTCAAAGCTAGTAGGTATCTTTCACAATATCTTCCGGCCCAAATCCCATATTCTCTTCATCCACACCATTGCCATTTTCCTTCGAATGCCAGATAAGCCTCGCGCCGATATCTCCAACCCCTTCGTATCCTACCATCAATTATCCCCCTACCGATCTACTTCCTCTCCCTATAAATCCCCTCACTCTCCTTCTGCAAATCCTCATTCAACTCAGAAACCCTTTCGTCGTATCCTTCCCTCCCAGCATCCCGGGCTTCATGTACCAAGCCAAGATGCCCGAAAAGTCCTCCCGCTGCATAAACGTCGTGCCGTCCGGGGTCACTTTCGATTCTGTGAAGCTGAACGAGTGGGTGCCGGTTACGAGGCCGTACCGGCGGGATTCGGTGGGGCTGTTGTACTGTCGGGGGTTAGTTGTGGTGCTGGAGAAAGCGAGGAAAGGGAAGTGCAAGGGGAAGAAGGGAAAAGATAGGCACGTACCTGAATGGTCTGGTTGAACTGGGTGTCGCTTATCTTGCCGATGATTCTGTCGCCGGGCATCATATCATGGCCGGCCTTCTAACCCCGGGTCTGGGCTTTCGACGGAGCGGACGAAGCTGGAGTGCCATTTGGAGAGGTTGGGGAAGTCGAGGAACTGTTGAAAGTGGTGTAGGTCAGTATTGCCGTTTCAAAGATACAACGTTCGTGTCCAGGGTCGTTTCTGTACTACCCACCACATCGCGGATTCCGGATGGCGGCGCTGCGGTTTCTGGTGGTAGTTTGTTGAAAGAGGGAAAGGAGGATTGGCAGGATTCGTGGAGAGCCGGTTGTAGAGACGGATAAAGCGGTTGAAGTGACGATATGTTTTGACTCCCTAGTAGGTCGATCTACTTTTTTCTCGTAGAAGAGTATAAGAAATACAACACTTAGTCGTAACGATTCGAACCTGTCCCCAGCCTTTCCCTTCCTGGGGCAGAATGAGAGGTACCTCCAAATTCGGCCCCCAAAAGAAAACATGCAGAAAACGCAAAACTCTTGGCTTTTTCCCGGCGTTGAGAAAATCGCGCCCCTTGTCACCTATCACACCTCCAACCATGAATTGACGGATAATATTTCAGTTGGAACATTAGATAGAGTGTCGTTATCTGTCTAATCCCTTCCTCCAAACAATTTCTATCTGATACATATCTACATTGAACACACATCTACAGTTTCGTATAAAGGGAAACATCAAATCGACAGTCCTCAAGATGTCCTGGCTTTTTTTCCCCCCTTTAACAATGTACCATGAAAGTCTCAACACATGCTAACGCCCGCAATACATTCTCAAATCCAATGATTGAAAGGTGGTTCGATCTCTCCGCCACGATCACCTAGTTTCCAAAACCCGACGGCACAAGACGCGGTAAAATTCCATTCCAATTGTTGCGAAAAGCGGTAAGAAGTAGGTATCATTATTGTGTAACCGGTGCTGCTTCAAGATGCCGACAAGCTCGATGCCGTCGCTCTCGTTGAAGCCCCTTCGGACGGCTCGGCAGTACGTGTTGTAAATCCCATCGTCAACAAAGCCTGCTTTCAGCCTAGAGTTGCGGAGAAGGTTGCAGTGAATGGACGCGATTTCGACAAGGATGGCTCCCAACGCGCATGCGATATCACTTGATTTGCAAGAATACGGGGGGGTGGGATATACGTGGGATGGTGGTATGCTGGCTGGGCTGGCGGTAGCCCTGGATTGTGTCTTCAAAGTTGTTGTAGCCTTGGGTTGCATACGGAAATGAACTGAGCGGAAAACTTGACTCAAGACCATCATATCTGAGAGCTTGGCACTGCCCCTCAAGAAACACCTCGGCTCGGCCTGTGGCAGCCCGCGATTGTGCCACTCTCACTCCCAGTGGCGATTCTGCAAAATGCTAACATTATGTCTAGCACTTGATTTAGTCCTTTGACGAGTAGGCTGGTAATACCATGGAGTCCCATTGCTATGCCTTTACAAACTGATGAAGGAATGGCGGCCCTTGTCCGAGAACTATGGCGTAGGCAAGCGTTGCACTTTGACGATGGATGGAAGCTCGAGGATGTCCCCGCCGATATGAACGCCCTTTGAAGCCGAAGTCCTAGATAGGCACACATCGCCCCTGATGCAAAAGGACGATGACCGCAACACCAGGCCAGAATTGGCCTCATATCGCGTGTGAAGGTGCTGTACTGCTTTAGCAACGCCGCTTTTGTGGTCGGGCCAGCTCCTCGTCCAGTCTTCACTTATAAATGAACGTGCGGGCGACCCAAATCCTAGTCAACGAGATCCGGCTCAACCGATGTAGCGTACTCGAGAGCCCTCAGTCTCATGTCTCACCACAATCACCACAATGTCCACAGGTATTTGCGGTAGCGTTACCTGGCGACATCGTTCATTCCTGTCCACGACAATGCCCAATGCCACTCACGAAAGCTCCAATCTTCACGCTTTTGTTGCGGTTACGGGTCCTGGGAAGCTTATATTATTCTCCAGAGGCATTGTACCATTGAGTGATTAGCTTGTTGGAAGGTCTTGGTCAAGTAATGGGCATGGATTTTGCCCTAGTGCTTGCGGCGAAGGTGAAGGTGAAAGTGAAGGAGGAGCGATAGCAAAGGAACCCAGGAATTCAAACCGAAAAGATTGGTACACAACGGCTTGTGCCCCTGGATATATGCATCACCGTGATGCTCCGAGTGAATGACTAGTGAGTCGAGTCGTATGAGTAGCAAAACACTTGTTTCAACCTTTGCCTGAACCGCGTCGTACGATCATAGGGCGCAACCGCCTGGCGTGCCTGCACTCGCTATGTCTGCATCACTCGCAGTCAACTATTGACTCGATATGTGCCAAAGTTCCATTCGTCGGAGGACCTGTTGCTGACGTGCCCCGCAATTGGAGGAGTCAGAGAACACAGACACCCGCCAGGAGGTCGTGGCGGTCGAGGTAAGTTTGAGATCTTTCCGTAGGAGCGCCGATGAATGGGCATTGATATGATAGGAATTTGGGGACCGCCGATGATGTTCCCATTGAGCAGGCCCAGACGCCCATCGACTATGAGTGATTCGAAGAATGGGCATTGGCGTAAACACTTAGGAGCCTGAGCTTGTATCATGATACGCCATTGGAGTTGCGTTTCTGTATCTCCTCAGCTACCATACGGGTTCCCAAGACAATGAGCTTATGCTCCTTCTCATGGATTCTTTGCTCCAGTTTCTCGATATTTTCGTCGACACCCCTGTTGAATGGTATCTCTTCTACCTATTCTACTGTTAGAAGGGTACCCGGTCATCATAAAGAAACTAGACAGTGTTGACCCACAAGTATCGGCTTGCCCATGTCTACTTCCGACTCCACGTAATGAATCATGATCCCAGTCTTCTCAATCTTTCCCTCCAGCCATGCCTTATGGGCTCGCTCGATGGCTTTAGCGCCATTGAATTGTCCCTGCTCCAATCAATCCTGAGTGAAGTTGAAAGAAGAAAATGGTTGCAGCCTACCGGCAACGCAGGATGCAAATTGATGATGGGAACGTGGGCCTCAGCAAGTGGGTCGAGAAACGTGTCCGCTAAGATAGACATCCACCCAGCACAGACTACCAAGTCTGGCTTGTCGGCCAGGACAATGGCAGCCAGATCCTTGTCATATTCGGTTCTTGCGTTTTCTGCGAATTTTTCCCTGTACGGTATCAAATTACTTTGGAAGAAAATCAGTACGCCTGTTGCATGCCCATTAGGAGGAGGATGTGGGAAATCACTGGTAATGCGTAGGTATTGAAGCTTCCTTCGCTCGATGAAGACCATAAGCCTTCATACGGTTCGATATAACTCGCACAATGCTACAGTTTTTAAGAGCATCGTCTCTGGCGTCGATCAAGGCTTGGAGATTGGTTCCTGCGCCGATATCAGAACACTATCACCGCGTCTCGTCGCAGAACAATCTACGTTAAAGATGGAGATAATACGCACCATTGCCTGATATCAAAACGGTAATTCGGACGGGAGTCTGGTTTGCCATGATTCTTCGAGATGTTTTTCAAAACATGAAGATCAGTAGTGGTTGAATATCCTACCTTCAGACATGTGTTGCTTTTATTCGAATAGATTATACCTGATGCAATTCTCGAAAAGCGAGAATGGTCAATGGGACTTCCACCTGCGATTGAATTTGCCAAGGCCGACGGACTCAATTCCGCTCAGCCCTACCAAAAACGCCCGGTCAACAAGCGAGTAAGTAAAGTAAACAAAAGCTTTTCAACCAAGACGCCTCACCTCTCCACACACCGCGCGCCCACCATGATACTCAGGTCGTAGCCCGTCCACCATACTTCCTCCCGCCATGCTCCTCACAAGCGGCCAAATCTCCGTCGCCATCTCCTCCGGCGTCGGCAAGCTCCCCCTCCCCACCCAACGACTCCAAACTCGCCACGCTAACGCACCGCAGTCTTCATCTTCACAACCCTCCTGTTCCTCTCCGGCTACATACTGCAACAGCAGACCGTGCGCTCACTGCAGCTCGCCCTGCACCCGCCCCCGACCCCCGCCATCCCCGTCACCGACCCGGTACTGCAGAAACATTTCGGGCAACCCCCGGGCTACGGAGGGGGCGGGTTCTTCTACGACAAGTTCCTGGCGAAGAACAAGCCGCGGGGGGGTGGGCGAAGGTGGCGTATGTGCAGCTGGTGCGCCGGCATGTGGAGGTGTGCGGGGCGGTGATGGGGATGCGGGAGGTGGAGCGGGGGGAGAGTATGGCGCAGAGGATCATTCTGTATCCGCGGGAATGGGATGGGGAGGTGGGGGAGGGGGGGGGGTGGGGGTGGGGATGGGGATGGGGATGGGGATGGGGATGGGGAAGAGGAGGAGAGGAGGAGGAGGGAGACGAGTGGGCGGTTGTTGAGGAAGGCGGCGAGGGAGTACAAGGTCATGTTGCAAGCTGTCGGGTCGATACCGCTGGCCGAGGGGAGTGAGGCCGTGACGGAGGAGGAGAGATATCCTCTTACGAATCTACTGAGTCTGATCCATTACAATCGGATTCTCTTCCTCCGACCGAGCGGGTTGATACTGGACTCCACGCCTCTGGACCTGCTATTCACGCTGCCGATGGAGCAACCTCTACTTGGCCTCTCGGCTCCTGAAGACGGGAGCATGCAACCCGCGATACTCCTCTTCGAACCCTCCAAAGAAACCTACCGGGACGTCATCTCCTCCCTGCCCGAAGGCGCTTACCCAGACAACGAGTTCCTCCAACGCGTAACGACCACGCCGGCCCCAGCAGACGGCGAGAGTCCAATGACGTTGCTGGCTCAGACATCAGCACTGGGCGATGTGGATGCGCAATTCAACGCCACGAGGTTCCTCGACACGACAGCGTACGTCCGACTATCGGACCCGGGTCTGCCAGGACCGGAGTACGACATCCCGAGGCAGGATTACGTGCGAGCGATGCCCGGGTCGAAAGAGGCTAGGCGGGCGTGGGAGGGGGTGTATGAGAGGTTCAGGGACGCGAGGATGGGGATTTGCGGGTTGGATTTGGAGCGCGTTGAGAGGCAGAGATCGGAGATGGACGACGTCGTTGCCAGGAGAAAACGTTGAGACGCACGGCAAGAAAGCTTCAGAGGTTGAAGGATAAAAGGTGCATACGCGGAGGCGGGTGATGCGAGATAATGCCATGCAAAGCGTAATTTTATGGTTGGGAGGTATTCCTTTGGTCTCTTGAATGATGAAGTTCCTGTTGGTTACCACAGACTCGGGTTTGAGGAAGTTTCTTTTTCTTTTTCTTTTTCTTTTTCTTTTTTCTTTTTCTTTTCCTTTTTCTTTTTCCTTTTCATTCGAAGAAAAAGGTTACTATATCTTTCTACGGGATAAGGTCTTTAAGCATTACCTAGCGGTTCTCCTAAGGGTTTGCGCTTGATCAGTCGTGCATCAAGTATGGATAAAGTAAGGTATGCTTAAGGTACCTTTACTCATGTATTGACAAATAAAGAGAGATAAAGTTCGACCAGGGAAATGTATAAAACATATAAGCTTCCATCATATTCGTGACGACTGACGACCTACCTAGGTGCAGATTGATCAGCAGCGCATATTATCTCTGTACGTCGTCAACCCACCAATCATAAGTGACAGACCCTTCACATGCAAATCGACCTACCAACCAACCTACCTTCCTCCAAGTCTCGCCTCCGCTGCCCTGGCTCTCCTCTCCCGCTCTACCATCATGCGCATCTGAGGTGTCATGCCTCTGCCGTCTTCCTCCCGGCGCTCTTCGGCTGTCTTTTCCGTGGCCCCTAGCCCTCTTCCACCCTTTTTCGAGCCGTTCTCTACCACTCTGACCTCATGTTTCAATCGATCTTCTTCGGCCTTCCTCCTCTCCAGCTCAGCTTTGCCAGCTTCCGCACGTTCACTTTCTTCCCTCTCATCAGCCTCAGCTCTTGACAAGGGAGCAGGGATGTGAGCTGTATCCCAGTTCCATTTGCCCTCTCCGAGTTCGCTGCGCGCGACTCTGAAGGCGTCTCTAGTTCCTCTGTCCCCAGCTAAATCAAAGGCAGGCTTCCCCTCCATGTTGACTACCGAAGGATCAGCTCCCGCTTTTGTTAGTAGCGCTAGCACAATTGCTGGGCTGTTGATAGAGGAAGCTAGATGCAGAGGCGTAGAGGCATGATGGTGTGCTTGGGTGGAGGGAGGGTAGAAAAGAAAGTGGGGGGAGAGCGAGTTGGTCACGAGGTAGGAAAGGAGAGCAGGCACTTTGGAGCGGCGAATCAGAGCCTGTAGCTGCGTAGTGTGGAGGCTGGCTGCTTCTTCTTCTCTTGAGGGCTTAGCTTTAGCTGGTAGAACAGGAGCTGTTGCTTGGGACGCTGCGCGGTCAGCCTCTAATTGTGCAGCAGCTGCTGCTGCCACAGCGAGAGCGGCTTCGTCAACCTCGCTGACTTTGACGCGAGTGATTTCGACGAATGCACGCATCAATTCGGCTTGTGTAGCACGTCTTGTGCTGAACGGGAACGTGCGATTCCTTGCATCGTTTTGCCGCAGAACTTGGTTCTCATAAGGCCCAAATAGTATACGCCGATTTGAGCTGCCAGTTGCACGGACGAAGATTAGTTGAGAGGCGCCAATTAGAACTTTCCATTCTGCTAAGAGCGCACGGATCTCTTGCTCTAGAGCAGCTTCATTGTATCGACGTAAAGAAGAGCCAGCAGAATGAGCAGCTCCTTTAGCGGAGTCGTTGGCAGACTGCGCGCCGCCTTGTTTGCGGCGAGTCGTATAGCGGTGGAAGGTCTTATGAGCGATCACGAGCGGTTGACGCTGTTCAATTCCTGTAGACTGTTTCCCGAGTTTGGGGGCGAGGGAGACGACCATGCCAGCAAAGTGACCGCCACCAATCATGCAGAGGAAGATTTGCGGACTGGTCATGGTGGAGGGGAGTGGTACACCGTTTGAGCCATCGGCAGGCGGAGGCTTTGCGGGGACAGATCGGAGTTGCTTTTTGCGAATAACGGCAACTGTATCAGGCTGTTCTTGTTCTGGATTTGTGAAGAGCGCTCTGTAGATGCCCAGAGAAATATTGGTTGGGAGTAGAGAGGTCGAGAACCATATCAGTGGAGGTTTGTCGGAGCCTCTTTTGCGCTTCTTGGGCATGAACTCTGCCTGTGAACTCGGATGGCCAAGCTTAGCTTGCTTCTTTAGCAATGCACTTAAGGTGCTCTCTTTTGCTCCCTCGCCATCAGCTTCAGACTCCGAGGACTCCGATCCCGACCCAGATATGCTCTCGTCCAACTCATCAACCAGCTTTTCGAACTCATTTTCCGAGACAGACTGTGCGCCTCTAACCTTCTGCTTCAGGTTGTAATTGTGCCAGTCCGATTTGACATGTAGGCGCTGCTCTTGTACATTTGAAAGGGACGTTCTGCAAAGCTGACACGTTGTCGAGAGCTTTGTTTCCCCGCCTGGGCTTCCTACATTATTTTCTGATGTGCATTTAGAGGGTTGTGGAGGATTTTCGATCGGAGGAGGTAAGACAGTGGGATCTTTGAGGTGGAGAGTCACGAGTAGCTCTTGGGGCAGGCCAAAGACTAACTACAGGGTCAGTGTCGATAAGCGGAAAGGACCGATCTTCCTACCATATAAGGGCTTTTTCAGCAGCTCTCCAGCGTTGTCAGACATTGTGTTTGAAATTTAATGCTACCGGGTGTGGTGTCAGGAATGTTGAGATTGAAAGGGAACTAGGGTTTCGGCTGTCCTACGAGTAAGGTAGCGCTCTAGTGTATCAGCATTTTGATGAAGAGTAAGTCACCTCTACATCTGTTGATGCAAAGAAAAAAAATCAATTGATGTGGAGGCTGCAACGATCAAAGTACCGCGAGAGGCGTGAGGATTGAAGGGTTGAAAACGTAGTGGTACGGTAGAGCTATCACCATACACTTTTTTATAGTATTACTGCCTGCTATGATCGCTAATGTGATCAGAATGTACCAACTTCCAAAGTCTATGCAAGCTGACAATAATTTGCTGGGAAGCTCCCGTGGACTCCATCAAGCTCCCCTTCCCACCAGTCATCCGTGCTCTCCGTCTTTTTGGTCACCTTTATTCGATCGCCTTCCCTGAAAACCAAATCACCATGTCCCTGACCTGCGAATTCGTACAGAGCTACCACCCAGATTCCTTGCGCCGAAGGAATCCTTTTGGGGGGAGGTGGTGGCGGCGGCTTTTTTTTCCCTGCTGCAATCGATGCCATAGCCATAGAAGAAGTGGATGGTAGCCGATCACGATTGAAGTAGTCCCCACGAGGACCGGCAGGGGCATGCATCGCTGTATCGCCTGGTGATGGACTCGCAACAGCTGATGAGGTGTAATTCGGTGTGGCTAAGCCCAGCGAGGTTTGTGAAGGAACGGATGATATCCTTGGTCGTGAATGCTCCCTGTATTCCGGTGAAGGTGGATCTGGCGAAGCACTCATCGCTGGAGATGGGGGCATCAGCGCGTTAGACTGGTTACCGCTCGGCCGTCGTGAAGCAGAGATACCATTGCGGATATTGGAACTGCTCATTGAGTTGTGGGGCTTGTCCTCTATGCGTGACTGACCAGGATGGCGTTGAGAGGATATGCCATTGCGAATGTTCAGGCCGGTCACTGACCCGTGTGGTTTTTCATCGATCTTCATCGACATCCGGACAGTCTTTCCTCCGGCAATGCAAGCTATGTTCTCGACCTCTTGTTTGACCGGTCGAAAGTCTACATCCCAAGTCGACATGATTGCATTCGCGGAAGGTGGAGGATCCGGGAAGCTCTCTCCGTCGCAGAAGTCATGTAAGAGTGTGTAGGACTGGGCAAGGAGTGTGTTTTGTGTCATGATCTGGGCTGCGAGGAGATGAGGGAGAATGGAGAATGCGGCGGTAACGACAGGCGGAAGACTAGTCTTGAGATGATCATCTGCAATTTGGTATTCCTGTGACTTGATTAGCATCATTCCTTCCATGAATTCGCTCAAAAGCCGAAGATAGAAAGTGTACAAGGACGGGTGAAGGACGGATGCTGGTGTAGGACACGTTCTAATACCAATTCAAGATAAACCTCAACGTACATCTTTCGCTCTGATCAACTCCGCCTCAGCCTTCTCGAGAGATGCATTATCTCGATCGGATCTTTTAGTCTTGCTCCTCCCTGTTTCGACTCGCTTTTGATACTTCTCGAAGTCCAGCTGCGCGATTTAGCGCTAGGATTGACCGATAAGGGGATAATGGTCCCCACCTTCTTATCTCCTCGCTTTCTGATGACTTTCTTCATTGGCTGAATGCAGTCTTTTGCTTCCGTCGCAGGCTTGATTATCCGTGTATCGACCATAGCCACCTCTTCAAGTAGATCTGTCCGGAGCTCATCATAAGACGTGTGAAACTTGATCGTCCTCTCCATTATATGATGGGGAGTAATCCCGGGCTCGTGTGCCGTATAATTCTCATCAGCCCCAACAATTGGAGAATACATGGTTTGGAAGCCGTGAGCGAGTCGTTGCTGTGTACCGAGAATATCCCTCCAAGAGTCTCTCCATGCTTTGGCCGCGTCAATGATCTGACGAATGAGTATCAGCATTCACATACAAGCTTGGACGACATTCTAACATACCTTGGCGAGCATTTTGTCAGCTTCATCAAAGTCATTGAGCAGTACAGCGACTTGGGTTTCATCCGCACTCCTCGGCAAGAACTTGCCAAATCGCCTTTGCATGCTCTGCATTTTGGTAGTTTTGAACGTGGCAAGGCGGACTTGTCTTGGACTTAATTGCGAAGTTTACATCGAATCTTCATAGAGAGGTCTCGGGAGCATAAAAGGTTACCAAGAAAAGAGGTGTCGTCGTTGATGTTGATGTTCCATCTGTTGAATTTCCTGGGGGTAAGCTTCAACGGTTCAACCCCACACAAGCCAGCCCTATCAGGTGGACAAACCCCGAGCCTCCTCGGATGCGAGCCATCTGACGCCGAGGCGCCTCCCTCGCGCGCTACGCATGATAATCGATATTTGATCATTTGATGTTTGATTTCGACAATCATTTCTTGTGTCCTGTGTCGTTTAGCAAGAGCACTGAATTGACCTTTGTATTGCGCTTAAGAGCAGCTTCTCTGTTTTTGGGGTACGCCAAGGCCCCGAAAGCTTTCACTACGACTTTGCACCGCTCTCCACATAACCCTTCCATAGGATGGCGATTCTGTGCGGGCATACTTATAGTGCTAGGTTCATGGAAGCAAAATTGAATTCACCAATGATTTTTCTTCCCTCAATCCCAAACATAAGCTGGACACGGGCGTTTGGTCGGCAATTTGGGGATATCAGAAAAGGCCCTTGTGGCCCGCGTGAACCCCTCAGCCCTGACAGCGGAGATTCTCACGAAGCATAGTTGCCGTTTACCCCCACTGCGTCCAATGCCGGTGGATAAGCGTTCCCAGGTTACCTTGATTTGATCCCTGTAGAATGATTAACGGATACAATGTCACAATTTACTGTCCTCATAGACAGGGTATGGCATCCGGCGCGGGAGGAACATTTACCATTTACCGTATCGCTTACACAATGGCCATTAAAACGTGCTTGAGCTGGAAGCACGTGCCATAATACACTACCTTACCTCCCGCAGTATTCAGCGAAGCTACCAAGCCCCAGAGGACGAATGCTACCTAATACAAAGTAGAAAATGTGCAGCCGGGCAACCTCGGGCTTGGCCAGGGCTGCACACTGAAAGTCCGACCTTCTCCGTTCTCCGACCTGCATACGAGTAATGCATTGAACGCAGAGCAATTCTCCGATTCAGCAAATAAAAGGGAGATGGCCCCTGCCCCTAAATCATTCGTGTATAAGATGGTTTCGATTGTCGAAATGAGTGCCGAAGCGCTACCTGCCAGGACAAAATTGAAGAGAATGACCACAAAAGATAGAGGCAGATTTGTGCAAGGAACTAATGTCAAACTGAGTTCGTGTACCCACAAGGAGTCGGGAATGGTTACGTATGTCAGTATCTGGCCGCTATTCGTGGCTTGCAAACCTGTTTGCCATATGACCGACTGTTGCTCGGGCAGCAGGAGGAGAGATATCCAAGGCGCTCATAGCCTCACCCAGACAACGGCACCGGCAGTGGTTAAATTGATTGCGCTTCTTCCTTGGCGCCCCCATCAAAAAAAATCGGCACACAATATCACCGACGCCATGCCTCTTTGTGGCTTTCCTGTCAAAGCTGACGCTGACAATTCATGGACTTTTGGTTGGTGCAAGAAGGGCAATATGCAGGAACCTTGCAAGATTGCTCTCAATTGGGGGGTGAGAGTAGTAGGAATGCACCCCAGAGTGATGAATCGCGAAAAGGGTAGGAAAAGTATCTTTCAGACCCACTTTATGCAGCGAGAGGCAAGGCCGGGGATGATTCGAGTGATGCGAGTTTCGATCTTATCTATTTGAAACCATCGGCGCCACCCGTGTGATAGAAAGCGCTGAGGGAGCAGGATAAGATTACAGTACCAGAGGGGTAACGCCGCAACGGGTGACAGGATAGCTAGGGAATAACTATTGTTTTTATTATTATTATCATTATTATTATAGCCGTTGGAATGAATCGATCGCTGAATGGCTGATAAGTGAAAATACCAGAATACAAGAATACAAGAATAAAGTATTATCGAAAGTATTTTCAGAGTGGCAAGAGGGGACGTCTCAAAGGAGTCAAGACTCAGCTGAGACGGGTGCTGTTCAAATTGATAGCGGTCCATAGCGTTCAATTTCAACGCCCCTTCCGGGAACCTTAATTGAACCTTGCCCTAGCTGCGCAAGCTTGGCGCAGCTGAGCATCGGTCATTGTCGGCCAATAAAACCGTCGCCAGTATGACCACCACACAATTTCCCTTTCTTACTCCTTCCAGTCCATACCTATTCCCATACCTAGCTATCTGAAGTCTCAACTCTACGGTACCTGTGCTTACCCATCATTCCCAAAACCCATTCATTCCAAATATACACTTTTAGAATCTTCCACCCCTTCTGGTCTTCTGGTCTTCTGGTCTTCTGGAACAGGAGATCCCCCCCAGCGGTTATTCTAAGGGCGTGCAAAAAGTAGTCTCTTTCACTCCCCCATCCACTCGTCACACACTACGTCCCCACCAATTGACCAGCCTATCACCACTCCCCAAACCGCCCACGGTCACTCATCTCCCCTGCCCCACTGCTGCTTCTTCCTTTCCAGTAATGATGAGGACCTGTATTGAATCTTGTCTTTAGGCAGCGTGCATAAATCATACCGAGCTTTCTATGTGCTGTCGATCAACCGCACTCAAAGCTTCATGATCTGCCGGAAGCCAAGATATGCGGATAACATGGCGGAAGCTCCCATCAGAGAAAAGAAAGCTCAAACCCCAAGGCAGGTCTAGGCGGCAGGGACAAAGCGTTGGGACTGGTAAACATGCGCGATGACGCATCTTGCCTCTTGCCCTCCGCGCTCGGTACAGGGTCCAGCACGCAGAGTACCTGGGTCTCGGCCACCAATAATAGCAAGGTACCGGGATGAATACTGACGATCAAAATGTCTGATTCAGGACACTCGATGCAGAAAATAAGTGATCCGGCAGCTAGCCGTCCGCAGGTCATATCCCTAGAGCAGCCATTCGATGTCACTCCGATGGCGGTTGATGAGGACAAATATTTTCTTCCCCAAGCACATGTGTTGGGCACATCGTTGTCACTTCCTTCTGCTAACCTTCTACCTTCAGTTAGTACACCCTACGAACTCGATGTGCTTGAGCACCTGTGGCGAGTAGGAGGTACAATGGTACATGCCATTCGGAGATTAATATTTAATCAAACAATGCCTTTGAACTTCCTCCCTGAAACCCTTGCTGTCCCTTTCTCATCTCTTTGTCCCCCCACCCCCCCCCCAACCTCCCCCCCACCTCTGAAAATCTCTGTGTGTCAATAAAGTGCTTGCCCTCCCTATTCCTGCTCATGAAGAGTCAGAGTGAGCCCTGTGTCACCTTCTCTTTTGCCTGAGTCAAGATGTTTGAAGCATCTTGCATACGGCCATTGGCCGTCATAGTGGCACTTCTTACCGGTGCTTCGCTATGCATACAGTACGATCCGGAACAAGTGCTATGGAATCTCAACCAAAATCAGACAGCTACCAACGTCACGGACTACTGGGGCCAGTGGGAGAATCACAGTAAGGACAAGGCCTTTTCAAGCTATGTCTTCGCTGACCCTTTCTTAGCATATACTCCCTCACCAGACAACTGGAGATTCCCCTTCTACACTCTCATGCTCGATCGATTTGTGAACGGTGATCCTACAAATGACAATATCAATGGCACCGCTTGGGAACATGACCTGACGGGCACACAATTGAGGCATGGAGGGGACATCCAAGGCCTCGTAGACACGCTGGACTACGTCGCCGGCATGGGGATCAAGGCCGTCTACTTCGCCGGAAGTCCCATGATAAACTTCCCTTGGGGCTCAGATGGGTTCAGTCCGCTTGATCTGACCCTCCTGGACGCTCACTTTGCCACCATCGACATCTGGCGGCGATGCATCGACGAGATGCATGCTCGGGGAATGTATGTCTTGATTGACAATACATTCGGTACGCTAGGAGACTTGATAGGGTTCGAGGGGAACTTGAACGTCTCCACGCCCCTCAACTACGGAGAATGGAACGCACAATGGAAGACATCAAGGAGATACCATGATTTTGATTTCGACAACACTGAGCTGTAAGATCACTGCTACGGAATTGCTGTCCGGGATCCCTATGCTAAAACAATTTGCAGCGATATTTGTGACGTCGAATATCCTCGTTGGTATAATGATTACGGGGAACAAGTCACGGGCAACGGCAGCGAATACCTTGTTGGTTGCCGCGATAGCGAATTCGATCAGTACGGAGATATTGCGGCCTTTGACATATATCCCGAATGGCAGCGACAGATTTCCAAATTCGCATCGGTCCAAGACCGCTTGCGGGAGTGGAAGCCTTCCGTCCTGACGAAGATCGAGCATCTATCTTGTCTTCAAATCGCTAGTAAGTTACTGTTCTAGCATTACGGAAGTCGTTGCTAATGCAACACACTCCTAGTGTTGGACATCGATGGCTTCAGGATTGACAAAGGCCAGCAAGTTACGGTTGACGCGGCGGGACACTGGTCAAACTCCATTCGCGCATGCGCTTCCTCTTTGGGAAGGAGAATTTTTTCATACCAGTACGTGATCCCGTGTGGTCACAACAGCTTGGTCGCTAACTCTTCGAACCAGGGCGAAATTGTTTCAGGCAATGCTTTTGGGGCTGTCTACCTAGGCCGTGGCAAAGAACCATCTATGGCCTTGAACGATACCACCAAAGCTGTCCAGCTGACGACGGAGACAGCAGACGATTCGCTCTTCATTCGCGACGCGGGCCAAAACGCATTCGATGCTGCTTGCTTCCATTACTCAACCTACAGATCACTCATGAGGATTTTGGGAATGGATGGTAACCTCTTTGCAACAGGAGAATCGCCTACAGATTTCATCGTCGCTTGGAAGACTTTCATTCAGACAAATGATATGATCAACGCGAACACCGGCAAATTTGACCCAAGGCACATGTATGGTTCGCAAAACCAGGATAATTTCAGATGGCCGACTATTGTCAATGGCACCCAAAGGCAGATTCTTGGCAACTTCATTACCACGTTGCTCTTGCCTGGTATCCCGTTGCTCGAATGGGGCGAAGAACAAGCCTACTACGTCATGGATAACACCGCGAACAATTATGTGTTTGGTAGGCAACCTATGTCCTCGGCCACAGCGTGGCAGGACCACGGATGTTATAGCGTGGGCAATGCGAAATTCGAAAATTGGCCGCCTGGCAATTATACGAACGGCTGCAAGGATGATTGGAACAGCCTTGACCATCGAGATCCGTCCCATCCGATCCGCAATCTTATCACCACCATGTACGAGATGCGACAAAGATACCCTGTTCTCACCGACGGATTCTACCTTGAAACTATATCACTGCAGACTCATCCAATATACCTACCTGGCTCTTTCGGCACACCTACGGAAACTGGCCTCTGGTCTGTCCGACGTTCCGGATGGCCGAATGTTCAGGACTTCACTACCGAAGGACAAAAACTTCAGGATGTGTGGCTCCTATTCTCCAACGAAGGCACCGAGGTTCCATACATCTTTGACTGCAGTAACAACGCTACAGGCTTACTAGCTCCCTATGCCAATGGCACTACGGTCAAAAATCTATTCTATCCCTACGATGAAGTCAAGCTGGGTTCAACACCGGAATACCTCGAATTGGATAACGCTACAGAAGTCAATGGGTGCGTTGGAGAAATGACTATGGATGCATATGGCTTCAAGGCCTACGTACCCATCGCTCAATGGCTACGGCCCTCCCCAGTCGTCACCAAATTCAATCCCGGGCACGATGCCCGGCTCTTGTCGAACCAGACTGTCCCGATCGAGCTATACTTCTCAGACGAGATGGATTGCTCGAACATGCAAAATGCGATTACCATCACCTCCACAACCGAAGATGGTTCGGTCGCATCGATTGACAACAGCAGCGTCTCATGCCAAATGGTCAACGACACCACCGCCAGAGTGTCCCAGTACACGGGCACGGTGACCTCTCAGATCCCGGCTGTATGGAGAATTGCTGGGAATCTGTTGAATGTCTCCGACGGGGTACACCAAGTCAACATAGCCAACGCCACCACCGCTGTTGGGAACACTTCCACAAATGCTGTCCATCATTTTCTTCTGCGTGTCGGGCATATCGACAATCCCATGGTATTCACGCGAACTGCCAACTACTCCAATTCCTTGCTACATAAGGACACAAACGGCGCTCTCTACATATCGCACAAGGCCGCTGGTGCTGACTTGTTCCGCTATTCGACGAATTGGCAATCCAGCTGGAGCGAATGGCTGCCGTACAAAGGAGGAAACACGACTATCGAGAAGCAGCCTTGGTCTGGAACCAAAGCACAAGCATGGACAGGCGACCATCTCACGGTGGAATACTGGAGTCAGAAGACTGGCTCGAGTAACCACCAACAGCAAGGCGACCTTGTCGGTAGCAATGAGAAAGCTCGAAGATATCCTCACTTTTTTATGCACGGTGCCTTCAACCAGTACGGCTACGACTCAGGACTTTCGCAGACGATGGTACAAAACAGCTCGGGCCTGTGGGAGTGGGACTTCATGACCGAATGGCCAAACGACTTTCAAGTCAGTGTTTGGGGCGCAGACCCTAGTGGCCAACCTGATCTCACACGAGCTTTTGGAGATGTTGACGGAGACGGAGTTTTGGACCTACTATCTCCAGTGTCTCTGCTCAAAAATGTTGTGGAAATCACCGACTATCCTCCTTCGCCGCACGTTGCATACCGGGTTGGTGTGAACGACGCCGACCTCCGTTATACTGTGACGCCTATTGGTTCACGGGCAAGGCAAGCCGTAATCTACTGCCTCCTCGTTGCGATACCCATCCTCACGAGCTGTCTCGGTGTGTGGATGTACTTGTGGGTCTTTTATGATGTTAAACTCAACAAAGTCGGCAGGTCCGAGAAAATGGGCATCCTTCCAATTGCCATGAGAGAGAAAATGCAAGGCCATCTCTCAAAACTCCCAGATAACGCCTCGGCATTCTTTAAAAAGCCGAACAGTGAACAGCCCAGTATTATGGTCAACGCAAGTCGGAAGACCATATTGATCGCAACCATGGAGTATGACATCGATGACTGGGATATCAAGATCAAAATCGGTGGCCTAGGAGTCATGGCTCAGACAATGGGCAAGCATCTCGAACATCAAGATTTGATCTGGGTGGTCCCTTGCGTACAGGGGATAGACTATCCTGTGGATCAACGTGCGAAGCCGATGACAATAACCGTCCTCGAACAAGAGTATAATGTCGAAGTGCAATATCACCACCTGAGGAACATCACTTATGTCCTATTGGATGCGCCTGTCTTTCGCCAGCAAACGAAAGCGGATCCCTACCCGGCACGAATGGACGACATCGACAGTGCTGTATACTATTCAGCCTGGAACCAATGTATCGCGGAGGCGATGCGCCGCTTTCCCATCGACCTTTACCACATCAACGACTACCATGGCGCTGTCGCGCCCCTGCACTTGCTTCCACGTGTCATCCCTTGCTGCTTGTCTCTCCATAACGCTGAATTCCAGGGTTTATGGCCCGTGCGGACTCCATCGGAGTTCGACGAAGTCTGCAAAATCTACAATCTTAGGCCTGAGGTCGTCAGCGATTATGTTCAATTTGGCGAGGTATTCAATCTCCTCCATGCCGGTGCAAGCTACCTGCGTGTATGGCAGAAAGGATATGGTGCTGCCGGTGTGTCTGAGAAGTATGGCAAACGGTCCTTCGCAAGGTATCCGATCCTATGGGGCCTTGACAAGGTGGGAAGTCTGCCGAATCCGGACCCCACCGATACCGAAGGCTGGGATAAACAACTTCCAGATATCAAAAGTATTACTGTGGATGAGACGTTCGAAACCAGCAGAGGTGCTCTCAAGCGCCAGGCTCAAGAATGGGCAAATCTGGCAACCGACCCTGACGCAGAATTGTTTGTATTCGTTGGCCGGTGGTCGGTCCAAAAGGGAGTCGACCTTATTGCTGATGTGTTTCCGGCCATCCTGGAAGATCATTCACATGTACAACTCATCTGCATAGGACCAGTCATTGATTTACATGGAAAATTCGCGGCCTTAAAGCTGGCCAGATTGATGGAGTTATACCCGGACCGAGTGTTCTCCAAGCCAGAGTTCACTGCACTTCCACCGTTCATCTTTAGTGGTGCCGAGTTCGCTCTCATACCTTCACGCGACGAGCCATTCGGATTAGTCGCGGTAGAGTTTGGTCGGAAGGGAGCACTTGGTGTTGGCGCCAGGGTCGGTGGTTTAGGGAACATGCCTGGGTAAGTGCCCTCTCGTATATCCCATTATCTTCGTCTGTGCTACTCGGTCAACAATATGTCAGAGAGCATCCGTTACTTTGAGGAAATAGGTTGCCTGTCGTCGCTCTACTGTGGAGTCATACTGACAAGACCCTGTCATAGATGGTGGTACACTATTGAATCAACTACCAGCAAGCATTTGATCAGCCAGTTCAAAATGGCAATAGAAGGTGCCTTGGCTTCGAAAAAAAGTGTACGGGCTACGATGCGAGCACGATCAGCAAAACAGCGATTCCCAATTGCACAGTGGCAGGAAGATCTGAGCATTATGCAAGATACGGCGATCAGATTGAATCAGAAAGCAGCATTTAAGCAGAGAGACAAGATCGCACGTTACTCGGGCACAGTGTCCGGCGTGTCTACACCATCTCGTATCCTCAGAGGACAATGGAGCATGCCAAGTACAGCACCACACAGTCCATTTCCTAGTGCACTTCCTAGTGGGACAACAACTCGCGCTACGAGTCCAGTCAGGGAAGCCAAAAGTGGCCCACTTTCACTAGGGTTGAGGTTCGGACCAGGTCATGTCCCAACACGCGATATACGAAAACGCAACCGACTTAGCAAATCACGGGCCGGGTCCAGACCTCCCTCCATTGGCCCTCGATCAGGCAGAAGTACTTCTGCGAACACTGCTGCTAACACGGCCACAAACACTGCCGTAAACAGTCGAGTTGGCAGTCGGACTTCCAGTCCCGCGGGTATGGGGCGCTTCAGACTTAGAAGCAGAAGCAGGGTTCCAGACGAACATACAATCTCGATGGCCGAACACGCTCCAGACATGCCTCCTTTGCCTGAGGATTTGACGTCAGCAGGTGGCCGCAAAGTGTCCCGATTCACCGAAGGCGCGCACGGAGATATAGTGACGATTCCCAACGACCAGCCCAGTCAAGGCGATATTGGCAGGTTCGACTTTGCGAACCCAGATGGCAATAGCGCACAACGTCGAATCATGAGTGGAGGGAACACGCCTCGTGGAGCTAGGACGCCCCGTGCGAACAGCACTCGGCGTAACAGTATGAGCGGAGACGACTACGAGACCGACCTGACCGACGTGGATGAAAGAAACGTGGACGAGTACCTCCTGAGCCCCGAAGAGCAGGAATCCAGTCGGAGAGATCGCAGATTGGCGCGACTCAAGTTGTCTTTCGCAGCTCATCAAGCCGGCCATGCGCCGGATGGCGGAGCTTCCCTACAGATACCGACGCTTGCGTCTCGGCCAGCTTCGCCGGGTTCTACCAGCTCTTCAAATTCTTCGCCACCTGGTACGCCCCGACCTGAGCAATTCCTTATCGAGTCGGGCTCTGGCAGCAGTTCATCAGGAAATCCTGAGGAAACTCCTCTCGCACCTTCGTCCAACTACCTGAGTCTCGGTTCAGTCTTGCAGGGCAAGAAGGATTACAAGCTTCAGAGTGTGGAACCATTTTTCACTGATCCTACCGGACTATACTATAATGCATTCGAAAAGAAGCTTGAGAAACTGAATGGAAAATCGTCTGAAGGACCTCTTTGTATCGAAGATTACCTGACCTCAAGCGAGAAAGATTGGTTCAGTAGATTCCGAAATGTCAAGATGGGCAAATCGGCGGCAGCATCCCCAGCTTCGTCCGTCTTCCGACTCCCGCTCATTAACGAGAGAATGGTCCCCTCTGCCGTTACCTCGACTGCGGAATTGGAACATTTTGATGCACACAACAACGCGCACGGGCAATACCTCCTGAATGATGATTATAAACCTCCTACACGAATTAAGAAGTTTCTTCTCAGGAGAATTGGCGAGTGGCCTGTGTACTCCTTTTTGCTTGCATTCGTAAGTCAATCTCTCTACTCTCCTAATGAGCTCCGGCTGATCTCTTCGACCAGGGTCAAATCATCGCGGCGAATTCCTATCAGATTACCCTCCTCACAGGTGAGGTTGGTCAGGCAGCAGAAAAGCTCTACATCATCGCTTCCATATATCTTGCTTCCTCAATCCTTTGGTGGACCTTATTCCGCACATGCAAGTCCGTCTATGTTCTTGCTACACCATTTGCCTTCTACGGGCTGGCCTTTTTCCTCCTAGGATTAGCACCATGTGCTAAAACGGCAGTCAGCCGCGGTTGGGTACAGAATGTCGCAACAGCATTCTACGCCATGGCTTCCTCAAGCGGCGCTTTCTTCTTCTCCCTCAACTTCGGCAGCGAAGGTCCGTACCGCTCTCCGGGCCCCCAAACCATTCCGTCACTAACAAAATTCTAGGCAGCGTCCCAGTAGCAACATGGGCCTTCCGGGCTTGCGTCATCCAAGGATCTCAACAAATCTACGTCGTCTTCCTCTGGTTTTGGGGCTCCCAATTAACAAACCAGACCGTCAACGGCATAGTGTCGGCAAACCTCGCCATCTACGGCCCTCTGTTGACCGCGATCGCTACACCCATCGCTATCCTACTCTGGGTCATCGGCATCGCCTTATTCCTTGGTCTCCCTGATTACTATCGTCAAGCGCCAGGCCAGATTCCCAGTTTCTACAAATCGGTAATGCGCCGCAAGATTGTGCTTTGGTTCTTCGTTACCGTTCTCATCCAGAACTTCTTCCTGTCCGCACCATACGGACGGAACTGGCGATACCTTTGGAGCTCCGCTCATGCACCAACGTGGATGGTCGTTCTGCTCGTCTTCGGATTCTTCGTGGGTGTTTGGGCTCTCTTGCTCGGTATTTTCTCAAGAGCTTCGCTGCGCCATTCGTGGATTCTACCCATGTTCGCCGTCGGTCTCGGCGCACCCCGCTGGTGTCAGATGCTGTGGGCTACTTCCGGCATGGGGTCCTGGGTACCTTGGGCTGGCTCACCACTCGCCGGTGCTCTAGCAGGCAGGTCTCTCTGGCTGTGGCTCGGAACCCTTGACGCCATCCAAGGCGTCGGCTTCGGCATGATCCTCCTCCAGACGCTGACCCGATTCCACGTCGTGTTCGCCTTGGTGTGCGCCCAAGTCCTGGGCTCCGTCGCCACCATCGTCGCCCGCGCCTGCGCTCCCGACGCCACCGGTCCCGGCCCCATCTTCCCCAATCTGGCCACGAGTCTGCACGGTCTCCGGGAAGCATGGTTCTGGGTCGGATTGATCGCGCAAATCATCGTGTGCGCGGGCTTCTTCCGCTGGTTCAGGAAGGAGCAGTTGACGAAGCCTTGAGGGGGGCTTCGTGGGATACGGGGGTGGGAAGGCCCCAGGAGTTCGGACGGCATTTGTGGGGAGATCTTCGACGGGGCTCTGAGGGTGCACACGGAGGATGGATGGAATAGTCGGCGAAGTACAGACGTGGGAGGGGAAACAAATTGTTGGTCGAGGTGGCGTCCGGATGTATAGCCGGGGATGGCGTTGGATGTAGATAACTTCAGTTCGTGCGTTTACTTTGAACAAGACACAGAACATACTTCAATTAGAGAAACAGAAGCAATTCACAGGCAATCCGTCCGCCATGATCACAGGAGACTGTAGCTACGATATAAATACAAAGCTTGATTGATAAGCATCGCTGCAACTACAACAGCAACGGCAAGAACGGCTCCAAGAAGCTCTGACCGTAGGTAAAACCAAAGCATCCGGCCCCAGCTCACCAGCTCTCCCACTTCTGCCCGCCCATAGCCACCAGCCGATTGAACAGCTCCTCCCTCAGCCGTACCGCCGTAACCTTGTGCGTTTCCCCCCTCTTGTCCACAACCTCCAGCCCATCCGCCACCGTCTTGCCCGTCGCCCACCCGACGACGATTTTCGCCTTCCAGCCCAACCCGCCCACTTTCTTCAATTCTCGGATGTCCGCGATCGGCACCGAGAACTTCGCCGATGCCTTTTCGGGCTCCAGACCGGTGCCGTCGGAGGACTTGGTGGAGAAGGAGACGGTAGGGATACCGACGTTGGTGGAGATGTATATCCAGCCTTTGTTGCCCTTGTAGCGTCCCTTGAAGTCGACGGGACCAGACAGTTCGGGGTCGTCGGTTTTTGGGAGGACGCCGAGGTGGTCTTTAGCGTGCCGAGAGCCAACGACAGCGCGTGCTTTGTCGATGCCGAATTTAGCCCCTACGCCCGTTTTAGTGGTGCCTTTGAAGAAACCGAGGATGTGTTGGCCGTGTTTGTGTTTCTTCTTCTCTCCTTCGTGATGCTCATCTTGCTGTTCGGCGGCTTTTTGGTCGGCGTCTTTGTGTATTGCCTCGTGAATTTCTTCGTTTGAGGCATCGAGGGCCAGATCGTCTCCGTTTATGGAAGCGGGCTTGGAGGATGGAGGTTGGTCTGAGCGAGGAGGTGGGGGAATCGGAGCTTTGTTCGCTTCGCCGATACGGAGGAGGGTGATTGTGAGCTGGGCATTTGTCGGGACGCCTTTGAGGATTGTGCTAGGACGTTTAAGCTAGCTAATTGGGAAAAAGGGATGCTTTTTTTTGGACTTACTTTCTGATCTCAAGCAACTTCTGCCAGTGCGGGAAAGTCTTATTCAGTAAATCGAGACCACGCCAGATGAGTGGATCACCAAAGAAACCAAAGCCGATACCCGCGGTGGTCATTTTCATGAACATGGCAGAGGTGGTGAGCATCCCAACAGCGACAGCCGGAACTAGGATGCCGGCTAACTTGAGTCTAGGCGTCTCCTGGGGGAAGGGAGGAGTGGGTGATAGGGCGCTACGACATCGGTCAGCATCTACACCGGACATCCCCAACATCTGGTTAGTGAACTTACTTTGCGAATCTCTCCCAACCATCTGCAACATCACCAATGACATGCATAACCGGCCTCATCTTCAACCACATCGCCTGCTCCATCGGCTGCTTCGTCTTGTCGTGATGAGCCTGCGGTTGGTTTCCTTGCGCACTTTGCTTGGCCGCCGCTGCGTCCGAGGCAATGTTGGTTGGATCAGGGACCGAATCATTCAACGGGTCTGAGTCCGGATCGCCTTGGTCGTGTTTGCCTGCCGCGCTGCTGAGGGCGATGGATCCGATGCCAGAGACGAAATTGTGCGCTTCTTGCTCGACTGCCTCTCCCTTGTGTTTCTCAGGTGCCCCAGTGGCGCTATCCTTACTGCCTAGCATGCCAGCTTGAGGAGTTTGGACACCTCCAGTCTTTGAATTGACCAAAGCCATAGGAACAGGAGGAAATAAGAATGGGCGCGACGGCGGGTATGCGATGAGGACAATCATAGTCGTAAACAACAAGGGCATCAGGAAGTTGAAAGCCCAAGCAATGGCGTAAGCCTGCAATACGCATCAACCACTATTCCATTAGCCAAAAGCAGAAAATTGGAAAACTCACCGCGCAAAACCCAGCGGTCCTCCTCGGCTCTCTCCAGCTCCTCAAGCGTGCAATATGTTTCCCAAACCCCATCATCCCAATGATCACAGTCATATACAGCCTCTCAACATTACTCCTCAGCTTATCCGGACTGAACTCATCCTCGTCCACAATATTCAAATCCAAGCCCCCCAACAAGGGATCATTCGTGGCCTTGACATGATACATTTGCTTATTGAACCGACGCACTAGCGTCCAGAGCTCTTCATTCGGCAGCTTAGCCACCAGAGGCGAGGGCACATTTGTCGGATGGTCATTCCAACCCATATCGCGAACCTCGCCCGCTTCGTGGTTCTGCTGGACGGCACCTTTGATATCGTGATCAGCACTTTCTATGGCGAGCGCATGGCTGTCGCTGGGGGCGTTCGAGGCAGACGCACTCGATGATGTGGGTGTATTTACGACGGTGCCATTGTTGGGGCTGCTGGAGGTGGTGGAGGTACGCGTTGTGGGTTCCATGTTTGGCTGGGCGCCCGGGGTGTGATTGGCCTCATGTTGGGGGTGCTTGAGGTCGGAGTCTGGAATAGGGCCTCCATCCTTGAATACATAACCTGGCATGGGCATGGTGAGGGCGATAACGTGGATGGCCACGTCCAATAGTGATATATATTCAGGACGATGGGATGCGAAGGGAATGTTGACCAAGGGGGACGTGGAGATTGGCCTGCTAAAACCCGGAGGGAAAAACTAGTGTGACGTCATTGGGTTCTTCAGTCCTATTAATAGAAATAGAACTGTAAGGTGATATTGTCTTATTGTTTGTCACATGAACACTTCTACCTCATGACTCTGTATACTTCATCTGATTTATGTACACGTAACATGAACCAAAGTCATCATCACTCCCTCTTTTTCCCCCTTTTTCCCCCAGTGGATTTTGCAGTGAGCTGGGCGAGTCAACGCCAAGCGCCTTGCTTTTCGTTATAGAAAGCCTCCTTTGAAACCCACAAGTCCATGTGAACCGTAGTCATACTTGCAGCACGAGCCATCCAATCTCAACCTCTATCATCATGGTCCTTCACTGTCTCTGAATGCAGTCCCATTCATACACTCGTCCATCGTCATCTCCTGTGTACACCTTTTGCGCCATCGGCAAAATTGAAGTGATAGTTGTGCCAATGTTGTAGCCCGCGTGGTCCAAATGATGCATGCGCTTCACATGTTCGAGAATGAAAGCACCGCTGGAAATGGCAATTGCCCACACCTGGGGCATGATCAGCCGGCAGAATCTCGACAGGAAAAGAAGAGGAGGGAGGCTTACATTCACGACCCCTTTCTTATGACCTGTAAAGATGAGGTTGCGCTCAAGGTACTCATTCCCAGATCCTTCATAAAAAGCACAAGAGGAGATGGTGTCGTCGCCTTCAACGTAGATGTTTTGCTCCAGTATAGGATCGCCATTGAGTGTCCACAATGATACTTCTGGCCCTCGGCAAAGCATGATGACGCCTGTTACATCGTTGATACAAGCACACTGCATATTCGTTAGCTTCTCCACGCTCTCAAATGTGTGAGAGTAACCCACCTCGACTGGCTTGCCCGTCGTTAATCTGCGGACAAGCTCCAGGCGATTGAGGTCCCAAAGCAACACTTGGCCATCCGAAGAAGCAGAGAGCAAAGCACTGAAAGAACGTGACACTGCTAATGTCGTGACAGCAGACCGATGTCCAAACAACGTAATCTTTGGCTGGAGGTCAACAGAATTGGGAGTGATAAGCAGTGTCCAGACAGATATTGTACAGTCTGAACCTGCCGTCACTAGGGTCTTGGAATCTCCAAACAGCACGAACGTCAGCTGTCCTTGATGGACGTGCTCGGACAGGCCGACGAGCTGTAGCATGTCAGTAGTCTTCTGACAGTTTGCTATGAGGCTCGGTACCTTTTTCGTGTCAGCAGCATAGAATCTGACGCTTCCGTCAATGAAACCCCATTCCATGTACTTTTCATAAGCTGGGCCAATGTTGAGCCGGAAAGGTGCTGAGCTAATGAGCCTCTCGTGCTTCGACGAGTATTGTAGGTACGCGATACGGTCATGAGTTTCTGTGGGGGCATTGTTTAATTAGGGGGGACAGGATAATCCTCTTCGATGACGTACCTATTAGAGGAAATGGCAGACGAGTCAGACCCTCGGCTGCAGTATCCAACCGCTTCACCTTGTACTTCGAGTCCTCCCGGGCTGGATGAGTCCGCTGAAACACTTGGTGTGGAGTCTGACCGAAGTTGTGGATGATGCCTATGGTCGCCAACCTCTCCACCGGATCGTCGATGGTGTCAAGGTCTTTGGCGCCATGATAAGACAAATGTTGGAACACATTCGTTGCCTCTAGAGCAGCTTCCCCGCGTTGCTTCTGTCCAAAGACCAGGTCAATCCATTGATGCAGATGCCGACTTACATGCTCGCTTTCTAAAGCTTCTCGGTGCTTCGCAATAAATATCTTCGGATCACCTTTAGCCCAAGGCGGGAGCTCTACAATGTCAATTGCAGCACCACCCTGGCGAGAGCCAAAGTCGTAATTGTTGTGGTTCAGCAAGAACTCAGGCAGATAGAAAAATTCGGGAATCAACTCTCTAACATCGGTCATGTTCTCCCGTGAGGCTGAGGACCAGGCTCTTTCCATCGAGTAGAACAATCGATCTGGATGATCAAAGCTGCCACCTTGCAATAGAAGGTATGAGTGTACAAATGGCTGCAGGCGGATGAGATACGATGTCACGATCATTGCGGAGGAATAGTGAGTGCCATAATGGAAGGGTGGCGATCTCTCATCGCCCATTTCCGCGAAAGACTGATAACGGTCTCTGAATTCGGCTTGCCTCTCTGGATCTTGGCACCCCATGGGTTTGGTCAGATCACGGAAAGTGCGAGTATTGGTAAGGTCAAGTTCCTCGCTTGTATAATCTGCGAGTACCCAAGGGAAGACTGGATATTGCGTTAGATCGTTGAAGGTACGCCCGGCCATAGTATTAACGAGCATGAGGTAGTGAAAATTGGAGATTTCACCCCTCATCCATTTGCGAGTCGCTGGATTTGCATTGTTCTGAGCAAAAACGCTTGTGAACCTGGAACCAAACGTCTGTACCTCATCGCCTTGGTTCTTGACCGATTCGATTCTCCACGAGTCCTCGCCAATCGCAGGGTCAGCAGCGTGGGTAGCCTTGCCAAGAAGCTTCTGATATAGCTCATTCCGTAGGTTTGGAGTATTGGTTGTTAGCAAATAGCTCCGTCCATCTACGAAGAAGACCTCTATGGCTACATCACGGAAAAGAAAGCGTCTTTTAGAGATGCTGAGAACATCCTCCCAGCGCCAGCTTCGCGTTTCGTAGTCTGTCTTCATAGATGGCGTAGGGCCATCACCAGCCTCTCGTCCTGATATCATTTGCACGTATGCATCACGTTCTTCCCGGGGAGCCTGCCAGACATTCACTACCTCGCCATCGGAACGTTGGAAAAGATTATCAAGCAGGTACAGGTGTCCTTTTCCAAGGATGAGGAGGCCCTCCACTGCCTCCAGTCCAACGATCCTGGATACGTTGTGAACCTGTTCGACTTGATCGCCTCGCTGAAGACTGCGCATGACCTTCCGGTTCTTATCCTCATAATCTTCCGACCCATCTCGCGGATCATCTACCATTTCAAAACCATCATCGGCGTCCACTTCATTCTCTTGGTCGTCTGATGGTTTGGCGGGAGTCTCAGCGTTGTGTATTAGGCCAGTCTGTGCGTCGAGTGCATTCGATAGGGTGTGCGATTGATTTGGCAACGGAGGAATGTCTCTGACCAGTGCCTGGGTTCTGGCAACACTGCTGCGCCGGCGCTTTGTAGACCCCTGAGACCGACTCCGCTTCGGTTGATAATCGTGCAAATGGGCGTCTTTGTCAGTAATGAAGCGCATCCTCATCCTGTTCCGCCCTTCTGTTTGATCAAGCTGCCATTTTGGACTGATCATACTATCGAAGACACCGCAAGGTCGGCGAAGCTCCAGGTTCATCTTTGCCCATATCGCTGCATTGAATACTTGGCTGTCTTGCTGGTCTTGCAGAGCACGTTGTCGCTTGAGATGCTCCGCAGCGTAGATGTTCGATCGCCAGTGATCGGTTCCCGTCTCGTGATGTCTGAGAATCTCATCGGTTGAAGCATTTTCTGATGCCCAAAGCTTCAGTTTCTCCCTCCTCTTGCTGACTCTTGCCCTCGCTGTGTCCTCAGTCCTGCGATTCTCCTCGCCAACGAAAGATTCCCACGACTTTGACAACGCGGCAAATAAGGCGTTGTCTAGACCCTCGCGATGATCGTCCACCCAGCCAAGGAATGTTTCATTGTCAAGCTCCATGATCTTTTCGAACCCTCTTGTGAGTGCGTCGCTACCCACAGCGCTTGCCTGTTGGAAGATTGCAGAGATCTGACCATTTTTCTGAACGAGCAGCATCCGCCATAGATTCGCAGCTGCCATACGCACATGGTTATTGGTACCAATTAATCTATTGTAGACCAAATAGCATAGCAACTTGAGGAAGCCATCCTGCGGATCTTCTGCTGGTATCAAAACTGTCTGCCAATAGGCAAGCTTGTTTAAGAATGAAACAGTGACATTGCTCGATGCCACGTCATCTAATTCGGACAGCCGGAGAAGCACTACTCGTAGCAGAACGGTTCTGATATTGGTGATGATCTGACTGCACAGTCTGATGGCCTTGATTGAGGAGATGTTTGGAAGCTGGAGATACTCTAAGATGTTGGCCAAGAAGTCCAGGGTATCTTCCGCACCGCTGATGAACCAGCCTTCGTAGATAGCTTCTCCCAGATGTGCAGCGAAACGCGCTATGTTCGTGAGAACTCGTGGTTCCCAAAGGAGCTTCTGACTCAATTTGATCGTATTCCCTAAATGTGACAGGGTGTTACGAAGGATAAATGTTTCGAAGTAGGCCTGGTGTTCCTGGAATCCTGGCGGCACTCTCATGAATAGTCCCAGCCCTGGGAAGTCCTTCCTTGTGAATATCTGATCGGAAAAGACAGCGATCGTCAACTCCAAGAGCTCTTCTACGATTGAGCTACTGAGGTTTGACACAGGCTTGAATCTGCTAGGCGAAATCACTGGTTGTAGCTTGGAAGCTGAGGGTCCCGGATTTGACAGGTCTGATGTCACAAGGATATACGATGACATTCTTTTGGGTGCTTGATTCCTTAAGGGTTTGAGCCTCTGGGAAGGTTCCACTGTAGCAGTCCTTACCACTGGGACTCCTTTCATTGAGTTTGCAGACAAAGGTCTCATGATCACGTCGTTGCCGTTGAAAGTCAGTGCAGAGTCCCGGGAATGTAGTTCCATTTCTGGGCTGACAGTGTTGGCGCTGACTACGATTGGAAAGAGCACGAAGAACAGCTCTTGTACGTAGGGGGATCTAACTGTGAAGTCTCGAAAAGCTTGTGATTTTGTGTGGATGTCGGCGAGGAATCTAATGACGGTTCGTAACGTAGACGCGGACTCTGCCAGATTGTGGACTGAAAATTCACCAGTAGCTGTCCGATGTTAGTAGCTTCCCAAGAGCGATGTTAAAGGTCTGAAGCGCCTACTTGAGGTTGATGGCTCAATGCTCAGTGTCATAGATCGCTGCCTTGCGTGCGTAGGTGTCGCTGGACTTTTTGCAAAAGTCGGCATTTGCCCATTGCTCTTCTCTGTCAATGGCGAGTCGGGGTCCAATTGCTCCCTAGTTACAGTCTTGAGACCTTGCTCGAGCATGGCAGTAATTACCGGCAGCATTGCTGGATTGACGACAGGGGCTAGGCCGTCAGGCGCAAATGTTTCTAGTAGACTGAACATGTCAAACGTCTTGGAAAATTCGATATTTGCAGGATCTAGGCCGAAGAAGACAGCAAAGCAGATCGGCCATATGGCCGGAACGCTCCACCAGCGCCTGAATCTATGTTGCATAATTACGATACCTCCGGTTTTGTCGACAAACTTCTGCACATAGCTGGGTCCATTAATCACGAGAAGACGAGCCAGTATTTTAGCTGACAACACAACTACCGTTGATTCGTCGTCAGCGAGAAGATGAAGAAGCCACTGGCAAGCGTAAGCAGAAGTTGAAACAATTGCGGGAGTAGTGTTCACCTTGTTCGTCACAGTCCTGGCGAATTTTTTGATATTGGCAGCTTCATCTTTGTGACACAACATATCTGCATAAAGCTCCAGCATCTTCAACGCAATCTGTAATTGACTAAGATGAACGATTTCATTCTGCTGCTTTATTGAACGTGGGGAAGCGTTCGATATTGTTTGTCTTCGAGATGAGACATTCGTGTTCAATTTGATATTCTTGCCTCGCGCTGTATACGATTCTGTTTGCCTCGGCTTGTGGATAGCATAAGTGATGTACAATGCCAGAGAACGCATTGAGTCCGCGGAGGGGTTTCTGGTGAGAAAAGATTTGAAGGCTTCAAGGAAGTATCCGAATGTCTCTATAGTGAACGTTTCGCCTTTGAGAGCGTCTAGCCACTTCTTCATGATGCCTAGGGAAGCAGGTCAGTAAGCCGCAAGTATTATGGTATGGAGACAGAAGCCTACGCATTCTCAGCAAGCGCTTGTTGTTGAATAGATGGAACTTGCTGTGTAGTCCAAACACTGTGAATTGCTCATAGTAAAGTTTCTGCACGGCAGATTCTGCACTGCGCCAGAAGTCCATGTCGACAAGCAGAATACGATACGCTAATGGATTGTTAATCACCGAGTCTTCGGGCTTATCTATCCGATAGCCAACGAATTTCAGTATCTCTGCAAGGACAGTCAAGGACAGATTGGGAACACTCTGCTGAATTTTCGATAGACCTCTGGGCGATTCTAGCCCTGTAGCGACATTGGACTGTCCTTGGCATAATTTGGTCGTGAGCAAAGCTGACAGAACCCCGAAACCGTTCTCTCGTTCCATAGCTTCGCTGTTACGCCAATTCTCTTGTACGTTTTCGAAAAGGATGTTCAAGGCTCTGACCACGTCATTAGAAGCAATGGCCGATTCAAGGAGAGCTAGACCGACAGCAGCACATCCTCCGATTCGCCATGCAGCGTCATCCAGGGACTGTGGCACAACTATTGTGGGATCGCCGGTGAGTACCGCGAAGCCAGACGAATGGAGCAAGGCCTCGTTCACGGACGGGATAGCTCCATTGATCGCCAGAGCATTGCGCCCACCTCGTGTAACATTACGAAGATTCTTCCCGGCTGTCTTCGAAACATACTTCATGAGCCGAGTTTCGTCAATGTTGTTCTGGTCATTGTCATCCAGCACCATTGACGCCGAAATGTTGAGAAGGATCTTCGATTCTGGAAGAAGCATACCAGCCTTGGACCTTATTGCGGAGATGATATCTGATCTCTCTTCCCTGCCAGGATGGAGGCTCTCGTTCCGCAGATTTAATACAGCGGAAGCCCGATAAGTCTGGAAAGACCCAAGGCAATCCTGGTAGTTACCATTGTATCGTGGTCCAAGTTCATAATACACAGCGATGAGATCGTCACTGAGCACATCAGCAAAAAGATTTGCAGACGCCAGCCGCCATTGTGTGGAAATTAGTCCTTTGCCCAGACGAGAGGCGAGGTCCTGCGGCGTCCCGAGGAATGCTTGGATCGCGTTATTATTTCGATTTGAAGAGGGAGACCTAATAGCTTCGTTGCCACTATTGACGGATGGGGGTGTTTCAGGATATTGTGACTTGACTTGCTCAACGAACTCGCCATTAATGAAGAGGGAAGCCCTGGAAGAAGATGTGCCTTTGGCACGTCGATGTGCAATGACAATATGATACCAACGTCGCTCTTTGAAGACAATTGATTTGAAGCGCACACTAGGTCTGGGGGATGTGACAGATGTTTGGAAGATCAAGTTGTGCGTGTCTTTTTCTAAGTAGACAAGTACGAAGCACGTCTGACTTGCATCAAATGCTCCAAAGATCGTTGTGTGCGAAGCATGATCGAAATGGATTATTTGGAACCAGAGCGATAAACTATAGCCGGCGCTTGTCGAGGCCGGAGGGAACGTCCGTCCAATGCCTGGCAACTCTATCGAAGCATAACCATGCAGGGACAAATCAAAGTGTACATAGGAAGGCGAACGAGAAGCTTTTAGGGACAATAGGAGGAGGTCTGCAATGAGCGGTGACGAGCATGCATGCCGGTATAGGAAATGGGCATCGTTTAGATTGCCAATGCCCAGACTGAGGAGAGCAGTAGCTAGTAGGCGAAGTTGAGGAACAGAGGAATGGCCCATTGACGATAGACCAAGTAGGGCCGAGAGGACTATGCTTAGTAGACCTGTACCATGGAGTGCAGTCAGATTCGCGGTATTCAAAGCGGCCAAGTGATTGATGCTACTGAGCACTCCCAAGGAGACAGCACCAGTCTCTAGGGCGCTTTTGTCTTGATGGGTTTGATCTTCAAGATCTTTCCAGAGCTCAAACATGATCAAGATCGCATCTGGATTGTGTACAATGGTCAGCTCACTGATCTGTTGCTTCAGAAATGCGCGATCCAAAGCATCTTGCTCCGTTACTCGATCTCCCTTGTTCGCAGGATCTACATCTGGGGTCCGGTCACTAGCGCTGCCAATGCTCATCGTTTGTCGGCTCAGATTACAATAGAAGCTGGTCATTGATTCGTCGTCCAGCGCGCAGCCCAGAAGACACCCGAATACTCGATCTGCAAGGATCGTCATGCCTTCCTTGCTCTCTTTCAGAAGCGACGGGTAGAGAAGCTTCTTTAAGGTCGGCCATCCACCACCGTCAATGCGAAGACGAAAGTACTTCTGATTGCCCTTGTGGTCTTGCAATGCAGCTGCGAGTATACTGAGGATAGTCTGCAAGAGGTTGAGAGTTGCCGAGAGCTGTCCCGGTTCTATACCCTGGTGGTACTTGTAGCTCATTGATATATCACCAACAACTGCGATAACAGACTGAAAGCCGTTCATACGCCTAAAGTCGTCTCTCACATGGCCAGGGTTTTCTAGAAGTGCTTGACGAATACGATGCGCGGTCTCCAACTTCGTCTGGCACTCATCCCCGATATCTCTTTCCCTCGAGTCCAATGTGTTCTGTGTCATCAGCTCAAGCTGGCTCTGGAGCTCGGTCCCTCCTCCTTCGGCACCTTGGAGCGTTGAAGCCCGGCTTCTGGGGACTGCAGGTGTCATCATGAACGCCTTTCGAAGGATCCATTTGTTCAGGGTGCCATCATCATGTGGCTCCTTGCCCCTGGACTTCCTGCATGTGGGCAAGTTGCAGGGCAGTGTCTCGTGCCAGAGTCGTGTGCTTTCATACGCAGATCATGAGAGGCAGAAATCCAAGCCACTAACCGGAAAATTTTTGTTGCGCTTGTCAGTTGTTGTGAATCTCCTATTAGTATATCAACTCCACCACTACCAGTGCAATCATGAAGGTCATGGTATCTTAAAGTAGCTGCAGGTCCGGTGTTGAAACGCACAGCTGCAGACGTCGCCAAGGCGCTAAGAGCCCGGAGCCCGGAGCTAGAAACGCCGGAAGCGTTGCCTGGGATCTCGTCATCTCGTGATCCAACCTCGAAACTCTTCTTATCTTCCCCAGCCCTCTTCGTCTTGCGAGTACTTACCTTCCATAAACTCAACCACCATCATCATTCATTGACATACCGAATTCTGATCACCTCAAATATAACTTTCCTACCATGAAGGGGTATTCAACTTTGTCGCTGCTGCTGCTGCCTTTATTGGCATCGGCGTCTCCAGTCCTTATTGACTCCATCCACACCGAAGCCGCTCCCATCCTCTCATCTACACAGTCTCAAGCGATCCCAGATTCATATATCGTTGTATTCAAAGACGGTCTCTCGCATTCATCAGCATCAGCACATCACGACTGGGTTCAAGATCAGCACCTCCAGGTCGAGACCTCTAAGAGGGATCTCCTCAAACGGTCCCAGTTGCCTTTCACTACCTTCGGTGGACTCAAGCACACTTACAACATTGCCGGAGGTCTCCTTGGATACTCTGGACACTTCGACGAGAGCGTTATCGAGCAAGTCCGCAGGCACCCAGATGTCAGTAAACACCTGGATCATTTCTTATCTCCTATCTACCCGCACGTGACCTTACTGATCCCTGGTCATGAGACAGGTCGCCTTCATCGAGAGAGATTCTGAGGTCCACACCATGGGTGCTGAGACGCAAAAGAATGCACCTTGGGGATTGGCCAGAATATCTCACCGTAACAGCTTAAGTTTCGGTACCTTCAATAAATACCTTTACTCGGAAGATGGTGGTGAAGGCGTGGATGTCTATGTCATTGACACTGGAACCAACGTCGATCACGTCGACTTCGAGGGCCGTGCGACGTGGGGCAAGACTATCCCTCCTGGAGACGAAGATGTGGATGGCAACGGTCACGGCACTCACTGCTCCGGCACAATTGCTGGTAAGAAGTTCGGTGTTGCTAAGAAAGCCAACATCTACGCTGTCAAGGTCTTGAAATCCAACGGCTCCGGAACCATGTCCGACGTTGTCAAGGGCGTTGAATGGGCTGCTCTCAGCCATCAAGATAAGGTCGAGGCCGCAAAGAAGGGCAAAGGAAAGAAAGGATTCAAGGGTAGCGCCGCAAATATGAGTCTCGGCGGAGGGAAATCCCCCGCCTTAGATCTTTCCGTCAATGCAGCAGTCGACGCTGGTATCCACTTCGCTGTTGCCGCTGGAAACGATAACGCCGACTCCTGCAATTACTCACCCGCTGCCGCCGAGAAAGCCGTCACTGTGGGCGCATCCACCCTTGCTGACGAGCGAGCCTACTTCTCCAACTACGGAAAGTGTAACGACATCTTTGCCCCCGGCCTCAACATTCTCTCTACTTGGGTTGGCAGCAAGTATGCCACCAATACCATATCTGGTACTTCGATGGCTTCCCCACATATTGCCGGTCTCTTGGCCTACTTGTTGTCTCTTCAGCCTTCAAAGGACTCTGCGTTTGCTGTTGCAGACATCACCCCAAAGCAGCTCAAGCAGAGCTTGATCTCTGTTGCCACTGTGGGCAGTCTCACTGACGTCCCTAGCAATACCAAGAACGTAAGCGCTCAGCGCTCATACCAAACTGTACTGTCAAGATTCCGCTGACACACTCTCTAGATTCTTGCGTGGAACGGAGGTGGTTCGTCCAATATCTCCGAAATCTTTGGAACAAAGCACACGCCTGAGAAGGCCGCTGCGCAGAAGGTCAAAGACTTTCTCAAGTCTGAACTTGAAAACGTCGAGCAATTCTTCGATGAGCTGAAGTAAGCGACGACTTCAATATTCGCCTCGCCGAAAAGGTCTTTGGATCGACGCGGATGAGAGGAGCAACAGTGCGGCCGTTTCTTTTGTATTGATATGGATCTGCACAATCTTGGGCTTGAAGAGGAAGGCACGGAGTATTGGGGACTTGCCTTTGCATTTGCATTCTGCATGTACCGAGTGCAGTACTCCATTAGCGATAGCTAATGAATACATATAGTGTTCATGACACTTGCACAATCCATTGAATTCAGGTGACTGACATGGAAACTGCACATAACCGCCGCCGCCTCATAGATGACCTCGTTATGTTCACATTGGTGATTTCATAAATTGTGTAGAGAAAGTTCGCCATGGTTCTAGTATTTTTCCGCAAACAAAGAATACCACTGTCGGGCCCTCAGTGGAGAAGGCGTGTTTTGCTTGGCATTGCCGTCAGCCTTACCTACTAAGACCCAAAACCAGCTTTGCGGTTCCGGTTATCAAATGTGCAAACTGTTGCTCCCCGTCAGCACACTGTCTCTTAATGACTATGAGAGTCTCAGTGCCAGTCGCATTGATACTGGATACATCCTCTCGGGCCCAGGGATCAATTAGCGTAATCGACCGTCCGCTTGTAGCAGATTCATGTCACCTCAGCCTCGAACAAATCAACATCTTGGGTACGTTTGTCTTGACATGACAGAAGTCGCCGAGGAATCTAGGCTGAGATTCGAACACCTGGAGGCAACTTTAGCAGGGGAAAAACCTTACATGCTGGTTCCAGAGGGCGGAGAACAACTTACAGATCCTGGCATGCGATCTTCTACACCTACAAAGCCCGCGTCATCGACTGCGCTTTCGAGAAACAAGTCCTGGGTGTCTAATCTCTTGAGCCTGAAAAGACACGGTCTATGATAGGCCCAGGCGTACCGTCTGTTGTTGCCGAGCCACCATGGCTTTTCCCTATAGCTCACCAGCCCAAAGTCAACACAGCCGTTTTCAGAGCTCCCCAACATCACGAACGGCTGGGGGGAATTCGACAGTGCGGAGAACACAGAGCTTTGATCCTGGGGACGACGGGAAATTCCCCGAAGAAGTAAATGACTTAAGGGCGCAGAACAGAGGTTACAGGCCGGGGCCAAATGCCATGTTACAACAGGACGAGCTATACAGGGCCTCTCAAAGTCCGTCATTTCCACCGCGCTCGACGTCCTACGGTACCGGAGGGGGTGGAGGATATCAACACCAAGATAACTCTCCTGCCCCACCGAGCTCCCGGCCTTCGTACAATCCGCAACAGTATGGCGCGCCGCAACCGCATTACAGTCCACAGCCTCCTAGTGCTACGGCCAGCACTTTCAGTACAGCCTGTCAGCCATATGTACCGGCTGCTTATCAGCCAACTAGCAGCCAGTACCAGTCAAATTACGGAAGTCAACCTCACCCGGCATCCTCGTCCTACTCGTCCAATCAACCTCCTCCACCACCACCCAGACCACACGAGCAGCGGTATGGCAATCGTGTTCCCCCCCAGATCGGATCAGACCCAAGATGGCAATACGCGAATGCTCTCCCAGAGCTACCGTATCGGCAGCAACCACTGCCTCCTTTACCAACTTCCCAACCTCAATCTACGAGTTCACTCTATACACCGCCCGCTCCTCCGCCTCCACCATTCTCACCAGGTCGAGATGCGTTCCCTTCGAATTCTACCACAGCGCCCGAGGCGCAATCTTACTCGCAAAGAATCTCAGCATCTCGAAGTTCAGTGGAAAGAATCTCTATTCGTCCGCCTTCCTTGCATAATCAACTACCTCCTCTACCGAACTACACATCGAACGGTAGTCCGCGCATCCCATCTCCAGCTATCCATCGCAGGCCTGTTGGTTTGAACAACTCATTACCACCCACACCAGGAACACCTGGACCGACCCCACCCCAACATTCGCCGCAGCGAAGCGATACAATAGGGCGGCACCCTCAGGCGAGACCGCTTCCAGGTCCTCCGTCTGAGGCGGTTTCTGAGCCAGACTACTTTAGCGGTACTAATGGCTACGTCGATTCGCATGAAAATTCGGACGCAACTCCAGGATATGATGATCTCATGCAGGAAGTTGAGGCTGCGGTCATGGGAAGAGCACCGACTAATAGCTCGAGACGAAGTCCAAGAGTTGCAAGACCGCCCGCGAATGCATCAATAGACGAAACGCAGGCAACTCAGCCTTTGTTCACCCAGCCCACTGAAGCCGAGCTCAACCATGGCACTTCGCATCTCCATTCTAATGGCCATATAGGAGAGGTAGCTGAAGGCCAATATGTAAATTATGATGCATATAGCGATAGAAGCGATGCCGAAGCAGAGGCAGGTCTGGCTGCCATGCACATGGCAGATGAACAAGATGCTGCAGACGAGGCCCGAAGGCAGAGTGGTCGGGGTCCGTACAGAAGATCGGGCGAATCGCAGCAATCTTCGAGATATCACGAGCCTAGTAGTGATAGCGATGTGAATATCGACATGGACACTTATGGGGGTGGCTTTTCAGGCAAGGTACCGTATGGTGATAGCTACGGCTATACAAACCAGGTGGATAACCAAGGTCGACCTTTCGCCGCAACCAGGACTTCACAGCGTTCTGACCTGTCAGGTGTCGAGTACGACTATCCAATCCCTGGCCAAGAATACATACATCCTTTTGCCCCAGCACGAGTCGATCGAGCTGGTACTGGTGGCCTTTCGGAACCAGGGAGTATGCCGCGACGGCTCAGCTTCGAAGATGGCGACGAAGCAACATTAGCAGAATCTGAAGGAGCTTACAACTCAGGTGGCCAAAGCCCTCCACGAGATAGTATGCCAGAGATGTTCTTCCATCCAGGCGTAGGTCCAAGCCGACCATTGCCAGCAGCGCCTGTGCAGCCATTTCAAGGCCGGACAGTCCCTCAGCTGATGCCTGCCGGCACATACCAGCATCCAGAGAGACTGCTGCAATATGACCAATATGGGCGGCCGACGTTCCCTGCAGCTCCTGACGCGTACAACCAGTTATTGACCCCTCAGGGTACGCCTGTACCAAGATCATCATCCTTGATAAGCCATAGCAGCACACCTCAGACAGTTCCTCCGATACGCTCAAAAACAGACGCAGACCGAGCCAAGATTCTTAGGCAGCAGCAGCAAATGGGGCTCCGCGCAGGATCTGTATATGGCATCGACTCTCCTGGGAACCCGTCAATGAACCCAAGCGCAGAGATACTTGGGCTTCCAGAGATACCCGCCGGCAAGCGACGTAAGTTCAATCCATCGAAACTCTCCACAACTGATTTTAAGAAATGCGCCGAGCCGTGGGCTTTGAGCTCTGTTGTAATGTGGGTCAAAGAGATGAGCGAAGGCGAAGCGGACCTCAAGGAACAAGCAATTGTTGAGGGCATCGTTGCGCTCTTCACTCACAAAGTACCAACCATGAACACAGCCGACGCGGAGAATCTTGGCGCCAAAGTTGTGCGGTCTATGTATGATTCGGGCACTCTCCTCAAAGAGGAGGAGTGGGTCAAATTCGGAACCGCTGAAATGTCCGGTGTTCTTTTCCAACTTACTGGCACTGGTTGCTACTCCCCTCGTGTCCACGTGGAGGCGTTGCCAGGGAGATGTTATTCTCATCATTGCATGCGGACACTGAAGAAAATAAACTTGCAAACTCAGGCTCTAGAACCTCAGCGAAAGGCCGAGGATTGGCCAACCTTTTATAAGGTCACGAAAGCAGACATCGAAAACGTCGATAAGAAAGAGGTTGAACGTCAGAACAATCTACATGAGATCGTGACGACAGAGGACGATTTCATGGACCAGCTGAATGTACTGAGGGTACTTTACAGAGACGAGCTTTCCAAATGGCAGCCTCCTATTCTCCCACCCAAGAGAAAAGACAAATTCCTTTGGGATGTCTTCGGTAGGGCCGATGCCATACAACAAGCTAATGAGGATTATCTTCTTGCCCAGTTGAAGTACCGCCAGCAGGAGCAAGGCCCATGGATCGTCGGCTTTAGTGATATTTTCCGCGAGTGGATCCGGAAAGCCAAGAACGCGTACATCGAATATGCAGCAGCTTTCCCTAATGCTTCTCATTTGATTCGTCAAGAGTCCGATCGTAACATTCTTTTCCGACAATTTCTCGACCAAATGAGAGCAAATGATCGTTCCAGACGACTTGGCTGGGATACCTATTTAAAAGCACCCATCACAAGACTGCAACGTTATACACTCCTGCTTTCTACCGTGCACAAGAACACGGTGCAAGATTCGGAAGAGAAGTCGAATCTCGCGATAGCAATTGAAGAGATCAAGGTAGTCACATTAGAGTGTGATACGCGAGTTGCAGAGATGACAAAGAACGTCGGCCTGGCAGAGCTCTCTGGCAAGTTGCAATTGCGGCCTGGAATGGACAATGTGCAATTGAACCTTACGCATTTGGGAAGGGAAATTATTTTCCAAGGAGACTTGCAAAGGATGGGCAAGAACAAATTCGGCTGGGTGGATACCCATGCTATATTATTTGACCACTATTTGGTTCTGGCGAAGATAGTATCTGTGCGAGACGCAGCTGGTGGTTTGAAGTACGAGAAGTACGATGTGTCCAAAAACCCAATACCCATGGATCTCCTGGTTTTGGAGAGCAAGGACGATCCCCCAGTCATAAAGTCTACAATGAAGGGCTTAGGAACTGTCACTACTATTACCACCAGAGTAGACACTCCTCAGGAAACCCGAGCAAGCCGACAATCTATGTCTTCACCTGGTCCAGGCGCGCTTGTGCATACAAACACAGCCTCTTCTGTTGCATCAACGGCAACGAATGCTTCTAGCAGGACAATGACCGCCCCAACTGTGATAGACAGCCCAAAGGATGAGAAAATCATGTTTCCCTTCCGATTTAAGCATCTCGGCCGCGACGATGTGTACACGCTTTACGCACCCACACATCAGAACCGGTCAGACTGGTGTAATAAGATCATAGAAGCAAAGACCAGGCACGCAGCGTCGCTGTACAAGCAAGGTGCAGAACCATTCCGGTTGAGAGTGGTAGCGGACACAGCCTTTGCGTACGACGCCATGTCTGGCATGGGCAAGACTATAGTGATCTCCGGTACACCACTAGACCGTGCTATCCGAGAGGTGGAGGAGAAGTATAAAGACACAGGCCCACGGCCGAACCCGGTTTGCAGGGCCGCAGTCAACTGCGCAACAGCATTCAACCAACCTTATGGCAATCCGATGGTGGCTGTGGGCACAGACTACGGAGTCTACATTTCTAATAACGGCAACTCCAGAGGCTGGACAAGAGTAAGCAGTCGCAACATTCCAGATGATCTCCCATAGCCGTGCTAACATCCACGTCTCAGGCAATCCACGTGCTACGTGTAACCCAAATCGCTGTACTCGAAGAATTCTCCCTCTTCCTCCTCATCTCGGATAAGTCTCTTATAGCCTATCACCTCGACACCGTCTGCCCCGCATCCGGCACCCCTTCTCCGAACAGTGCCTCCGACTCTGCCAGACGCGCCCCTCAAAAACTGTCTGGCACCCGCGACGTCGGGTTCTTCGCCCATGGTCGCCAGAAAGACCGCGCTCTAGTCTTCTACAAGAAACGCGAGGGTGCTTCGTCCATCTTCAAAGTACTTGAGCCAGTTTACCAAAAATCTTCCACCTCCTCGTCTGCGCGAAGCCGATTCGGCATTAAAAAGGGCAGCGTCGAGTTCTTCCGCGACTTCGACGAGTTTTACATTGGTAGCGAGACTTACACCATCAACCTGTTTCATAGCAGCATAGCCATCAGTACTGCTAAAGGTATTGAAGTTATGAATTTAGATAAGAAACTCCCTATATCAGTCCCCGATCTCAAACCTCCCGACTGCGCCAGCATCGCCCATCGCATCCGTGACCAGAAACCCCTCGGAATGTTCCGCCTTTCGGACTCTGAGTTCCTGCTGGTTTTCGAAGAAGTAGGCATTTATGTCAACAAACATGGCGATGTGTCTCGCGCAGTGGTTTTGGAGTTCGTTGGGAAGGCCAAACAAGCCGCGCTCTGTACTAGCGCTAATAGCATATATCTTATCCTTGTGGATCATGCTGGGGGATATGTGGAAGTTCGCAACGCAGTCAATGGCAGGCTAAGACAGATGATTAGTGGGAGAGATGTAAGACTGCTTGATGATGGCGGCGGTGGGGCTCAGGGCAGCAAGGCGGGGACGGTGAAGCTTTGCATGCAGCACCCAGAGTGGGAGCGGTGTCAGGTCGTGGTGGAGATGATTGTTAACGAGGGTTCAAAGGAGTAAAGAGGCTGGGTGTACGCAGATGCAGGGTGATGCCCGTTTGGCTATGTGTATGAAGAACATTGGAGCATTCGGTTTGGTGGAACTCGGTTCGGATTTCAACGACTGAATGATGAATGTACTCTATTCTCCTTGCCCGGCCTTACAGGCCGTATCCGAGCGCTTGCGGTGTTACCTATCTGCACTGGGCGTCAAGATTTACTACTCCGTAACCTTGGCATTCTCTAATGGCCACTGGGTAATGGAATTGACAACTTTGAGGAATGAAAAGGGTTTCAACTAATGATAATATTTCTTCTAAACCAGAGGTTCTCGCCTGAAAAACTCAAGCAATTCAAGACTCGTATAAAGCCTGGCTCAATATTTCGATAACGGTATTTGGAACCGCAGATGAAAACCCCCTACTGCCCTGGATAGACAACGATAAAGATCGTCCTACCAGGGCCTTAACCAACACCAGCCGATATCAGCATTTCGCCATCATCAAAGTGTTGAATTTGTTAACAGCGTGAATGTTCACCCGATGGACCACCTCCCACCAAAAACAAAACAGGCCTCTTTCCCAGACATCTTCCACCTAGAATGGAATGATCCAACATTCAGCCGTATCTGTGACTTCCTGCTCATTGCAATCATTTTGGATCTCACAGAAACATCCGAAAGCCTTGCAGCCTTATACCATGTCTTCTTGCCATACCAATGGAGTATGAAACCGCGCTCTGCACCGCTGCGTAAAGCAACCGACAAGTTCGCGGTCTCTACTTGGCAGGTCCAATGCCTCGATATCAAAAAGCTCTGCTTCATTTCACATTGAATGGGCGGTTAGTGTGACTCAGATCCAGGCGTTCTCGTGCAAGAGGGACTGGAGAGCTGGACTTGGATCTGGCTGAGGCGGCGACAAACCGACGGGACCGCAGCGATTACATCTAGCCTGACATCGAGGAGGTAAGTGCTGTAGAACCAGGACTCCGATGATCTCGAAGCTCTACCGCCAGTCGTTCAAAGATGGACGCTCCTAAGGAGAGACCCAACCACCGGCAAAGAGCTCACACTCCAGCTCATCCTCACCCAAGGTCCCTCAGTCCAAGCAATCCTGCGAGGAATTTACATGACCGTCGTAGTAGACTTTCTAAGCCATAACAAAGCCTATGCTATCTACCCATTCCACACTTGTCAACCACAACAAGCTTAAAACACGAATGATACATGCTCTGCCACAATAAAGAGTTCGAGGAAGACCTCGCGTCGAAGTACTGATCTCGAGGATGGAGCTACGAAGAAATCGAATGGCCCAAAACCAAGCCTGCAAAATACCTTGTAGAGTCACCGTGCTGCGTTGAAGATCGCTACACTTGGCAGTTTGATCTCGATACAACCAACTTCTCTCCGTCTCAAACTCCAGACTCCGTACCAGAGTACGCAGAATTCGGCATTTGAAATCCTTTCTGCAATTGGGAACGCCCTCAATGTGTCGCACACTGTCCCATCTCTGGAACCGCGTTTAGAGCGTGCACGCTTAGACACGAGTACCCCTAAACTCCAAATGGGTGGATCGGCTTTCTTTGGGAGAAGATGGACCAGTCTCACGACTACTGAGCTGCGCAAGCTCACGCTAGCCGAAAGGCCTGCAAACGATGTTTCTGAGGACCTTATCGGATGGTAAAAGGGTGCGTCAAGGAGTTGACGAGTTCGTTGATATTCAAGGGTGGGTAAAGCTGGGCACGTGGACTTATTATGATTACGAGATATCCAATCTATAACGCGAATGGGGGCAGAGGAGGTCAGGTGAAGTTCCACATGATGGTCAGCCTCATGGATGAAGAGTTTAAAGAGCAGCTGGTGCGCGCTTATGGTGGCCAGTCCTGACACGTTGTCGATGATCATAGAGTGCTGCACGACGAGGCTGAAAGAAGCAAATAGGCTATGTTAACAGACGCAATCTAGTCATGAACGGATTGAACAGCAAGGGGACCTCTAAAGGAAAGAACACAACAAGCCATCTCGCCCCGCTCTCCCTGCTGGCCTCGTTTTATAGATAACACTAGGTGCTTGGTGCACAGTCCACACTCTCATTGGTCCGATCTCCGAGACTGGCTCAACATTCTTGTCTCAGTTATACTGCTTTCGTGTTTTCCAGACTGGTATCCCGTCTTCTGTTTGCCGTCTTGCATATCCCGTGTCTCGTCCAGCCGTACCCCTCACTTTTTACTACTCCCATCACAGACATGTCTCAGATGTACCTAGAGATGCGGCCGCTGCTGCCCTTAGCGTGCAGTTTCTTGCAGCTCTGGTTCGAGAGGGCCCTTTCCAAGCTAAGTCTTGCTGAGATAGACACTGATCCAGATGCTTCGATTGGCAGACCCTTGATATCATGTGCACGGCAAAAAGGCAGGACACGCGCACGGTTCAAGCGTATTTGTCACACATAACACTTTATGGTGCAACAGCTTACCGCCGGTTTGCTGATGGTGTGTTCTTTAAGAGGATCTCATTCCGCGCCTGCTCAAGCTGTTCGAGCCCTCAAGCAATTCTTTCACGAACTTCTTCCCCAAGGCATCTATACTGCCTTGAAGCAGTAACTGAGCACTTGAAAGAGCCGTCTGCCCAACATTCATACAGCGTTATGCTTCTGCTTCCAAAGGCCTTCATTCTGGCTTTCTGCCTTGTCTCTCTTGGAGTGGCTACCGCCATCCCAAGTTTGTCGTTCAAAATCCATTTTAAATGGTACAACCTAAGCTGATCATCATATGTAGAGGCCATTGATGCATCAGTCAAGTCTACGCAGTTCAAGCGTGAGGTAGACAACAGTGGCTACATCTTGACCAAACGAGGAAACGATGACAGCCTTTACAAGAAGGACGGTCTCTACAAAAAGGGCGAGAATGAAGACAGCCTATAAAGGAAGGATAGCCTTTACGACAGCTTGTACAAGAGAGACAGTCTGTACGACCTTCTCCACAAGAAGCGCGAGGATGGAAACGGGCTGTACAAGAAAGATGGCACGTACAAGAAGGCTGAGGACGAGCGCAGTCTCTACAAGAAAGACAGCCTTTACGGGAAGCCAGAAAATGCGGACAGTCTCTACAAGCATTAGGCACCAACGTCAGTATGCTGCCACCAAGTCTGCAGATTAGCCGCGATTGCTGATATTATGATAGCTCATGGTTTTCGGAGAGAAGTGTATGGATAATAGTAAGGCTCTGTGAGTTGCAAGGAGAAGTGTTGTGTGGTGGGGTGTAGCCAAGGAATGCAAGACAACTGTTCGAAATAATATTGTTGCGCAAGTAGTGATTACTTTTGTCGTTGCGTGTAGAGTAGGTCGTCCAACACGGAAAGCTGATAAATCTTCCTACCATGCAAAGAAGAGAGAGGCTGGTGGAGGTCATTGACATTGACAACGGGGACACGTGAAAAGGCAGAGACCAGCCTGGCGCACTTATCAAGTTCACTTGAGGCTCCTAGAGAAGGCGGCTCCGTATTTGCATCCAGATATACTGGGAGAAAATGTAGAGTGCCTTGAAGGCTGAAGCAGGCTTCCCAAAGGAATAGAAGACTCGGAACTTCTAATGTCTTGGCACTCGGCTAAAATTAGACTCAATTTTTATCTACTCGTAGTCTCGTACCCGTCTTCTTTTTTGCCACCTTAAGGCTGATAAGCTAGACGATCAAACCGCTACCACTACGTTTCAAGCGACAAGCACGCCGAGTGTATGGATCAGAGCCTCCATACTGCCGCAATCTGGTTCACGCATCCCCACTGTTTTCACAATTATCCCGGCTATCAACCCCACCACATTTCATCGCGGACGGTGACAGTCCATGCTTCACTCGGCGCGAAGCCTTCGGTATCCCCTGACGCAACAAAGTACCCAGAACAACAGTCCTTTGCGGGCTCAACGTCATGGTCCGGTAGACCTCGCGCAGTTCCAAACCTCGGAAACGTCCGTGAATAACACTGTCGCTACTGTTAGGGGGGGCTTTCTCTCTGCTTTCTCGGCCTGGTTCGCCTGTTGTCGCGTGCTTCGTCATACCGAAGGCTCTGAGCCCCGCGCTTCGTGTCACTCATCCTGCGTCCGAAGAGTACCGTCATTGCTGTGGTGTCTGCATACCGCCGCTGGTCTCTCTCAGCCAGCAGAGTTGGCTGGGAAGCTGGCTCCGGCTATGGCGCTGATAGTGCCGCCGTCGAACGAGAAGAAGAGAGTCAAGGTTTATGAGCTCAAAAACAATGACTGGTTCGATCGGGGGACTGGGTTCTGCACCGGACGCATCATCAATGTAAGCGATCAAAAGGCATGGGAAACCGTAATTACGGGACTTCGTGCCTGGGGATGTCCTGTAACCAAGCGGAAGACACGACGCTGATCTGGGTGTAGGATGAGTCAAAGATATACGTCGAGTCGGAAGACAGCCCAGAGCGATTGCTTCTGGAAACGAAGATAACGAAGGACGATGGATACCAGAAACAGCAAGGTGAACGCGCATGGCGACAATGTATGGTGTGAATGGTGGCTCATTCATATGCATGCAGATACCCTTATTGTATGGACCGAGACAAGTGGTATAGACATGGCTCTCAGTTTTCAAGAGGCAGAGGGTTGTGCGACCATCTGGTTAGTACTTGCCAATCTACAGTACTGCGTGCTTCTTTGGCTCGTGAAGGAAGGCGCATGTGACACAGGCTCATGATTACATTACAGGGATTTCGTTAGTCAGGTACAACAACAGCTACTGTCACTTGGAGGTCCAGGTACGTGCTCGGACTTCTCTCCAGGCTCTTCTTTACGCTCTGCTTCTCTTTTCGGATTGCGCTAATCTGGCTGGGTCGCCATCTAGACGACGCCCTATCAGACGACGCCATGGAGAGCTTCGCCAAACCCTTGGTCCTTCCGCAACCCGAGATCGGGAATTTGGATGATATCGAGCACGCGATGCGTGGAATAGCGTCCACGCCGCAAGGTCGAGACGCGCTGGCGAAGTTCGTCATCAGTGAAGACTACATCCGGAAGTTGATACCTTTGGTGGAGATGGCAGAGGATCTTGAGTCGCTGAAGGACCTGCACTGGCTGTGCAACATCATGAAAATGCTCATCCTTTTAAATGACAGCCAGATCATTGACCACATTGTCAACGAAGAGGTGGTGTTTGGGGTGATTGGCGCTTTAGAATGTGAGTACACAGGGCCAACCCCGCTATAACCATCATGTTATGCAGGGTTTACCCTGTTAGATACTAATACTCTGGTGTCGCAGACGACCCGGACTTCCCAAACCATAAGGCAAATCACCGACGATACCTCAAGGACAACTCGAGATACAAGGAAGTTCTGTCCATCGCAGATCCAAACATCACCAGAAAGATACACGCTACATGGCGCCTTACCTATCTGAAGGACGTGGTTCTCGCAAGGATCCTTGATGATCCAACGTTTGGCGTTCTTAACTCTCTCATATTCTTCAATCAAGTCGACATAATCTCACATTTACAGAACAATCCGGGTTATCTCGAACAGTTATTTGGCATAATAGACAATCCTACGGCCGATATCAAGCGGAAAAGGGACGCTGTTGGGTTCATTCAGTCTTGTTGCGCAATAGCGAAAAGCCTCCAAGTGACACCGCGGGCCACTCTCTACACCAACTTCATCAACCATGGGTTGCTTCGTGTGATAACATTTGCCATTTTGAACAAGGAAGCATCCATTCGGGTGGCCGGCACGGATATACTGGTTGCCATGATAGACCACGATCCTGCCATGGTCCGAGCCTACATCTACAAAGCCATCAACGAGAAAAAGACTCCACTCACCGAGACTTTGATTGAGCTCTTACTTGTCGAAGTTGATCTAGGTGTCAAAGCTCAAGCTGCCGACGCAATTAAGGTATTACTCGAGCCCCAGCCAACCCAGCCACCACAACAACAGCCCCAATCCCAACCTCAACAACAACCTCCACAGGCCCAATCTCAAGAAGCTATTGCAAGGCAGACGGGGGAATTTCTGTCGAAGGTGCGAGGAGTAGACCCGTTACTAAACCCCCAAACTGAGTCATTTATCCAGCACTTTTACGATAATTCCGCGAGCAAATTATTTCAACCCCTGAAGGATCTTGAGAAAAGGGAAACACGTAAGTAGCAGGTCCTTGCGAACATAACTCAGACGGCAACTAATCAGTCGCCAGTGAATGATATCACATTCCATGAGGTGCAATTGTTCAATCACTTGGTCGAGATTATCATCTATCTTTCTCGTACACATCAATTTCGAAGTAAATATTACATCTTTTCGGAAGACATTTCCTCACGAATAGCGCAATTGCTCTCTGCTCCGCAGAAGCATCTCAAGCTAAGTACGATTCCGAGCCCTCCGTGGAATGTGTAAGCTTTGGCCAATAACTCTTGCAATAGCTGCCTTGAAGTTCTTTCGCCAGTGTATAGGCTTGCAAGATGAATATTACAACCGGCAGATCATGCAAAAGAACCACTTCGCACCTATCCTCAACATAGTTTACGAGACAATGCCGCGTGACAACCTACTGAATTCTGCTTGCTTAGAGCTTTTCGAATACATAAAACGAGAGAACATAAAGCAACTGATTGAGCATCTTGTGGAGACTTTCCGTTCGAAACTTCAAGAAATCACCTACGTCGACACTTTTGAATCACTCCTGAATCGCTACGAACAAATGCAAGGCTTCAATCCGGATGCAGATACCACACTATTCAGCAATGACAGCACGAGTACCCCCAATCGGACACCAAACGTCAATGGCAATCAACGATGGCAAGGCGTCAAGGAGATGGATGCTGTCGAGGAAGCGTACTTCAACACATCAGACGATGAGGACGAGCCGTTGCCCAAGGCGGTCTTATCAAAGGCTGCGAAGATGAATGGGGTTACAACTTCTCCAATGCTGAAATCTCTGGTCGACTATCCGGACGACGACGAAGATTCTATGGACACAACCCCACCAGAACCTGAGGAACTCGGCACCAAGCCCGAACTAGAACCATCTCCAATGCTCCAAACCCCGCCGCCAGAGCGCTTGTCAGAAAAGCGCCGGAGAGAAGAAGACAATGACGAAGATGAACTTGGGAAACTGTCCTCGACTAAGCGGCGGAATTCCGGCTCCTCAGCCTCGAACACTGGTAGTGCCGCAGGCCACAATACTCTCAAGCGAAAAAAAGGGTTCAAGAATGACCGCGACTCTCCGACCAACGGTCCCAGTGCGAAGAAGATCGAAATCTCGCTCAGCGCCAAAAAGGCGGTTTCAGAAGCAGGATCCAAAGGCGATGATGGGGGATGAAAGGTTCATGAATTAGCGTTGTAGTTAGGGAATAAACCGGCGTCCACGTGGATACTGTGGCAACAGCTCATCAATCAGGGTGAAGGTATCAAGTAGCAGGGCGCTGATGCCGAAGGATGCTTTCAGGGACAGGGGCAAAGGGGCCTCTGAAAATAGAAAAAGCTGCCGCGGGCTACCTGTATGATATGAAGATGCCTTTCGCTACTTGAGTATATTATGACTTGGAATATCTTGGGATACTCACCGCCTGTGAGGCAGTCTGAAGCGAGCTTTGAAGCTCCCCACGACATTTCCCCCAGGGCACACTTCCCTGTCCAAATGCCTAAAAGTAATTAACTTCGAGCCCCCAGGGATCGAGGGAATGTTTTACATCACCGGCGCTAACGATAAGGCTGCTCCCGCGCCGAATCAATTCAACGCAGGTACGAGTTGCCAAAGATATTACCGTACGTGAGGACTCGATTCGAAAGACAAAAACGAGACTCGACTTGAACTCTGTAAGGACAAGAATATACAATCTGCATAGCTTTCGCATGGCCATTGATCTATTGCAAGTCATACTGGATCCGAAAGCGCAACCAAAGGCCTTCCATTGGTCTATGCATAAAACACCACAACTTGTCAACCCCTGACGGTGCCTGAGACTTGCACAACTTTTCATCACGGGGATCTATCGAGGACATTGTGGATTCCCTTATAGCAGTGTTCCAGCCTTCGTACCCAATACACAGTAGGCCGGTGTGGCAATCATACCTTTATAGGGGCTGACTCAAGACCTCATTGCGTACATTTCCCGCCACGTCCAAGTCCACGTGGAAAGGTGAGGTATAGAACAAAGGCATTATTGACCTGTCAGCCTTCATGAATGCGCCTTTGCAGGTTTAGGCGAATATTTGTCATTTACTATGCCACTGACTGGTACACAGTCATATTCTTTGTGATAGGTTTCGCTGGATGCGGAGCAGTAGACAGGGGAAATTTTCCCGGACATTGTGAAACAAGTCGGCTTCCTCAAGTAGATAAATAGACAAGAAAATTGGGAATTTTAGTAAGAATTACTTTGATGATTGATATCTGTCTACAGATTCTCAACAACTTATTCGGTGAGCATGTAAGATGAATGCTGCTTACTCCGTAAAGGTTTAGGTGATAAAGGACCCCCCCCCCCCCCCAGACGGAATAGCGCCGTCACGGTGATGATCAACTAAGCGCCAATGTCTTGACAGAACAATTGCCCCTGCTTGCCTCTCCATGATAAATAACAATCCCCCCTCACCACAGTCGTCACTTCCTCTCCAGGATTTTTGCTCACTGCAACATCAAGTCCAGCATCTTGTGTTCTGCTTCGCCGTCCCTCCCAAACCTCGTGGCGGAACGCCCCTGGACCATCACGACCACGGGTCTGTGTTCCTACAATCTATATGCCAACAAACATACCTTTCACCTCGCATTGGCTTTCCCTAGGTACATTGTGCATTGGAATTCATCCTGAAAATTTCACTTAGCAGCAGTCTTTGAGAGTGCAGCACTGCAGCCGGAATACGATACACACCCCTCTACACCGTCTCACTCTACCCCGTACAGAATATCGGACAGATCTGCATTCGTTTCTACTGATACACAGACGCTACCAACTTCTTTTCTTGCACCTAAAGTCTTCGGCGAGGTATCTGAGAACCCTTCAGATCATACTCTCCCAACACACAAACAACACTTCACAGACAGGGGCCCACTTGAAAGGGCGCCAACGCTAGCAACAGCTTTCAATGGGAATTGTGTTCTATTCAGATCAAAAGGTGGCAAGCTGCCGGTGACAAGAGGACTTCTTCACGATGCCGAAGAAAGAGGATCTGAGCGACTTCCGGCTAGCCTCCATGCCACGCCCACACCTGACGGCCCACCACTCAAGCTCACTACCATCGACACCCTCCCAGCATGCGCGAAAACTCTCCTTCGGTGCTCGCTCACCATCTCCTACCAAAATAGCGAAAGAGATATCTCCTAAATCAACACACTCCGAAGATGACAATGGGGTGCGGTCGCAGAACAAGCCCCCCTCAATTGCGGGGTGCAGATATGAGACTGGCATGGCATTTTCGAGGAGGCGGATACCTTATTCAATAGGTGGAGATCAATTAGAAAGAGCAAAGACGATGCCAAAGAAATTTTTGAATCCTGCCGACGAGGGAAAGCTGAGTGGAGATATGAGAGAGCTATATGACCGGATACTTCCGACAAGAGAGAGCGACGAGAGGAGAGCAAGATTTGTGCGGAAGCTAGAACGTATATTGAATCAGCAATGGCCGGGCAACGACATCACGGTGCACGTCTTTGGGTCTTCTGGAAATATGCTGTGTACCAACGACTCAGACGGTGAGCTTGAAAGTAGTTCAGGAATGGATATACTGGCTTGGAACTGACAAGGACTAGTGGACATATGCATTACGACACCTTTGAAAATCTTGGAACGAGTGTGCTTGCTAGCCAACGCACTTGCAGACCGTATGGAGTCTGCAGTCATTTCATGTTGCGATCATACTGACTCTCATGCAGATGGGATGGAACGAGTTGTCTGCGTGCCACATGCGAAAGTGCCTATAGTAAAGTTCTGGGATCCCGAATTGCAACTTGCTTGCGATATGAACGTCAACAACACCCTGGCTTTGGAGAATACACGGATGATCAAGACCTACGTGGAGATTGATGAGCGTGTGCGGCCTCTCGCCATGATTGTCAAGCAGTGGACAAAACGCCGAATACTCAACGATGCTGGTACGTGGTCTCAGCCCCCAACCTACCTCTGATCTATCTTTGCTGAGACGTCAAAATAGCCCTAGGTGGTACCCTCAGCTCTTATACCTGGATATGTCTAATCTTAAACTTCCTACAAACACGGAATCCTCCCGTCCTACCTTCCCTCCACAAAAGACCCCACGAACTCCAAGCAGGTTCTGATAGCAGATGTGCTGGGTTCAACGACGACCTTGAGCGGTTTCGTGGCTTTGGCAAGCTAAATAACGAAACGCTTGGAGAACTTCTTTTCAGCTTCTTCAGATGCTACGCTTACGATCTGGATTATGAGAAATGGGTCGTCTCTGTTCGGGAAGGGCGATTGATCTCAAAAGAAGGTAAGAAGTGGCACTTAATGCAGAATAACCGCCTCTGCGTCGAAGAGCCATTCAATACCGATAGGAATCTTGGCAACACAGCAGATGATATTTCTTTTCGAGGTATTCATCTGGAACTAAGGCGGGCTTTCGACCTAGTCAAGGAGGCACAGCTTGCCGATTGTCTTGAGCAGTACGAGTTTCCAGCCGCGGAAGAGAGAACATGGGAGAAGCCCGCGCCGAAGCCGCCACCTGTGTTGTCTCGGAGCAGGAGTCAATCGCAGTCATCTACGAGGGGCAATAGGGGAGGTCATGGTATTCGAGGAGGGGGCCGCCATGGTCAGCACCACCGTTCGGGGCAGGGAGCCAGGAGAGCATCCAGCGCCGCCGCCATGAACAAGTATGTGGCTCCTCAAAGTGGGCTACAAGGGATCAGGGGTCGCGACTACTCATCTCGGGAGCACCCTCTACAAGCCCAGTACGACCAGCTTCGCCTCCATGACAGACTCTTCAACGAGTTTCAGCTCCTACAACAACAGGAACATGAGTTACGGCTTATACAAGCTCAGAGAGAGCTTGAGGCTCAAATGGCCCAAGCTACCCACGCATCCAGGAATGGCTCGTTAATCCCACATCAAGGAGCACCAGGACAGCCCCCTCCCATGCCTAAAAACCATCAGATTCCCCTCACGGCTCCCATACGAAGCGGGCAATACTTCTACCCATTCGCATATCCACAGGTACAAGGTACATCGCAGCCAAACGTACATACGCAACCTTCATCTCCTTCGATGAAGCCTGCACAACCGGACCTGAGACGCAGCCTACACCGTTCTTCGGCTGCGGAAATTGCGCATGCTGCAAACCATCGATCTCATTCGCAGCCGGCTAGACCGATTCCCGTGAACGTGGCTGCACAGAGCGCACCTCCACTTCCTCTCAATAGTGCTGCGTTCTTGCAATACCAGCAATTCCGCCAGCAACAGTTATACAATCAAATTGAGCAAGGCCGATACAGACATGTTGAGGTGCCCATGTATCAGGATCCAAGGCGGTTACCAATGGATCAACCCTTGGAAGAGGATGTGCCGAAGGAATATGTGGGGTACTGGGTGAACGACTCGCCGCCGCCCCGACTCTACAGAGATGACCCACGATTTCCAGCATATCAAGATTTACATCCTCGTGTTAGAGGTGTACCTCAAAACTTCAGCAGGCTGAGGGATACCTCGAGGTCTCCATCTCCGTCACCTGCGCTCCCATTCCGCGATCGCGCTTACAGTGTTCGATCTGCATCGTCTGCTCCCTCTGGACCCTTGCAGCCACGTATGGATAGGGTCCAAATTGCCGCGCCAGGCTCGCGTGCTTCCGGTCCGCTAATAATAAACGGCTCTGATGAGTGGAACATGTCCGATTATCCAATGATCCCAGAGGCTTCATCCCATACTACGACGATAAGTGAAGCAACGTCGGGTTCTGACGACCGCTTGTATGAGACTCCCGCCACTACTGAAATGGATACGCCAAACCACCATCATGGTGTTGATGATGGATTTGTACAGGACGACCCCAATCAGTATTTTCATGCGCGCATGACGGCTGAACCTTCCAGCACATTGGCCAAAGGTCGAGGTGGCAAAATAGATTCGATCATGCGGCGTGCCAACCCTCCATTGAACGATATCACTACCTCTTCGAATACAAATAACCGGACAGAGAAACTGAACAGATCTGCCGGTGGCCTAGGCATACAATTTGGAGAACATGAGATTAATCGTCCGTCTGTGAAGGCTGAAATGCCAATCTCGCCTGGGGCAGCGCGCGATCCTGCTGCAGCCTCAAAGCCAGACGTGATACCCAACGTACAGCCAGACTTGAAAACAGACCACTTCATTGGTCGAACTGAGAAGCTACCAATGCCTATCCCTGTTCCACTGCTATCACCTGTCCGTGAAGTACGAACCCCATCCCCATCAGCAGCATGGCGAAGACAGATTGGAGAAGCAGAATTACGACGCAGTAACGGGCGCTTCGCTGGCAAGCTAGATCTCCGCATACCCACTTATGCAGACCTCGTGCGTGCGAAACAGGAAAAGCAGAGCCTGAATGGGACATTGGGGCAGAAGCCCAACGGGACCTCGTCTTCGCAACTTGCAGAGAGCGCCAAGTCGATTCGGTCGCCTCTGAGCCCGAGGACGAAAGAGACACCGCAGCATACGCTGGAAAACGCCAAGGCGCAACCGCAAGTCAACGGATGGCAGCAGTCGGGCAAGAAGGGCAAGAAGAACAAGTCAAGGCCTAGCTCGGGCCAGATACAGATACTACCCGGTGAGGTGATGCCAGCCAACGAAGCTGAGCGAAAAGGTGGTTGATACAAGAGATTCTCCAATTATGCTTCTAGGTCCTGCTTTTTTGGAGTAGGAGCAAGAGACTACGAGGGTGGATTACCATTACGCGGGGGGCACCGATGACGGGCACGCCCAGCAAAGACGAAATGAGCTTCTTCAACGAAGTCAAGCCTACAGACATCCCGGATTCAGAAGTCGAAGAAGGTCAGACGAGTGTTGTATAGGATATCTCGTTGGAGGGTCTTTTATGCATAGCGGCGTGGGTTGGGGTTTCTTTTTGTCACACATCTAACGGTTTTCGGATTGAGAAGAGCATTCATGTTTGGGCTAGCAAGCGGGTCAGTCGCGTCTTCTGTCGTCCGGTTCCGACAATGCTCCCTTGGATGGCAGTGATGCGGCACTACTTGGAGTTTGGGCCAGTGAGAAGAGGCTACAAGAGCGAAGCAGCGAGACACACAGCGTGGGGTGGATGAGGTCGCCAGCTGTCGCGTGTGTCTCAATGATTGCTTCTGGGTGCCAGGGTGCCCAGGTCTGGTTCTATAGAGAAGAGACAGAATTGAAATTGTTGAATATCTCAGCCTGAGGGCCTCGGACGCGTGGGTGAGACCTTGGTTAAAGAATTTGACTACCTTGTCGCCAAGATGAATTCAAAGATGAACTGCCGTCCAAGACGAGGACCGAAGCATGTTGCATTCGGAAGCACTACCAACATCGGCTTTTCTCCAGTCTTGATATGTCTTCCCTAATACACAATACCCTGATATTTTCGATTCTGCTTCGTGTGCCGAGCTTCACATCTGCTGTTTGATGGAGAGGGACTGCTTTCCGAGCGGCTTTAGCAAAGATGCTCGTCCATGTTTTCTTTCCTTCTTCTCCCCACATATACTCTTCCATTGCCATGCAACGCTTAGCATATCTCTCCAGACACTCAATCTACTAATGTACTCTCGGCCTCATTGCGGGTGATGCATGCTCTTCAATGTTGTTTAGTTTGGGCCTGGGCCTTCAATTCCCCCACATCGCCAAGACGAGTGGGGTGGGGCAGAGAGTGACTACTGCAGCATGTGCATTTACATTTGCACTCGCACCCTTCTGATTTTTCCCTTTCCCTTTCGCACAATCAATGAAAACATATTCTACCGCATTCTTACTCCAGTGACACAGTGAGTGACTTCGAGTCTTTGCGCTCACTTCCCCCCTCAAAGACTCCTTCCCGTTGCCTACCAGCTGCTTTGCTCCCACATTACAATCCCCGTCTGAGCTCGAGGCGCATAAACATGCACACCGACAATGGGAAATCCTCAGCCATTGACCAAGTCGATCCGGTCACAGGCGACACCAAAGACTTGCCCTCGAGCAGCTCTTCCCCCGTGCACGCTGCGCCTGAGGTCATCGGGATCAACGATAGAGCGCCTGACGAAAGGACTGGAGAGAATGCAGACGAGATCCAGGCGAGCCAGGGAGGCTGGTTTGCATACTTGAGGACGAGAAACTTTTATCTCGTACTTCTGCTTGGGTAGAACCATTCCATACGTCCCAGTGACACCAATGGTATGAGCATCCGGAGGCGCTGACAGGTGCAACAAAGACAAGTCCTCGCTCTCTGCATCACAGCAACGAACACATTCTCTTCGCTACTTGCTGCGCAACCCTTTTCCATCCCTGCGTTTCAGACATTGTGGAATTACATCCTTCTTACCCTGGTCTATGGCTCGTATACAATCTACAGGTATGGCTGGAAGGGATGGATCAAGCTCATGCTTAAGGATGGTTGGAAATACATTATCCTGGCATTTCTGGATGTCGAGGGGAATTACTTCACTGTGCTTGCTTATCGATATACGTAAGTCTCTATAGCTCTCTGCTTGCGCAAGTCGTAGAGCTAACAACCCCACGGAACAATCCTCTCCGCTCAGCTCATTAACTTCTGGGCTATCGTAATGGTCGTCCTCATCTCCTCGATATTCCTCCATGTCCGCTACCACCCCACCCAAATCATCGGCATCCTCATCTGCATCGGCGGCGTCGGCATTCTCTTCGGCAGCGACCATATCACACAAGGTTCCGGCTTCGGCGGCGTCACCGGAGGCAACCAGCTCAAAGGCGATCTGTTTGCGTTGGTGGGCGCCACTTTCTACGGCATGAGTAATGTGGCGGAGGAGTTCTTGGTCAGCAAGAGACCGCTTTACGAGGTCGTCGGCCAGCTGGGGTTCTGGGGCATGTTCATCGACGGGGCCATGACGGGCATCTTTGACCGACCGAGCTACAGACAGTCCGTCTGGAACGACGGAAAAGTCGGAGGGTACCTGACCGGGTATACGCTCTGCCTGCTCCTCTTCTATTCGGGCGCTCCGATCATGTTCCGCCTCGCGTCGGCGGCGTTCTTCAACATCAGTCTGTTGACCGGCAACTTCTGGGGCGTGGTCATCGGGGTCAAGGTCTTCCACGAACGGATACACTGGATGTACCCCATCGCGTTCGTGTGCATCATCGGCGGGTTGATCGTCTACTTTGTCGGCAAGAGCATTCTGGGGGAGGCGCTGAAGCCCTGGCTCGGCAAGGATCAGGAGCGGGGTGTCAACGGGTTGGGCACCGCGAGGCGGAGGGTGGAGAGGGGGGATGAGCTTGTTGTTTGAGATTCCCATGTGGAAGGGGGCGAGCCCGTGGAATGGGTCGCGCATCGCTTCGTGAGGATCTGTGGTTGGATTCAATGAGGGTTATAGGTCACCGGCCGAAGATGGCGTGGGCCGTGGATGAAGACATGATTGATGATTTGACGGCAAGTATACGCACAATTGTTCATAGGTATGGTAGGTAAAGCCATAATCCACCATGTCTTCAAAAATCTGGCCCGTGTTTCTTCCCAATCAGCTTTCGCGACTGTCAGACCATTACATACATCCCTTACCAGCCAACGGGTCAAAAACACATCATGAACAGCATCAACATCACCACCCCCTCTCCCTCACACAACCAACCAACCAACCAATCTCACCTCTCTCCCACACTCGCGGAACCCCATCCGCCAGTACCGTCACAATCTCCACCTTTCCCTAATCCCATGCCTACCCAAGACTACGCAACATCGACCCCCCCTTCCCAAAAGGCCACGAAGTACCTACCCTCTGCAGACGCACGCCATTAATAACTCCGACGGCAGCCAGCACTCTCACTCAAACTCACACAGTTCAAGAATAAGAATTGATAATCCAAGCTATCAATGCACAGAGTCACCGACATCGCCGGCCCCCCTCGGTACGACTCCGTTCCCGACCTGGATACCGCAAGCATCGCTCGGGGAAGATACCGCCGCGTGCGATCGGTGACCCGCGCCACGGAAACGGCACTCGGCGTTTTCATGCGCCAAGCGCCGTGAGGGTGGACGGGGGATGTGGTATCTCGCTTTCGAGTGCTACTCGTGGACGGGGGGGGGGGGAGGATGTGTGTGGTGGATAGCGAGCGGATGGTTCGAGGGAGGAGTCACGGCGGTCGTGGCGTTGACCATCTCCCCCCCCCCCAAAATACTCTCTGGAGCCTTCCGAATCCATAAACGCCTCGATCATCGAAGGTCGTCCCGCCGTTCCTTCCTCCTCCCCATCATCCCCGACCGCCTTCCCCGCGCCGCTATCTTCATGCATCGCTTCAGCAGGGCGGCATCCTGCTCCCTCACACGAGAGAAAGTTTCGGGACTCATCCGCCTCGTCGGCCACAATGGCGTCGCGGTCGGAAGGGGGAAACGATCAACGGAAACTGCTTCGAGAGGTGGGTACCCGTCGTTTGACGCTATTTACGCATCGGGTTGTTTCGGGCTGGGCGCTGACCCGTCGTGGAATCCATGCTCGTGGGGGAGATTGTACTCGCTAAGCACATCTGCCGGCTTTAGCCAATGGAACAAGTGGAGTCGATCACGTTCTTTTCGAATGTGGTTTTTCGATACTTTACTTCGCGTCCACTTCTTATGGAATCGGGACGGCTACGAACACCTCAAAACCGGCCTCACCAGGTTCAGTAGACGCGAAACGCCATCTTGATACCGTTGCAGCTCTGTTGCTTCCTATTCTCTTCACTGAGTATGCCAGCGACATAGGTGTCAAGAGGCTCTCCTATGGTCCAGCACCACCTTGGTTGTCCATGTTGGTTTCTTTCACCTCGTCTAAGGTGATCAGCCCCACGTACAGCTGCACCAAGACCTCCCCAATTCTATCCACATTCAATCGTGGTCTCATGGGCCTTGTCCTGACCATCCTGAAGGCTGATCATATCAGCCTTCCCCTGATCCCACGCATCCTTCCTAACCAAAACAAAATACCTGGCATCCCAGTCTCTCTCCCGGGCATTCTCTCTCCAAAACCGCACAATCTCCCCAACATCATCCCCTGGCGCACTTTCCCAATCTGCAAAAATAGACCCCGTCTCTGCCCTCCGGTTGCCGAGCCCCGCGTTCATCCGCTTGAGCGCCTCCGTCATCAGGTACCTCGGGTGGAATCCTCGGTCCGCGAACACGGCGAACTTTCTCCGGGGGTAGAGGGGCAGTGTCGCGTTCGACAAGGTCTCTTCCCATGGCGTATTGCCAATATTGACAGACGGCACGAAATCCCCTGCAAAGAAGATCTTCTGGCGGAGCGCATCAATCGAGCCTTTGAAATCGAGATTTACGACCAGGAGGCCTTCGGCTGCTAGATCTTGGCGATCGGCTATAACGAGGAGTGACTGGTTGAGGGATTTGGAGCGGGAGCGGTGGTGGTGGATTAATTGTGTTGGTGTTGAGCCGATGAAAGATTCGGGGATGGCATGCCACATGTCATGGTGCTTTTCTTCTGCGCAAGTTTAGTACCATCACTGCTATTTTGGGATCGTTGAGGGTGGAGGTTAGGGACTGTGAGCTGACTGCCTGTGATTCCTTTCCCTAGTCGATCTACGATGTCCACGACGTTGACATCAACGGTTCGATAAACGGCGAATCTGCCTTTGTCCATGGCTTGCGTTGTGGGGTAAAAGGAAGGAGGACTGAATGGGAATATATTTGTGTTTGATTTCTGGCACGAGCAACGGGATTCCAGATGCGGTGTAAAAATGGTAGCTCAGAGATACATGTAGGCGCAACAGGTTCCTTTCCCCTTTATATCGCGAAACATCATCGGTGAGCTGGGATTTATTATGGTACTGAAGCTACATCAGTGCCCAACCGAAGGCTGCTGTGCTGCACCCTCGGACACAATATGTGTAACGAAGAAAGTGGAATGGTGTGACTGGTTGGTGGTGTGGTACCTGCCTTGGCAAAGTTGGTGTTTCAGAAAATCACCTAAAATACGTCAGTCGGTAAGTCTTTATACTTTTCTCACTGAGGTTCAGAATTACAAAATAAAAGCTCAGCAGTGAGGGGTTATGTTCTCGGAATAAAAGCTCCTAAGTGTTTCGAACCAAAAAAAACATGGAGCTAGGTACGTGTGACTCCTCTGAAACTTCAAGAATGAGGCACGCGCATGTGGCGTTTCCCTCAACGACATGTCAGGCGTGGACCAGTTCCTGTTGAAGACTACTTTAATAATAAGCATGTCGCAGTGTCTTGAACTTGGAAGCAGCTAAAGTAGAGCCTAGAGTAAGGTAAGACAAGGTAGAGTTCGACACGTTTTCTTATGAGCCTCCTTCAGCCTCCTGGAAAACTTTCGCACAACGCGCACACCTTATTATTGAAATCACACCACAACCACGCATCCTACGGACCTGAGGCCTTCAGTACGGTGATCAGCTCATTATTTGGTATAGGGCCCGCACCAATAATGAAGCGATTACACGACTGTGGGCCTCGGGACCAATGACCCCCTGAATACCGCAATGCCACACGCCTTTTCCGACAGCCAGGCCACGAAGTCTTCCTTTCGACTGGGCTTAACAGTCAATTATCACTGTCACACACCGATCTTCCCCTCCTACAAGCAACATCATCATTATCATCAGCAACAACAATACCAATTCTACTCTCTCGACACGGGCACCAGACGCCACGTGTCATTTCAGTCATTTCAGCTTCAACGTCTTTACACGTGTCAGATCTCAACATCTTGATACACTGCAACAACTACATTACACTTACACTTCACTTTACACTAATTCGCCAATCCACACCACACCGTTACACCACATCTCCCCCAAGAGACACGTCTCTTTTCCCTTTATCGACTAGCAATCAGCCTACAACGCGAGAGAATCTCCACCTTTCTTCGTGCCTTCTGGAGGTGCCTTGAGATACATAGCACAAATCGTTCGACCTCGCTCTATCGAAACGTATCCGACGTGGTAGTACCGGATCTTAAACCTCGGCCTTATCTACCGAGCAATGGATTGCTGAGGAGTAGTGACCCTTAGTAACTGTCAGAGCAATCCCGCCGAGCAGAATGATTGACAAAAGAGTTGGGATTTGGATATTGTTTTCTACGGGACTCCCGGGCTCAGTGGAGTCCTTCATTCAGTCTACAAGCACACACATACACATGAGGGTTACGGGTCAAAAAGAAGGATACGGCACTTGAGTCAGGGGCTCTGCTTGATTGATTGATTGATTACATCATACTACCCTGAAGTCTTGCCTTGATGGCCGACTATGCGAGACGCGTAACTAATCTATCTAACCGTTTTTGGACTAGCCGAAAGCTGAAAGGGGGTCCCCTACAGTCAGGGGCTCTGCGATTGTAGGGGACCCCCTTTCAGCTTTCGGCTAGTCCAAAAACGGTTAGATAGATTAGTTACGCGTCTCGCATAGTCGGCCATCAAGGCAAGACTTCAGGGTAGTATGATGTAATCAATCAAAAATCAATCAATCAAACCTTCAGCCTCCTGAGGCTTCGAGCCATCTGCGAAACAGGACTACTATGCTGCTATCTATTATCTACCATGTACGAGGCCATTCATCACGCGCTTGTCTCTGCTTTCGCAAATGTAACCCGTATAAGGTATCTCGCATCCGCAACAGAATCCCATATGGGAAATCTAATGTTGCTGTCTCCTCGCGACGCCAACGCCTTCCTGAGAGCCTATCCAAAAAAAAAGAAAAGAAATTAAAGAAGAAATAAATAACTAGATATTGTACTAGTAAGTGTACATCCGATCTGGGCACGGAGGCTCTTCCCATTCGTGCTCTCGATATACCTTTTATGTCTTGGTCTGCAGAGGTTTTCATCTGAGGTTGATCAATACATACTCGTTGCACCAGACCCTATTCCAACAGTCAAACCACTTGATCTATATTCGAACGTCTAGAGTTCCACAATGCGAGACCAGGACCGGCAGCGAATGGAGTAAGTGATGAGGAGCAGAGATTTCTGACAAGGTTGTTTGCGAGCAGAGTCTGCCATACAGTTGCCATATCGTGAAGACCACATTATGTAGCTGGATTGATATCATGTCAAAGAAACCGAAAGACCGTCTTTTCAGAGTCTGACCCGAGCTCAGCTCAACCAGTCTCCCAGCGTGCTTTCGAGCCGCATACGCTACCTCGCCCGTGGGCCGACTCCTACGAATGAAAGAAAACCTGAATATGGACGGGATCCAAGTCGAAGGCCGTGCATATTGATACATGAATCAATACTCGCCAACCCGCAAGTCTCATGCATTTGGGTTGGAAACCGGGGTAATTGACAGACTGTGCCTACAACATGCATGAACAGCAAGTGCGCGGGACTCGACCGGAGGTATTTCGGAGATTTTATTCCGCCATGCTAGACATCGCATGTGCAGAGAGTCGGTCAAACTTCTAAATCTTTATTTGGCGCGAAAAATGGCAAGCGGGTCCTCATTCGAAGCTGTGCCTCCCCCATGAGGCGTGGAATCAGCTCGCAAGGGTCTTCAACGGCGAGATCGTGGGGAGCAGAGTGTAATTGTAGAGGACACAACAAACCGCTTTGCTCTTTCGAGAAGGCAATGCGAAGGTCTAACAGTCGTCAAGGAACCTGGAACCCACCGGAGGTGTTTGTGAATTCATTCGCCGTGTTCCTATTTCGATGTCTTCGATTGTACGCCTTCGGAAGATGTCACGAGAGGGCATTTGGGTATCCAACTACACACCATATCCTGTTTGACCGACTCCTTGATACCCAAGCTGCCTGTTTCACGATTTCAAAGTGGCATGGTAACTGCAAACCCTACACAAGTCATCTTCAAAAGCCTATAAAGAGGGACAGGATGCAATCAAATCAGGATCTCTATCCACCCTCCCCAGTGCCCATTCCTGTACTACAATACCCCGGCACCCTCTTCCCCTCGGCTCCCAAGGATAAAGTACGACATGATTCCCCAAACTCTCTTCTTCCTGGCGGCGATAGCCAGCACCGTCCTTGCTCAAGCAGACAACCCCAACCGTCGAGTTTGACTGCTCCGACACACCTGGTACTTCACCTGATCCCACAACACGCAAACCGGCATCCCCTCGCTGACTCAAGACCTAGAACTCTGCAACAACATGTGCTGGGGCGCCTACTGTACCGACGACGGGTCAGGAGCCTTCGGAACAACACTAACTTATGACGCCCCGGACGCCGCAACCACGAACGCACGCTACAAAGAAGCTTGCCAAACCCCCAAAAACAGATGCAGTGGCAATGGCAAGGGGATTTGAACTCCTGCGATGAATACCCCTTCAAGCAGACATCGGATGCGGATATCGACGCCGCCGTGAGTCGCTGCGTTACCACAAACGCGCAATCAAGTAAGGCCCGCCCCCTGATTTCCCTAAGATTGATCCAACCAGTCTCGTCGAAGACAAACCTCCCCCCCCGGGTAACAAGCCAAGCTGACATACCACTCCACAGTCCAAGGCGGCAAACTAAGCACCCTGTTCCAAAGTCTCGAAAAAAACGACCAGTTCATCGTCACATTTGGCAACCCCTCCGACAGCCAATACTGTTCCTACCCCCCCCACCTGCACCAACACCGACGACCTCGAATGGCAGAACGGCGGGCCCGCCCCGTCCCCCGAGAAACCGCCGAGCAGGAAGCGACATTACTACCTCACGGCGAGGGGCACGGAGATCATGAGCGCGGTGGAGCTGGGGATCGGGAAGCGCATCACGAGTTTCGAGGTCGATGAGGCGAAGGCGGAGGAGAATGTGAGGAGGTTGGGGAAGCGGGACCCGCGCACCGAGTACCGGACTGTGGATAATGAGGTCGTGGAGCATTTGTTTTCGGTTTGAATTTCCTGGATGCTTGGTCGGGCGGGACGCGTGGGATCGATCATTACCGTATAGATGGTCTGTTCCGGAGGAAGTGTAGGGGCTGGGTGGGATAGGAAAGGGAATCCACAAAGGGCGCGCACATGTGTTTGTTTTCGCGTTGATTTTCAGCGCTGTAGGCTTTTTTTTTCGGTATCCTGGGCTGCAAGGACCTCACTCTTTTGCGTTACCAAACACTCATGTTCTGTCCCATTCAATGAAATAGTTGCATTCCGTCCAGCGCTTGGTTACCTCGACGAACTATCCGCTTAACTCATCGACCGGGCAGATCTAACGAGCTAGACGGTGTAGACAATCGAGTCATCGATCTACCCATCAACCAAGCACTCGATTAAAACGACGGTATCGACGCAGTACTCCCGGGACTCACATCAACAAACCAGAGGTAGGTTGAAAAAAGCGAAAATCTTGCCCAAGACTCACCCTCACCCTTTTTGCACCAAAGGTGTCCCGCCGCATCCGCCACAGCCCTTTCGCTAATTATGGTGGAAGCTCGGATGTCACGCCGTCCACCTTCTCCTCTTCACCCGGCTGTGTCGAAAAGCCGCGCCGATCGTCTGAAGAATGAATGAATGATTTATCACACATGTCTCTCCAGACAGGAACGGGTAATCTTACGCATCTGGGTTTTTGCCAAATCGAGTGAAACCTCACCCAGAATCGGTACTTGTGACGCAGGTTCTGGTTTTGCAGGTGAGTCGCAAGAATCAATGTCTCGCAGCATTAATATTGACGACGGCGAGTGCCTGCGTAGCGGAGCGTATCCGGAAGGTACCGGCGTGGCTGTAGGTACCCCGTACCTGTACGCAAGTGAGGTACTATACTTGATAGAGCGAGGACGACGATACTTTTCTTTGGCTTAATCTTAGCCGGATGTCGCTCGATCTATCGGTGTCCTCGCTCTATCAAGTAGAGCAGCTTAGGTACTTCTGGATGGCACGGGTGGGAGCCCGCAGCTCCCGTTCAGCTCCAAAGAATATTTCCACCGATAACACCGGATTCGTCATGGGGAAAATACTCTGGAGGACATGATCTTGTCCTACTCGTATTATATTGTCGGTTTAACAGTGAGCTTGCCCTCTCAACCTTGGACTTGATTCGTCATGTTGGTAAAATAATCTGGAGGTGTAGGGCACTGGACATACTTGTACATACATTAGTAGGTACTCGTAGTTTCAGTTAAGGTAAGGTACTTAGGGATGACTTTTTGCCGGTAGCTCCCGTGCTTGAGTAAATATTTAGAATTCGAGTATTTATTATTATAATTAATACATTTAATTTTTAAATATTTTTAAGCTATATTAATAAAAAATTAAAATAAAATAGTAAGAAGATTTCTATTTATTATACTATATCAAATAAGACTTATATATTAAAAATCTTTATACTCTTTCTTATTTCTATTAACTATAATTAATACTTTAATATTATAAATATTAATTATTACTATTATATATTCTATTAATACGCTATTATATATATTACTTCGTATATTTATACTTCGTATATATATACTTTATTCTTCATACCTATAGGCTACGTGGCCTATTATATAGAGCACGGTACTCATTAAAATAAACGAATAATGATACTATCCATAAATTTGGAAGTATGCCAAGCACTCAAAGGCCCTACCTGAACCCTTGTCTTGGCATGTCCAGGACATTTTCGGTAACTACCTTAGTGTAGACTGCTCGTGGATTCCAGAAGTGGGTTACTTGATAGAGCGAGGACACCAATAGATATTTCCACTCAGCGGCATGTCGCTTGATCTATTGGTGTCCTCGCTCTATCAAGTAACTCATTTCTGGAATCCACGAGTAGAGTAGCGCCCCCTTTTGTTGCTCCGCTCCGATCAGTCGTACCGGTCTGCGAAAACCAACGTTCCTATATTCAGCTGCTCAAACGTCCAGATCTGAGACCCAGATATCTATAAGCGGCCCGATGAGGGTCAGATCAGGTTCGATGGCGAGAAAGTGGTAACTACCCACCGTCTGAGCCTATGACAGCCCGCTGAGCGTTTCGACGGGGGCCAACAGCGAGCTAAGAATACGCTTTCGCAGTCCATGACAATATTGGAACAACATGAGGCAAATTATTGCTCAAAACCCTCTCGTACTCTCGGGCTTAGAGGGTAAATTTTCCACAACAATTTAAGGTCATCGTATTTATTTTATTAAGGACCACGCCCGCCAGGCCTCTTTCCTGTTTACCTTCCCACAAGAGCCCCTTGCGCATCCACAAAGTCTCTCCAGTTACACCTTCCACAAACCAAAATTCTCCCTCGTTGCTCTTATAAAAAATATCTTCCTTTGGTATCTTTACTGTCCACACACTTTTCTTCTTCCATACGCTCTTTTGCTGCTTTTTCCAGGCATCTCCACACCTCTTCACGCTCTCTATCCCAGATACTCACCACCGCAAAGATGCAGTCCAAGCTTGTTATCAGTGTCGCTCTCTTCTCTGCTGTCGCCTTTGCCCAGTCCAATGACTTCAACCTTGATACCGCCGAGGTACTATTTCCCTCAGCATCGTCTCAAGGCCGCCCGATAGCCTCGCTAACATTAACCCCATAGGAAACAAAAGTCATTGGTGAAGTCGAAGGCTTCGTCACAACCCTCGAAGCGAATCCAACTTTCCAAGCAGACGTCGCCGCTCTCATGACAGCACTCCCCAGCAGCGTGGTCCAAGAAGCCGAACAAGACCCTGAAGCACTGATCGATCAGATTGGTTCCAGTAGCGAACTTCCGGCCTGGGTGTCCGCTATCCCCACCCCCGTTGTTGAATCTCTCGAGACGCTCATCGCGAAGCCCATTAAGGCGGTGGTCGACGTGGAGGGATACATTGAGCAGCTAGTCGAGGAGCCCGAGGTCGCTTCTGCTGTATCCGTCTTGATGACCGCCGTCCCAACAAGCGTGCAACAGGCGTTCGAATCCAATCCTGCCGGCTTCGTTGAGAACATCGTCACCGCTACAGCACTACCTTCATGGGTCACCGACATCCCAGCACCTCTTCAAAGCGATCTCGGTTCCATAGTTAACGAGGCTCTGAGCATTATCGATAAGGACTTGGAAGGTGGCGCTAATGCTACCGGGACCGCAGGTGGCTTCATGCCTTCTTCGGGCTATGCGAAAGCCACGGGCACGGGAGGTCTGGTTGGCTACAACGGTACAAACGGTGGTCCCAGCGGAAGCCCAATCGCATACACGGGAGCTGCGGCGCCAATGAAGACGGCAGCAGCAGGGATGGCCGCGTTGATGGTTGGAGCGGGGTTTGTCTTTAATGTTTAACTTACATTTCTTGAAGGACTCGGGAAGTGGTACTGTATTGAATAATCACTCTGTAGGATAGAGGGGGAGACAGGTGTTGTAACAATTGCAGATTTTGGTGGTAGATTTGATGGGCATATGTTATAGCCTGGACTGAGCAGCTACTAATCGATACACTGTTCTTATTAATCAAAAGCTCTAAATACATTATCGAAGATCTCTTTGTGTGGGCGCACCAGGCACTATATTTTAAAAATTTTTTTCTTTTGGGGTGATAAAAAGGGGTAGGGGTTTTTTATTAGGGATGTATGAGGAGAGATCTGTAGTACCCGAACAAACGCGTCCTATGACAACGAGTGCTAAGAGCTTATCAACGTTGAACACTGCCCTGCCTGCTTATCAATTTCTCCGAAAGCCGAGCCCGAGCTTACCGTGACGTCCTTGATTTGGTTTGTCTCGAGCTGAGGTACGTAAGGGCAGGATTCGGTATGTCTTGCCATCATGCCTTTTCTTTCACCTTTTCTTTGCTCCATTGGAGAGACCTACATGAAAGTAGCCTCGATGCGGGCTGATTGAACCAATGTCCACCACCTCTACCACCTTTACCTCGTGACAAAGACCGCCCTTAACCCATTTTCCCTACCCTCGGACCATTTTCTGACGCGCTGAGAAGCAGACGTCAGTCTCTCGACTGCGGCGTGCAACCGTAGAGATGGAGAACGAAGAAGCCTTTGAAGCGGATGCCGAAGTTGATGGGCTCGAGCAAATGCGCTCGCGCTCTGCATATCGATCTACGCAGAAGGGGCACAATACTATAAAAGAGGCCTTAGGTGGTTTCGAATCTGAGAGAGATATCCATAACGAAGAGTCGCCCCTGCTTTCCCCCGATCGTGGAAATGGAGGTAGAGAAGCGTCTGAACAGGGGGCCGGCGAGACAATGGGGCCACCCAAGGGGGACGGCGAGGGAGATTTCGAGGGGCGGCCGTGGTGGAATAAGCCATCTGTGAGAACTCCCCTATCTCCGCATATGAATAAGTATAGACTGACCGATATGTTCAGGTGTTCTGGCTCCTTCCTCCCCTTCTTCCTCTTCACCCTAGCCTTCGGCGGCACACTCGTCCCAAGAATAAACCTCATCCTCTCTCTCATCTGCGAAGAGTATTTTGCCGAGAGGTCACTTCATGACCCAAGCTTCCACATGATGCCTGTCATACTGGGTGACGAAAACCCGCAATGCCGGATACCAGAAGTACAATCGCTAGTCTCAAAATTCACTCTATACTGCAACCTCGCAGCAGGCCTGCTATCAGCGGTTGTCAGCCCCAAATTAGGAGCGCTCTCAGACCGCTACGGACGAAAGTTGATGCTTTCAGTCACCATTCTGGGCACAATACTCTGCGAAACTGTCATCATAGTCGTAGTGAGGTACCCGGACACTTTCTCCGTCAATTGGATACTCCTAGGCTACGCCTTAGACGGGCTCGGAGGCTCCTTTATTGCAGCGATGGCACTAAGCTATGCTTATGCCAGTGACTGCACAGCGCCCGACAAGCGCAATGTCGCGTTCGGATATTACCACGGGTCTCTTTTCTGCGGCATAGCCATGGGCCCAATCCTTGCGGGCTACTTCGTCAAAGCGACTGGCCAGCTTCTGTCTATCTTCTACATTGCCGTCGGAGCACACGGCTTATTCCTCCTTTTCCTCCTATTGATCGTTCCGGAATCCCTGTCTAAAAAGCGCCAACTCCGCGCTCGAGATGACAGTGATTTTGTTGGCGCAGGCGAACAGCGGTCCCTTTCGGACTGGGCGTCATACACCATCAAGCTACTTACTGGGACGAAGCTGCTCCAACCTCTCGCTATCCTCTGGCCTACAGGCGAAGGTACTAATCCCGCCGTGCGTCGGAATCTGGTCTTCCTTGCGGCTGTCGATACAACAATGTTTGGCGTAGCAATGGGCTCTATGACCGTCGTCATCATTTACACAGGGTACATGTTCGGCTGGGGCACTTTAGAGCAAGGTACCTTCGTCTCCATTGTCAACATCGGTCGGGTCTTTACGCTCCTCGTGGTCTTACCTGTCGCCTCTCGCATCCTGCGTGGCCCGCGGAGGAATTCTGTGCAGAGAAGTTCAGGATGTGATAATATTGACCTAGGCTTCATACGTACGGCCATTTTCTTCGACCTGCTGGGCTTCATTGGCTACATTACGGTCAGAAGTGGGAGCCTCTTCATCCTGTGTGGAGCAATCGCGAGTATTGGAGGTATGGGGTCGCCAACGCTACAGGCTGCATTGACGAAACACGTCCCGCCAGACCGGACCGGGCAAGTTCTGGGAGCGATGGGGTTGCTACATGCTTCGGCACGCGTTGTAGCACCGACAATATTCAACCTTATCTACGCGAAGACTGTGGGGAAGTTTACGCAGACGGTATTTGTGTGCTTGGCAGCCACGTTTGGGGTGGCTTTCATTTTGAGTTGGTTCATTAGGCCGCATGGTACGTTATAATTTGCATATTCCATCAAGCCGCTGCTGGGAGGTGAAAGACACTGACTGATTCATGTAGTATATTGGGACCAGAAAGAACAGTCGAACAGTAGTCCTAGCGACGATACAGCCAACGGAGACACACTTCACGGAGATGACGATGTTGTAAGATGAATGACACACTCAGAAAAACTTGAGACTGCATAGCTTTGGATTAGTCCGTGGAAATGGATTGGCAAATTTTGAGACTGCATAGAATGCATGGACTGCATAGCGGTGGCTCAGACCCTGTGAGTGGATTGGCCATGTCAGTGCTAGTACACATCAATCAAGAATAGAAGATCATAGAGCAAGAATCGAGGTCTTCAGCGACACTTATCTCTCACGAATGTATTCTTTTCTACAACTCATCCCTCGTCCCCTCCATCACTTCCCCACCCTCATCCCCACCCCCCAGCCACTTCCCCGCCAAAAATTCCACAATGTCACTTGTCCCGTTCCACCCCACCGGCCCATACCTCTGCCCATCATCATCCTGCCCCTTCGTACTCGGCCACCCATGTCCAAATCCCCTGATATAATAATGCACCACCACATCCTTCGCCCCTTGCTTCCCGATGCCACACCACCATTCCGTCTTCTGCACACTGCCATCATGTATATCGCGTTTCAGTTCGGACTGTCCCCCAGCGCAGCCATTCCTTTCCCTCCAGTCCCCGAGCCACTCCGTAAGCGGATATGTCTCTCCGTCCGGCGTACTCTTCCCATCGTAGTGTATCACCGGATCGGCACCGCCGTGCATTTCGAGTATCGGCAACGGGGCCTCTCCCTTGTTGCAGGTTCCAAACAACGGCCCGTCGCCTTTGAGGGAACGGTCTTTGTAGAACGCCCCGCTCACGATGGCAGCCGCTGCGACGTGCGCGGAGACCTCGGGATCGCACGCCAGTAGATGCGTCAGGCCGCCACCGTTCGAGAAGCCGACCAGGTAGACCCTCGTGAGATCTACACACCATTCCTGCATCAACTGTTTCAACAGCGCCCTCGCGAAAGCAATGTCGTCGCGTTCACTCCTGGGCGGGGACGTGGGGTCCCCGAGCCATTGCCCGTGGACGCCTTGGGGGAACGCGACGATTGATCCTCGGAGGCGGAATTCCGGGTCCGTGAGTTGGGTTTGCGTCTCGAATTGGGACGCGGTTTGGCCCTTGCCGTGGAAGGCGAGGATGAGGGGGGAGGGGGCATGGGAGGGGTTGAGGGGAAGGGAGAGGAGGTAGGTGCGTAGGCCGCCGGCTGATGGGACGTCGATGGTTTGGTGGGTTGAGGGGGCGCCTGGAGTGGGAGAGTCTGGCGGTTGGGGGTTGGCGCAGCCGGGTGAGAGGTTGGAGAGGGCGAGGGCGAGGGCGGAGAAGAGGAGGAGGGTGAGGGTCAGGAGGATCGGATTTAGGGGCGTCATTGTTGTGGGTGGTCGAGTAAGGTGCTGGCCATGGTGGGAGAAGGAGGAATTGTTCTGGTGGACTGCGAGACTGCCCACTGCAGATGGGAATGAAGTCGCAAGCAGGCTTTGATGTTTACAAAACTTGACAGCCCTAGCACTAAGCCCGATCTGAACCCCGGGTAGCTGAAGTGAAGATGTTCAGATTCGAAAGCGTCACCATTCCAACGGAGTAGTCATTTATATCCCTTCTGGCCAACGAACGTGAAAGCGTGAATCATCTCAAATTATGGACCCCAAAGCTCTGCCATCCGAAATACAGACGCTTCTGAGCAAGGCATTGCAAGCACCGCCGGTATCCTTCACCGCAAGCGCACCCTTACACTCGACTGATAGGGATGGCTTCGCGCCTGAGGGCGATAAACGGTTCAAACAATTGATAGACGGGATACGTTACTCGCATAAGTTCATCTTGAGCTATCAGGTGGTGCTTATCGGATTGTTGTTGGTGTTCACAGCAATACATTGGGGGTCTCGACTCCAGGCCTGGCGGAGACGGAGAAATACAATCAAGGGCAGATATGGGGGCGATAAGACTACTGTTGGAAAGGTAGTAGACGGCAAAGGAGCTGTGACCATACAGAGCATAAGTAGGGGGAGTTCGTCGTCGAGTAGCACTCTTCAAGAGGACTTCGATCCCAAGTATCAGGACTCGGAGCGCAGGTTGGACGAGCAGAGCCTACTACTGCCTAAAGCATCAGGTGCAAAGGCACCTTCTTGGGGATGGACGATGACCAACAATATCAGAGCATGGCTCGTCTATCAACCACGGCCAATCCCCATCGTCAACAAGACCTTGCCCTCGAACGGCACTACCCTGGTGGTCCTCGCCTTCATCGGCCTTCAGATGTTTTACACATTCTTCAAGACCTCGCTATCGCTCTCAATGCTTTTTGTCTTCGCAGATCGAACATCCCTAGTCTTTGTTGCTAACCTTCCCCTCCTCTACCTCTTCGCTGCAAAGAACCAACCTATCAAATTTCTCACGGGCTACTCCTACGAATCCCTCAACATCTTCCACCGCCGGCTTGGTGAAGTCATGTGCCTACTCGCTCTTCTACACTCCGCAGGAATGCTCGGCGTCTGGTACACCGTCCTGCAACCCGCGGGTATCACACTGATCAAGTTTCTACTTATCAAGATGATTCTACTGGGTATTGGCGCTTTTGTAGCCTACGAGGTGCTGTACATCACGTCTTTGGGCAGCTTTCGTCAACGGTGGTATGAGCTGTTTTTGGGAGTACACGTTGTGCTGCAAGTTGCTGCTCTAGTCTTAGTGTGGTTTCACCATCGCCGTAGTAGATGGTATGTCGGTGTGGCACTGGCTATTTTTCTGATTGACAGGCTTGTGTATCGAATGTCTGTCAAACTCACGACAGTCCGGGCCTCGCTAGAGCTCCAAGAGGATAAGAGGACTGTTGTTCTCCGCGCACCTGTACCCACCCAGGAGAAGCGCAAATGGGTGAAAGCACTGTTAGGCGCAGGTATCACCACTGGGTGGAAAGCCACTGAGCACGCCTTCCTGACCGTGCCATCGCTCGCCCGCAAACACATCATCCAAGCACATCCATTCACCATCGCTTCTAAGGCTCCTACGGCCGACGAAAGGGAGGCAAACTTGGAGCTCATCATCAGAGCTCAGGATGGCTTCTCTGGAGATCTAGTGCGCTATGCTAAAGGTCACGATACGGTCGCTATCAGACTGGACGGGCCGTACGGCTCCCAGACTGCTGTAGAGTTGCTCCAAGACTCCGAGCACGCCATCATCGTCGCCGGGGGCAGTGGTATCGCGGTTGCATGGCCGTTAGTGTGGTCGGTGATCGGTAGGGCCGCAATGCAGGACCTGGAGCATTCGATTAGCCCAGACAATAGCAAGAAGATTCTGGTTCTCTGGATCGTTCGGGAACGATCCCACATCTCCTGGCTTGGCGAAGAAAGGCTAGAAGAGCTGCGCGCGAGAGGCGTGACTCTGATGACGCCTGCACCAACGTCAGATCATGGCCACCCTGACATTGCAAACATTATTCGAGAATGGCTCAATGATATTGATGATCAGGTATCTAGCCGAAGCCGGGGCAAGATTGGCGTTGTCGTTTCTGGTCCTGATGGGATGAATCGTGCAGTTAGGAACGTTTGCTCTTCTTTATTGCAAGAAGGGCGAGATGTCAGCGTGGAGGTTGAGAAGTTTGGATGGTAATACGGAGTCTTCTGGTTGGGCAATCCATCTGCCTAAAATGAGCTATGAGATAGATCAATGTCTAGTGATGACATAAAGATGCTTTTTGCCCTTGGGATACCGTTCAGAAAGGCCTTGATCACCACCAAACCACACACTCGCTGACAATGCCCCTTTATCCTAACATGCCACAGATTGTGCCGACGGGCATTCGGGTTCCGTTCGACTCCCTTCGACAAGATTCAGATGCTGATGGCGTTGAATAAATCCTCGAACATGACCTCCAGTGCCAACTCGATATGACCATGACTCACCTCGTCTGGCCCAAAAAGGGGAATCCTTCACCTGATACACTTGGGTAGAGCCTTTTGGATACCGCACTTCAGCTAAAACTCACCAAGCAAGCCATCGTGCACCATTGGCTGGAAGCCGTTGTTGTAGCTGTGGCGGCAATATGCGAGGAAGCTAGCCGTGTCTGGTGTTTGTGCCTGGCCCGTGGACCTGCATTGTTGAATGCATCCCAGCATGGACTGACACCTTTTCGTGGTGCTGGGGATGAGTAACTCTACGGAGTGAAACCAAGATCAGTCCCACCTAAGTCGCCCCGCACATCTATCAGCACATCGGCCTAAGATTCGTCGGATCACCGAATCTTTATTTCGCATCGCATCGCCTACGCCTGAATGTCGACGATAATACTAACGACCCCGAATCACTATCAGTAACGGCCGACTTTGTTCTTCCGACTGATACAATAAAGAGAATAAGTATGGTACTCCCTCTTTCGAAGCGGCATTATCTGGATTATCAATATCTCTAATTCACTTTATCGGCTTAAGTTTATCGATATGTAGTTGAGGTTATTTGGCTGAGGAGGATAGGTCTCGGAGCGCAATGGATCTATCCCTCTTTCCCCTTCGCAGCTATACGATATACTCGATTAAAGTGATTTGTCGAGTAGGAGCGAGGAGAGGGTGTTTTGGGTTGAATACTCTCGAGGGTGGTTTCTCAGCAAAGAGGCGTACGGCCTGACTACTCTAATGGCGGTTGTGCTGGGTGGGAATTTCAAGTCTACTGACTGTGGCCTCGGTGATTTTCTCATGTGGTGGGATAGGCTCCCCTACCTCCTCTCGTAAAACCCCATCTACGACCCGCAAAGCCCGTGTGTCGAAAAACACCACCTACATACCTCATAACCGGCGCCCACAGGGGTTATAGGTCGAGGTCTCGTAGAAACTTTCCTGGCTCGTCCTTACATCCCACCGCTGTTATCGCTGCAGTCCGCGATCCAACAGTCTTGCAGATAGCCCGTCACTTCTGCACCTCGGATTCCCCGAATCCAGCACGCTCGTCAGTGTCAGAACCGACAGCTTCGGAGAAGACGATGTCCGCACCGCAATCGCTCACCTAAAATCCGTCTACGCCAATCTTGAAAATCGACGTCGTCAGTGCCAAAGCTGGCATGCTCAACAGTCTCGAAACTGTCCTGCGGACGCCGGCGCAGGAGAT